TAATATTTCTTGTCGTTTTCACCACTTTACACCGTTTGAGCGACGTCCGAGCACATGAACACCGTCCACCTCGTCTTCCGCCTCGAAGATATATTAAAATAGGCGCCCATTCGCATACGGTGCGGCGGCGTGAGCCGCCGCGAAGCTCTCGCAAATTCGCGCATTCCTGGCTCAAAATTGGCAGGTGAGTAAAATTCAATGATATACATAGTACGCGATGCTCGCGCAGAGATCGCGAGCAAGGGCGGTCGAGTGCGCGCCCTTGCACGTCCTGTACGCGCCTTCGGCGCGCGCGACCACCCCACCCTGGGCACCATATATGGGCCGCTGCGCGGCCCGTTTCGCACCGTCCAAGCCCTTGGTATGACTAATTTTCCGACGATATCGCGACTCTGGTCACGCGTGAGCACTCCGCACCCTACCTTTTCCCGGTTTGATAATCGAGAATGTACTCGGCCTCGGGGCGCAATAACCTTCGAGGCGGGACAATTTCACGGCGCGACCCCTGGTTACGTGCTGCAGCCTTCCATAGTCCGATCGGACGCCAAGGAGTGCGCCGGGCCATTCAAACCTCCACAAAAATGTGCACAAAGTCTTAAAAAGCACCTATAGCCGGGGATCATCTACCGCGTAGTAGAGGAAGAACATGTTACGGATGTTAACGCCTACGAACATACTGCCAATGGTTCGACTCGGAAATCAAAATCATCAAATACATAGGGTGCTTTGCTACAATGCCGAGGACACAAGCGGCATAGCATGACGCGTTTATATAGAGGCGTCACGATAAGATAAGATCCTTACTTGGTTCAACAGCTCACAGGGCCTCCGGTGTCTACGATACCCGAGTTAGGGGTCCAGAAAACGCCCGGTAAATGTGGTAGATTTAGTTGATAGCACGTATACATGAAACCAATGTCGATTTACACGGTGAATCGATGTGCCACGGACGGGCGAGACTAAAGTGACCCGCGTGATACCTCAACAAATTATTTGTCACCAGGCGAATATGTAGCAAGAGTCCATCCTTTACACCGGGATCCACAGGATATTGGTACATGAGAGCAAAAACAACGGCGCAACCGCTTACGCAGACAGAGCCCGGTCGATAGCCTCCCCAACCCCATGCGCGGACGCCGGGTTCTGACCGGTAATGAGAATGCCGTCCTGAACGACGTGGGGCTGCAAAAGCATCCCGTAAGTTACCCCGATCGCAAACCCGCGCGTCTGACCAAGAATGGGCTGACCAACCATGGCTCCCCGGCCTTCTCAAACAGGCCGCCGAGTTCCACGATGCGCGACTCGACGAGGAAGGGGACGTCCCCAAGCTTGCCCTGCAGCTCCTCCTCGTAGTTCGTGAAGGCGGTGGCCTTGCGGCCCTTGAAAAGGCTTACGCCCTGCGCGTCTGTCGCGCTCGTGAGAGCGATCGGACCGTGGCAAACGGCGGTGGTGAGCTTGCCCGCGCGGAAAAACTGCCCAATATACATCAGCATGGTTAGCGTTCATATGTATGAGCATACACTCACGTCCGACGCGAATTTGGCGTTGATGGGGTCCGTCGCGAGGTCGAGAACGGGCCCGATGCCGCCGACGTAGAAGATGGCGTCGTAGTCGGCCGCGCTGACGTCGGAGAGCTTCTTCGTTGTGGCGAGCTGTTCCTTGGTCGCGGGATCCTCGAGGAATTTCGTCACATCCTCGGGATAGGCGGCTGCGCCGTCGGGGTCGGCAGGCGGGAACCCACCCTTCGGGGAGGCGAAGTCAATCTCGTATTTCGGTGCGAGAACTTGGGAGAACTTGACCGATCATGTCAGACGCGCGTCCCAGGTTCAAGATGTAATGTGCTCACTATAATAAGGGTGTGCTGCCTCGGGGAGGTACCAGCCGGTCTTTGCACCCGTAAGCGTGGTGTCGGCGGAGGTGAACACGAAGAGGATGCGCTTGAACATATTGAGCGGATGGCGCCGTGGAAAGGAGCATCGGTTGGAAGGTCTAGTGTCTGGGAAGATGTGCGGGCCTAAGAATTTATATCCTACATGTGCGCTAGCTGTGGTGGTGGACGGCAATGACGTTGCGGTAATAGCAAAGGTTTAGTCAGGGTTCAGAGAGGACTGCAGCCTGCTACGATTTTCGGAGTCACACATTATGTGGGCACAGTGGATCTTCTGTCATGGGCTAGTGGATTGTACGCGGTCATCAGGCGGCCTTGGTGAGGCCCTGCAATGGATTAATTCCCTCCGATCGGAGCGCAAAAACTGCGCACCTCAAACTCAACTAGAATGAGACATATGCAATATATGGCTCCGTCGCCGTGTTAGGCAAAATATTCCACGGTCGGCCTTCATGTCTTCGCTGATGTGATGGATTAGTCCGGCGTTTTCTGTGAGCGAACGAGCATGGTGTGTCGCAACACGGTCAGGGAAGGACGCATGAGTAGTGTACTACACGATTGTGGGATTGACTATCCGCACTTACAACTCACCGACGGCGATCCCATGGCATAGCGGTGCATTGTGACACGATGTGTAATAGGTGGCTATGCGGAGTAGCTAGCTGCAAGGTCAACAACATGTGAATATCTTTGGCGAGCAAATATCCACGGGAACAACGAACGGCGCGACAATTAAATCCTGTACTATTAATTACATGAGAATCCCTGCGCAGGCTAACAGTTAACTTCCCGTCACGGTCCAGGAATTGATATTCTCACCATGTCCGACGGCCCTCTGAATGGTCGTTAACGTTTTGCCTGGGCAAGCCACATGCCCCTGTGCTAAAGCTGCTTCGGGTGTGGTATGAATCTACCAGCAGATCAGGTGCGCTGATGTCCACTTATATTGACAGGGGCGCGCAAGAAGGCACTGAGCATCGCCAGCCACTTCGAGAAGTTGCATATGCAAATTGTCTTCGGAGGACTCAGAGATCAGCCTGTAAATCAGCATGAGTTTCACACCTACGCATAATCTGTGATGTAGCACCAACGGCGTATTATTTTAGAACACGCCGGCTTACCTTCATTGTGTTCTTGACGCCGCATGGAACCGTGCGCGAAAATCAGGGGAGCAGGGACAGGAGACCTTGGCATGCTGCGAGAACGCGATGACCACGGTCATAAATCGCAGCTCGCGCTCCAGAACGTCTCTTCGCACGTTCGAGTCGCACGTATGGCGACAACAGCGTCGGCAACCGCATGCACGCTAGTATAGGGGTTTCGCAGGTCGCGGAGTACAGCTTTGATGGGCACCAAAATGATGAGCCGGTGTTTAGTTGGTTAGACTAGGTAAGAACTCACCTCGTTCGAGATGGTATATCACGAGGGGTGCAAGATCCCATAGTTTGCCGTCGATACAGTCTATATGCTAATTCTCGCAGCAGGAGAGTTCAACCTGAGGTACCCCTGCAGGGCTACTGCTGGTACCAGGTCCGCTGGGCGATACAAGCCCTACAATCCGGCGGTGCATATGCCATGCATGCCACTTCACAGGCACATTGGCCCATGCAGAAGAGTATAAGGTCTTTGGAGGAGAGTTGTGCATGTGTGGTACGCGTCGACCGCCATCGTCGTCGTGTCAAGTTCTCAAGTTGAGTGGGCGCTTCCGCCGGGTTGGCGAGTTGTGTATCTAAGATAAGATAAGATCCCCATCTGAGCCAATCAAGCTTCCGCCACAACGATTCGATCGCGTCGCGGCGCCTATCTTGCGTGCCTCTCTGAGCCTCTGCCGCGACTGTACTCCTGGTCCTTTACTCCGAATACTGTCCTCGCTTTCGTGCTTTCGATACCTCAGTCATGTCTGCTTTCTTTGGGATGTGAGTAATGAAACGTGTCTTGAATGCACGCGCTGATCAGATGCCGATGGCAGCGGAAAGACGCGGACGTTCAAGCCGCGCAAGGACGTGCCCGAGGGTACGAAGCAGTATCAGCTTCGCAAGTATGCCGAGGCCACCCTCGTGAGTCAAGCACTTGACCTTCGTGGCGAGATACCTCTTGCTTGGAAGACGCGGATCCTGACCGGAGTGTGCGCAACGTTCGCTTGGGATGTATAGGGATCAGGGAATCTCCGTCTCGCGGTGCGCCTTCCGGAGGGCGAAGACCTCAACGAGTGGCTCGCAGTTCATGGTGAGTGCATCCGCTCCTCTCTTCACGGGACAACTGACAAATGGTTACGACACTGTGTCTTCTTACCGGTGCGCCACGGTAGCTGTGGACTTCTTCAACCACCTGAACATGCTGTACGGCACGGTGACCGAGTTCTGCACACCACAGGAGGTCAGTCCGGTCTCATGCGCTCCATCCCCCCTTCCTGAGCAGCGTCGCACAGTGTCCTATAATGTCCGCAGGCCCGAGGTCAGTTGCCGATCCCCCGCCTCCTCCAATCTTTCCCCGGCTGACCATCGGTGGTAACTTAGGTACGAGTACCTGTGGGAAGATGGCGTGCGGTACAAGAAGGCAACGAAGCTGCCCGCGCCGGAGTACGTGGACGCGCTCATGAACTGGGCGCAAGGCCTGCTCGATAACGAGGACATCTTCCCCAGCGAGATGGGTGCGTGTCTCGGCTCGCAGGGGCTGGGGCGGGCTGTATGCAGGATGCTTTGCAGATGGCTGATCCCCCTATTGCGCCGCAGGCAAGCCGTTCTCGAAGACGTTCCGGGACACGATCGGGCGGCTCTTCCGGCGGCTCTTCCGGGTGTACGCGCACCTGTACAGCAACCACTTCGACCACATCTGCGCGCTCGGGATCGAAGGTGCGCGCTGCTTGGGGAGACTTCTAGGGGGCTCTGGCTGAAGGCTCACGCGTCTCCTATACAGCGCATTTGAACACGAGCTACCGACACTTCTTCCTGTTCGTGAACGAGGTGCGTGCTAGGCTCTTCCATTTCTGATTCGCGTGGTGCTGATTAGCTTTCTTTGCTGCTAGTTCGATCTGGTGGATAAGCGCGAGCTAGCCCCCCTGGACGAGTTGAACGAGGCTATTCTCGCCGAGGACAAGGGCCGGTAGGTGGAAGAACATGACAGGCGCACAAACAGGCTGCAGTCGCAATGTATGTACAGTAGAGTGATTGTAGGAGATACCCACGGAGGCGATCATGTTCTCGGTCTCGGAGGATGTCGCAGTAAAGATTTGCGAGCTCGGAGCTCGCGACTGAGTGCGAAGCGGGGCGTGGATTTTGTAAATGACCTCATTAATTACCACTCGGAATGTGGCTCGGCCTGTTCGCACGACGCATAGGGCGTGCTGGAGCAGAGATGGGCCCTGGGGGCATGCCCTTATAACGGCCAGCTGGCTATGGCGGGCCACTGTCACTCCTTCAACGCCTCGCTGCTGTGCATTCCGACATGTCTCTCTGTGCTGCGCTGCTCGATACCAACGAGGTCTTTCGCCAACACCGACCGGTACCCTAGAGGGTGCTCGTGGCGCCTCGGCACGGACTATGTTCCCCTGGGATCTGGATATGCATCTGGACGGGCGACGAAAAGACGGCTCGGGAAGAGGCCGGCCGTCGGGAGCCGAGTTCCTGGGCAGCTGCGGGCGCCTAGGGCGGCGCGGTGCACTGAGCTCTGGTAAGTGCTCGTCAATCACGACGCCCTATATTTACAAACGACGGCCGGTCGCGTCTGTCCTCCTCCCTCCTCCTCCCCCCTCCGCCGCCGCCATGGACTGCTCTGAATGGGACTCCGTCATGCAGTACATCTCCGAATCCTCCCCCGACTTCCCCTCCCCGCGCCCCGTCGCAGAACTGGCTGGTATCCCCCTCCCTGCTCAGCACCCCGCGCTCCAGATGCTCACTCCCCCCGTCAGTTCCAGATCCTCCATCTGTCTCCTTCTCGCACTCACGTCCCGGCGTTTCTCAGTGTTCTGAGAACAGCCCGTCCTCCGACCAGCAGGACGAGGCCCCTCAACAGTCGGGCAACGCTATCGTCTCTGTATCCACGACCTTCCATCCAGGTGCCAACCTCCTCCAAATAACACCCGATCTCATTCTCCTCTCTTCCGACGGCGTCTTTTTCTACGTGCACACAACACAAGTGTTATCCATGTCCAACAATCACTTCAACGGACTTGTCTCCCCAACCGCAGTCAAGACCAAAACGCGCGATGACCTCGGGCCCGTCCTCCCCCTGCCAGAAGCTGCCACTGTGCTCAACATCGTGTTGCATGTCGTCTATGAGATCTCGTGCGCGCACTACCATCCGGGCATAGAGACCCTCATATCAGCTGTGGACGCCATGCCTACCTATGGGCTGCGGCCCTCGGCGCACATCGCGCCGTCGACACCTTTATACTCCCTGATCTTGAGCCAGGCGCCAGTGCAGCCCATCAACGCATATGCCCTCGCCGCTGCCCACGATCTCTACGACCTGGCCGTCCCCGTCTCCAGCCACCTCCTGTCTTTCGTCCTGCACACTTTGACAGACGAGGCAGCGACGCGCATAGGGCCAGTCTATCTGAAGCGCCTCTTCTTCCTGCACCTCGGTCGGCTCGAGGCACTCAAGCGCCTTCTGCTACCGCCGCCGCACCCCCATTCTCCCACCGCGGACTGCGACTTCACGGAGCAAAAGAAACTTACGAGGGCGTGGGCTCTAGCCTCAGCTTATCTGGCGTGGGACGCCCGTCCAGGTACGCGCATCTCCGGTTTTCAAAATCATCGCAGCATTTTGAATATCGTTACTCATATTTCACGCGCGTCTCATAGACCTGTCGACGAGCGCCATGGAGAGCGCGTTGTGTCCACTCGCGGACCACCTGTCCTGCGACATTTGCAAACGAAGTCTTGCTGAGCGCGTCAAGCAGCTCATCGTGCAGTGGTCCGTAGTCAGGGTATGCATTCCTGATACAGTTATGCCTTCACCGATTGACCTGACTCTGATTCGCAGCGTTCAATCTGACGCGTCCGACGCTTCCGTTCCCGAGCCCCATCCAGGATACTGGACCCGGTACGCAACGGTCGGGCAACTATCGGCATTTCACCGTCGATCGTCTGTCTCGCCCTCTGCCGTCCGGTCCCGTTCCGCTTCACTCGGGGACTGACGGCTTCGGACCCTCCCACGTCTCTCACTTGTCGAAAACTCCCGCGCCATCCAGGGGGGAGCATCTCGGCCTCCATCCACGCCATTCCTGCCTAACTTATCTCTCGCCTCTATCAGGGCCCCGCCGCTCGGCCGTTCCGCTATCTTGCACGCAACCATCAAACCCAGCATCCCCGTTCCGTCCCCAGCCGCACGTCTCTCGTCTCCAGTAATCAAGTGTATCACCATTCCATTAGGCCCACGCCGGCCACCAACTTCGCCATCCAAACACGGTCCTCACGTCGAACTCGTTGTCCATCGAAGCCTGCATGTTGTACCACCACTCGTCACTCGCACCCTTTTCTCCTCTCTTCTCGGTCCCGGATCGCCGGCATACACGCACGGCTCCGCTCTGTATCACTTCAAAACACGACTTGTCTTGCCGCCTGGCATTTTCTCCCTCTCGCCTTCTCGCACCGCTTTCATACCTGAATTGCGCTCTCGGACCCCCCTAGTACGCACTCTTGTCCACTCCCCCTTCACTCACGACCCTACCCATGCTTCCGCTCCCTCCCCGTAATCCTCCCGCCCTCTCGCTGACCGCCGCTCATCCACGCGCGGTGTTCTGCGTGGCTCTTTGCTTTCCCCGCGGTGGTATACTATAGACACGTCTCGACGGACAGCGGTCGGTCGGCCGCCGAAGTAGTGTATACCCCTCATTATTGCCGCATCCCCGCGGAAGTAATGTATTCTCGTGTGTATTCTTCTCTCGCCCGCAATCACGTAGTGGGTTTGGGGTGCTTGCACCACTGTGCTGCCATGCGCATCATCATCATACGTCTGCTGAGCACTGCGTACACCACAAACGTGTCTACGTACAGCGCCCGAGGACCTACGGTTCCTCGGGGCAGCCGAGCGGCGAGCTGTAAGCTCTGCAGCGGCGAAGTTACGGAAGCGTGACGTCCCCGTCGGCCCCCTGGACGTCCGCGGCGCGCTTCGCACGCTTGATCTTGTGGATCTCCTCGCGCTTCCCGAAGTCGGAGTCGTGCAGTTCCTGTGCCCCACCGCGGAGCCCATATGTCGTCAGCACCACAGTGCGCGGAGCCAGCAGCCCGGGCGGCACGCACCATATTCGCGAGGCGCTTCGCGGTCGCGACCGTGTTCAGCTGCTCGAGCACCTTCCCCTCCGGGAGGTCCAGTTCCGCCAGCTTGGTGCCTGTGTGGGGCAGCGCGGGGAGTAGTCAGCACCTTGCCGGCGTCGGCGAAAAGAGCCGCGGGCACACGCGGGGGAAGCAGCAGCAACAGCCCCGCACGCGAAGCGGGAGAAGAAGCGTAAATAAGGGGGGCACGCACCGATCCGCTCCTCGACCTTGAGCACGCGCTCCTCGTCGCGCTCGGTGACGAAGCTCACGGCGAGGCCGCCCTTGCCCGCGCGCGCCGTGCGCCCGACGCGGTGCGTGTACTCCTCGGACTCGGCGGGGAGGTCCCAGTTGACGACGAGCGCGACGTCCTCGATGTCGAGCCCGCGCGCGCCGACGTCCGTGGACACGAGCACGGGCACGACGGACGCGCGGAAGAGCGCGAGCGAGGAGAGGCGCTCGCGCTGCGTGAGGCGCGAGTGCAGCGCGGTCGCGCGGATGTGCAGCGTCTGCAGGAGGTGCGTGAGGTATGCGGCCGTGCGCGGGCGCATGCAGAAGATGATCGTGGGCGGCGGCTGCTCGATCGCGTCGGGGTCCTCGGAAGCCTTCTTCTTGGAGGGGCGCGCTTTGGCTTTGCTGCCTTTCTTGGTCGGCTTGACCTTTTCGGGTGGGGCGCGCCGGAGGTGGTGGGTGGACTCGGGCGGGTTGCAGAGGAAGTGGTAGAGGTAGGCTTCGCGGATGTGGGACGGGACGAGGATATAGTACTGCTTGAGCGTTTCGACCGTTTCCACTCTGCGGTTGCATGGTTTAGTTGAAGTAGTGTAGTGATTAGTGGAACTCGTACCTAGCAGTCATCCTATGGACGAAGGGCTTCTGCTTTCCGGGCTTCGGAGATGCATCCGCTATCCGTTCGACCGCGTCCGTCAGCGTCGCGGTGAACAAGCTGGTTTGCCGTTCCTTGGGCAGAATATTGAACAGGTATGATAGCTCCGGTGCGAAAGAAGATGTGAGTAGCCTATCCGCTTCGTCCAAGACCTGCCGGATGTAAGACACTTGAAAAGACGGAAAGAGGGGACCTTCATACCAGAAACTTGATCCTGGACAAATCCCACTCTCCAGACGTACTCCTGAGGAGGTCAACTATGCGTCCTGGCGTCGCAACAACGACATGCGGACGGTTCCCCAATTCAAGAGCTTGAGCCATCATGTCGATACCGCCCACGACGACCGCTGTTCGCAAGCTCAACGGTGCACCGAGCACGGCGAATTGCTCGGCTATCTGGAAAGCAAGCTCCCTGTGTGGGGTGAGACGTCGGCATGCCTGCAATATATCATGATAGCCTACCTTGTTGGTGTCAGCACGAGCGCAAAGATGCCGTACGGGTCTAGGGAGAGTTTCTGCAGTATAGGTAGCGCGAACGCGATAGTCTTTCCGGAGCCAGTCTTCGCGTTTCCTATGCAATCTCTACCTTCATCCTAGTCAGCTAGGGAAGCATTACGACTGTATAAGATGCAAACGTGCCTTGCAGGAGCGGGGGTATGCACGCTGCCTGAATCTCGGTGGGCGCATTGATGGACAGCTTTGACAGGGCGCCGACCAGGGCAGAGGATATGCCCATGGCCTCGAAGGAGGTAGGTAATCGTTTGGGAGGATTTGGGGCATTGGGAGCAGTGGCAAGCGCTGCTCTTGGCTTGAACGCCATTCGCGAGAGGCCGAACCGGCTGTCCGCGTCTTCATCGTCGTCTGCTAGTGCTGGAAGAGATGGCATTCCCGCGTGTTGCACGTCTTCAACTTCGGAGACCTCGGACCCGTCCGACCCGTCTTCAGACCCGGAGTCGCTCCCCTCGCCATCTTGTTCGTCGCTTGCCCGTACGTCCTCGTCCTCAGAAGCACTGTTCTCGTCCAAATCTTGATCAGAGTCCTCAATCCTGAGCCTCTTTCTCCGATGTCCGTCCTCTTGCATCCGCATAAGGTCGTCTGCAGTCAAAGCGCGTCGTTTGGGGCCAGCCATGGGTGCAGTAGAGGCAACAAGGCCGAGATACAGTACTGTCGGTGGTCGAGTGAGGATGAGGAGGCGAAGTTATGTTCGGACATTGCCGACGTCGATCGCTCGCAAAAACAGACGTGCTCCGGGCCGTCGTACCGCTCGTACTTGACGGGACTTAGCTGCGCGCTGCCACTCAAATACTCAAAGACAATGCGATGCTTTGGAATAATGTGAAGACACAGGTGTCTATGGATACAGTCACGGCATAAATGTACAAACGGAGATTATGGAGACACGAGCGGACCGGGTATCAGCAGCCACACAATGCAGAGGTACAGACCGCGGAACATGGAGAGGAAGAGACAGAGAACAGGAACCAGCCGACGACATACCCGCTGCCATCGACGAGAAGAGATGGGGATACAATCTAGTCGGAGCCCGAGAAGAGGGATGCGAAGGGAGCGTCGTCGAAGTTGACGGGCCCGGCGAAGTCGTGCGAGGCGTAGGGATATTCGTCCCCGTGCAGCGAGCCGCTGGCGTTGGGGTCGTTGATGAGTGACCAGATATCGTCCACTGGAGGCTGCGACGCCGCGGCGCCGGACGGACCCGGCTCCAGCCCGCCGGTGAAAGACTCAGGCAGCGCCAAGTTCTGCAGGCCGAGGTGAGACTCCGCGCCGGGGTACGCTGAGAAGTCGAACATGGGCTGGTAGTTGTACTTCTGCTCAGTGGGAGGGGCGATGTCTCCGAACGTAGCAGCCCTGGGAGTCTAGAAGGTACGCAATGAGCAGCTACCTCTGAGGATGGTGAGAGAGCAAACATACCACATCGTTGTCAACTGCGCTCGCTTGGCCAGTGGGGAGAGCAAACTGATCGAGGAGCTGCTGAGGAGGGGGGACATCCGGGAAGAGCGGCATGTCGAACGGCGGCCCCCACTGCGCCATGTCGCTGGAAGAGAAAGGTCGCATCGCAGGAGACGAAGAGACAGACGCGGGCGCAGAGAGATTGGGAGCGGTGCCCGGGGACGACGCGGGAGACGCCTCAAGAGAAGGAGGGAGGGAGATGGAAGCAGGCTGGTCCGTCCCGACGCCTCGACGCGACCTGTTGCGGCGGTCACGCGAAGGCTGAGGGGCGGGGCCATCCAGCTTCATATACGTCTTGCGAAGGTGAACGATCCACTCGTCCCCGGTGGGGACGGGAGCATCGGTGTCCTGTGGCGTCTTACGCCGCGAGTTCTTACGCTCGGGCGAGAATTTGTAGCCGGGGTACTTGGCCATGTGCGCACTCAGGACCTCCTTCGCCTTAGAGTGCCACGTCTTCTTCTCCTCATCCGAAAGCATATTCCAGCACTGGCCCGCGACGCGGCTGATGTTCTGCTGGCGATGTTCGACGTTCGGCGGGATCTGGCGGGTCTTGAGGAGGTGGGAGCGGTAGAGCATGAACGCGTTCGGGGGGCGGGGAATGCGCTTGCTCTTGGGCACGTCTGGGGTTGCCGGGCGAGACAAAGACAACTGAGTCTGTGACGGACTGAACGAGGATGCGTTGGAAGGAGCAGGGGAGCTACTGGACGGGGTGCCGGGCCCGGCGGACATGGACGCCCAGACTCGCATGAGCTGCTGGAAATGCTCAAGGGGAATGGTGATCTGTTGCGGAGGGGTGTCGCGCCCCGCGCTGGGAGCAGGGGTAACCGTTCGGGAAGGTAGCGCAAGACCATTGAAGTTCCATGGGGAGGGAGGACACTCCTTGTCGGGAGAGGACTGCGGCATTGCTCCAGGCAATGCCGGCGAGTTCATGAAAGGGGAAGCAGCGTGTTGACCTAATCGGGACATATGAGCTAAGCCATTTGCGGAAAGACTCGAAGGCACATACCGTTCGCCTGCATCGTAGGAACGTTGGAGGGAGGAAACAGTGGGGTAAGAGCAGAAGCTTGGAGGCCGAGGAGGATGGAAGGCGTGCAGACATTGGGCCTACGGGCGAGAGGTTATATACGGCGGGCGAGGGGGCGGGAGCGCCGGTGAGCAGAACTCAAAGGACGACGAGAGAGGGCAAAACATCGCTATAAGATCACTTCCTGCCTTTGCCACGTTTTGCACCTCCATCGTCCCTTTAGCAGTCTACTTTCAATCCCAGCGAGGGTCTGCACGTGCCCCTCTACCCCTGCGAGTGATCACCTACCGTCTTCGCCACTCGCGTGCGCGCAGAATTCCCAGCGGGATAGGGCCGTCCAGCAGGGCAACGGGACAATGCAGTCCGCGTGCGTAGTGAGCCACAGCAGAGCCGGCGACCTTTTGGGTGTTGTGCGCCCAGCACACCGTCTCTTCCGTAGAATTTAATTTCGAGCGCGGTGTCACGCAGGCGCTACCGACTTCTGGGTGATGGGCTTTCGTAGTGAGGAGGTTTGGCCGTATGAATGACCATCCTGAGCAATTGCAGTCAGCGACGCCCTCAGAAGGTTTGCCATTGCTCCTAAACGCGTCTCGTAGCATTAACTGGTGTTTTTTCTGCATCGCGCGCACGCCAGCGCAGGTTTCGCGCCCAAGGTGCCACTACATGTGTTCGCCTCAAGGCTGCAATGAGGCTTGATAATTCAATCCGCGCCCGGCGGGTACGTTCCAAAGAACACCGCATCGCCGAGCCGCGACGCGTGCCCGCAGAATTGTGAAGAACGACCGAAACTCCTTTCTCTGGAGTCTGCATACTCCCAGAAGTCGCGCCGACCCGTAGCTGCTTGTCACCCGCCGTCCCGCCTACCTTCACGCGCCCCCCGAGCTCGGAAGGCACGCGATGGAGGGCGGGAAACCGAGAAAGGCAAAGGCCCATAAAGAAATCCAGACCAAACGACGAAAGACGGGAGGTCGGTTCGACATAAAGGGATCCCGCGCCCAGGCAGCGTTTATGGATAATTTATTCGTAACAGTAAGATATGCGTACCGGTGCGAATGTAACACTAAACTTCTATCCAGACCGAGTCTCCGGCGGCCTTCTTCACGCGGTTCATGACTGCGAGCCCCTCCCGTTCCTCCTGTATCTCTTCGATGATGATGTGGTCCACCTTCGCGCTATCCAGGGATAGGAGCCCGTCGAACAGCCTATGAGCGGAGACGGCTGGCTCAGAGACGGGACCCAGTGGGTGCACGATCCACTCGACGTCAGAAATAGCGAGCGACGATAACGTTGGCGCAAGGAGGGAGTCGGAGGGAGACAGGACGCCGATCCGGAGAGGCCGTCCCAGACCCAGTGTATCGGCGGTGAGGGAGTCTAAGAACGTCTTCAGAGGGATACGCTGCGTCCCAGCAGGAGGAGTCGACTGGGTGAGTAGCAATGTCACCGGTACACTTGGAGAATAGTGTCGGTACTTCATGCCGGGGGTGGTGGGCGCCTGCTCCATCGCTTCGTCGCTATAGTCGCGTCGGTGAACCAGGACCTTCGGTGCAGGATCCAGGCCTACGAGGTCCTCGCGGACGACGCGCTCCAGGTCTTCCACCGTCACCCCTCCCGGCCTCAGAACGCGCAAGTTCCCATCGGCTTGCAGGCCGTCAACCACTGTGCTCTCTAGCCCCACCCCACACGCTCCCCCATCCAGGATGATGCCCAACTTCCCCTGCAAATCGTTATAGACGTGCTCGGCTTTGGTGGGGCTCGGTTTGCCCGAGGAGTTCGCGCTCGGTGCAGCCACAGGTGCGTCTGCGAGTGCGATGAGGGCCCGCGCGATCGGGTGTGAAGGCATTCGGACAGCGACCGTGGGCTGATTCGCCGTGATGATTGAAGGAACGATAGATGGGTCGGTCGGGAAGAGGAGAGTGAGCGGCCCCGGCCAGAAGCGTTCCATAAGAGCCTGGTAAGTCCTCGATATCGTGTAGCCCACGGGGAGCACTCTATGCAGCATCTCGCGCGAGGATACATGGACGATGAGCGGGTTGTCTGGGGGCCGACCTTTGGTGGAGAAGATACGGGAGACCGCGTCGGGCTCGAGAGCGACTGCACCGAGCCCGTACACAGTCTCCGTCGGGAACGCGACCGTTTGGAGCGTGTGCAACTGCTTCGAAGCGCGTTCCAACGCCTCTAGTGTCTCCTTAGATGCGATAACAGGTCTGTCGGATTCGAAGGAGACCGATGCTGGATCGCACTGGAGCACTTGTGTCGAGAAAGCCATCGTCGTCGGAAAAGTCGTGGGGCGTCGCAGAAAAATTTGATGGAGAGGACGTCTACGCCAGAGGACTCTAAGTCGGAGCATGCAGATGCATTCTAGGTGACGCAGGTAGCAAGATAAGAGTCTAAAGCATCGATGTGGTCGAGTCAGAGGTCTGCGAATCATTGGCGGTGCAACTCAGAATCCGGATCGCTTGAAGCTGGTCACTCTGTGACTTCATATCGATTGCCGTGAACACCCATGGGCGCCCACACATGTGGCTAACGATCCGGAAATTAACACCGGCGAACGCCAATGTTCCTTACGCAAGACGATGCACATATGTGCAAAAAGTAGTAACGTAGACATAACACGTTGCACGAAAGACACCAATAGAACTACAAGTACACGAGAGAAAGAAGGCATGAAGGACCGTGTCGATATATGCTTAATTTCCACCCATCATCCTCATCCTGTCCGGGTGGATACCGCCACCTCCAGGGGGGCCACCAGAGGGAGGTCCTTGGGAGGGATTGAAGCCATTCGGTGGACCTCCAAGAGGAGGGCCATTGGGACCGCCGGGGCCAGGCATGCCAGGCATACCAGGAGGGAATGGCGGACGGGCCCCGTTAGGAAGCCCGCCGGGAGCGTTGTTCGGGGGGAAGGGTGGCATACCTGGGGCTATAGTCTTAGCTCGGGCCTTACTTTGGAAAAGGATGAACTCACCTGGCGGGAATCCACCCGGACCCATACCTGGAGGACCCATCCCAGGAGGCATAACACCGTTCGGAGGGAAAGGGGGCGCACCTGGAGGCCCCATCATGCCAGGCGGACCCTGCATACCAGGGGGCATGGGTGGACGACCTGATGCGACATGAGGAATGGGGGGACGAGCAAGAACTGTTTGCGTACCGGGACCGAAGGGAGGAGGACCACCGAATGGCGGCGCACCGTAACCCATGGGAGGACCCCCAAAGCCAGGGCCAGGGGGACCCAGGTGCTGGGGGCCAAACCCAAATCCGCCTGGAGGGGGAGGGTTTCCGCTCTCGTATGCAGCTGTGATCTGGTCAATGATGCTCTGCGCCTTGTCGTGACCCAGTGCTTCAGGCAGATTATCAATACAACATGAAGAGACGACGAACAGACGTAGGACGTACACGCATAGTAATCCCGAACGTTGGCCAGATGGTTTCGTCCGCTGTTGTGAGCCTTCCGAACTGTACACGGATTCGATGTTAACGGGACGTGGGACGCGTCTACAAAGTGTCCGAATACGCACCAGAGGCAGAGTCGTGTGTCAGGAACACATCGCAGTAGTCACAGTAGTGTTTCTGGAGAGAGTAGGTTAGCGCGGCTGCACGGCGAAGGATAGGAAGGGACGTACTGGCATGGTGGCAGCAGAGACCGTGATGGTGCTGAGGGTTACAGACCAAGGCGCGGGCGCTAATGATGGAAGCATCGCCACAGAGTTTTCATCGGAGCTTGAATCAGATGCACGTGACAAGAGCCGGGACTGCAGCACGCGTCGCGCGAGGGGCTGCATCCTTCGACTCCGCGTTCGCGACCTCGACATGGACACCGCTGCCAACGGCATCCAGGAGCCTTTCGATCTCATCAGGCTATCACTCAGTGAACGTGTCTTTGTCAAGCTTAGGGGAGACCGAGAGCTTACAGGCATTCTACATGTCGGTCTTGCAAGTACCGTCTACTGCTAAGCTTCGCTGAGTATTGTTTCAACAGGCCTACGATGGACATATGAACCTGATTTTGAGCGACGTGGAGGAGACCATCATGATTGTAGACCAGCCTGAAGGTGGACCAGAAGAACATAGCACTGTAAACGTGGGTGAGCTATACCTTGCGCGCTGAACTTGTTGATGAAGCAGAACCTCAAGATCGCCAAACGGAAAATGGACATGCTCTTCGTCAGAGGAGATGGTGTCATATTGGTACGCCTCGACTTGTTATATTGCTTACACCCTCATAATATGTGGTGTACTGTAGGTCTCGCCACCGTCACGAACATGAGTGGTCATATCATCGGCCAGTCCACCTTCGCGCATCTCTTCGTCTATCCTCCATCTACGGTCGCTTCTCTGCAAATGTACTTTTCGACAACAATCGCGCCCTGTGGTTACTTCGCTGTCGATTTGCCTGTTGTTGTATTGCTTCAGTATGCTGGAACGTATCCGGTCTCTATCCGCAACTGCAGCAAGTGACGCGTGCGCGTGAAGCCCCATCCGCTAACCCAGGCCCTGTGAGTCTTTCGTACAACCAAATATGAACTAGCGAGATCCCTTATTGTGTACAGCCTCTACGTCACCAATCTTCTCTCTACCATCGAACATGCTGAACCCGTAGGTTGAACCGGGGGTTGTCACGGTGGGCGTGGTTTCAGTCGTTGAAGGTACGGCAGCTTGACCCAGTTCGTCGTCGGTGTCGGGTGCGGCGGCTCCTCGAGGCCATGTGCCTTCACGAATCCATCCGGCTTGTAGTATTTTGATCTAATAGTGCGACTTCTGTGAGCTTTGCGGCTACAGAATAGGGAGACAAGACAACACCCACCACCAGCGCAAGCGGTAACCTATGCTTCAACCTCGCCCCGCCAACTAACCCGTTCCAAACCCTGTCTATGCCCGCTCCCCATGTCTCGTCGCTTTCAAGGGCTCCGGGAGTTGCCATGATATTTTCGAGCCGGCGACGGGAAGAATTTGGCTGCGTAGGATCGGGCGGATTTTGCGCCGGCTCGCGCCATATTGCTCTGCGAGCGTGGAAGAGTTCGGGTCCAGATGAGGGCGTATCCGTCGCAGCTAGACGTTGCTCAAAAGGTGACAAAGGCATTGGACAAGTTGCAGGAAGCGCAGGCGTTGCGGTAGACGGCGTAACGACTGGAGTTGCGACTGTCACATCTGATAGCGTGTGCACCTCGACGGTCCCGGGGGCTGGTGACGAGCGAGGAAGTTGGCGCGATTTTGGCGGTTCATCCGGAGACGATGGTCTGGTGATTATGATAGTAGCGACAGGAGGAGGTTCAGTATCCTCGGCTGGAGATGCGGAGACCGCCCAGCCAAGGCTTGCACTCATCCGAGTTGAAGGGAGCGCGCGTAGGCGCCCAAGCTTCGTCGACGAGCGCTTACCCAGTATAGACATGCACTGCTTACATCAGCATCTCGGCACGTGCACCCATCACCAAGTAGTGCAGCTCAACGGTGCGCCCGCCGACCAACCTCCTTGTCCTCCTCCTCCATGTACTCCCGGGCCTCCCCAGCGCAGTCCACGACGTCGCTCTCGGACGATGAAGAGGACTACAACAGCAAATCTGTCTTCTTTCCCGAAGGCGATAGCAGGACGGACATCATCCCCGCCCAATGGTCCTCTCGACTCAGTCTCCGTTCAAGTGATTCATATGCTCGCCCTTCGCCTTCACAGGCCTCCCGTCTTCCCCCTGAAATCTTGATCCACATCCTCAAACATGTACATTCGGCCCGCGACATCTACCACGCCCTCCTCGTCTCGCGTGCCTGGTGCGAGTGCTCGGTTGAACTCCTGTGGTATCGACCCTACTTCTCAAAATTCCCCACCCTCGTCAAGATGATGCGCATCCTATCGCGCGAGGACCAAACCTTCGTATATGCGCAATTCATCCGCCGGCTCAATTTCCTGAACGTCGCGCACGACCTCACGGACTCTCTGTTTTCGCGCCTCGCGCAGTGCGTGAGGTTGGAGCGGCTCACTCTCATGAACTGTACCGCGTTATCAGATGAAGGTTTAATGCGCGTACTTCCTCAATGTCCAAACCTCGTTGCTCTTGACCTCACCGGTGTCGCCGAAGTCACGGACAGCACTGTCGTTGCGGTAGCGAGGTCCGCGAAGCGCCTACAGGGAATCAATCTCACCGGGTGCAAGAAGCTGACGGACGCCTCCATCGTGGCGCTCGCGCAGAACTGCCCCCTCCTTCGTCGCGTCAAGCTCAGCAATGTCGAGCAGATCACAGATCAATCTCTCTCCGCTTTGGCGAGGTCATGCCCGCTGCTGCTGGAAATCGATCTCAACAATTGCAAGCGAATCTCCGACAGTGGCTTACGCGACCTCTGGACGTACTCGGTGCAAATGCGCGAAATGCGGCTTTCGCATTGTGCGGAGCTCACTGACGCGGGTTTCCCTGCACCCCCGAAACGCGATATCATCCCTCCCGGCATGAATCCATTTCCCTCCGCAGGTTATGCTGGTCACGCGTCGGACTTTCCACCCTTGAAGGTCCCACAGCCGTTCGACCAACTCCGTATGCTCGACCTTACAGGGTGTTCTCTCATCACCGACGACGCCATTGAAGGTATCGTGTCGGCCGCCCCAAGGATCCGCAATCTCGTACTAGCCAAATGCACGCAGCTCACGGATAGCGCTGTGGAGAGCATCTGCCGACTAGGCAAGGGGCTGCACTATCTTCATCTTGGCCATGCTGGGTCCATCACCGATCGTTCAATCAATAGCCTCGTCAGGTCGTGCACACGGCTCCGCTATATTGACCTCGCGAGTGAGTACCGTGGACGCTACTTTGCTCCCGTGCTGATAAAAGTAACCTCGTCAGACTGTCTACAACTCACGGACATGTCCGTTTTCGAGCTCTCTAGTCTGCCGAAACTGCGCCGTATCGGGCTCGTTCGTGTCAACAACTTGACCGACCAAGCTATACAGGCTTTAGGGGAGCGCCACGCGACCTTGGAGCGCATACACCTGTCGTATTGCGACCAGATCTCCGTCATGGCTATACACTTCCTCCTCCAGAAGCTGCCGAAGTTGACGCACTTGAGCTTGACGGGGATACCCGCATTCCGGAGAGCCGAATTGCAGCAGTTCTGCCGCGCACCACCTCAAGTAAGTCGAGGTTGATTAGTATTGTGGTTGCAACTCACCCAGCTCCCGCCAGGAGTTCAACTCTCAGCAGAGAGCGGCGTTTTGTGTATACTCAGGACACGGCGTGGCGAAGCTACGAGATTTCCTCGCGGATCTCTTCGCCACGATCACCAATGAGTTAGCCACTTCGAACGACACGGACTACGAGGACGATTTCGATGACGCAGAGCAGGTAGAACCCCGAACTGCACCAGACGGAGAGGGTGATGCTTTGGAGGAGGATGACGATGAAGAGGACGATACCGCGTCGGAAGTATTCGTTGCGCAGGGAAGTTCCAACGTACACGAAACACCGCGGGCCCCCGATCGTCCTATGCACGAAGAGCCTCCCGCTAATCGTACTCAATACACGCCTAGCCGAGAACACCATATAGTACGGGAACCTAGACGACACCCTACACCCCGCGCCCATCCTCGCGCTCAGGTCGCGAGCCCTCCGACCTGGTTGGATGCTGCGGGTCCGTCGAGACCTCGTCGAGGTTTTGGGCAACAACCTCTCGTTGAACAGTCGACATCCCCTACGCCCAGCGAGGCTGCGTCCAATCGCAGCGCCGGCACGAATCATTCCACTGGCACGGCATTCTTCCGAACGTATACGGACGCGAACCCTGCTATCCGGAACGGCGTCATGACTCCGGACCTTGTCTTCGCGGAGATCGGGCATGGACGTGGGGCTGGACCGGGGCCGAGCACCATACTCGCGCAAAGTCCTGGTCGGCGAGAACCTGGTCCCACCATGGAAAACTCCTATCCCGCCGTCTCCTCCAGTCCCACCGGGCGCAACCTGACGGCAGCGTCCGCGACTCTCAGTATGGCAGTCTTTGATTCTCGGCATCCTCCCCACCACCGCAGCGAACCACGAGTGGACCTGACGTCGGGTCGGCCACCCGTCCTGCATGATGCATCCAACTCCTATATGCGCCCCCACCAGCATCCAGACGGCACCATCGGCTTCTCTGTCCTCCGAGAAACGTCCCCCCGCTCGCTGTCTCCCACACCGAGCACGCGGGAGCTGCAGGAGTCTGTGCATTCTGCGCTCGCGGGCACAAATCCCATACCGGAGGGCGATGGCCGAGGGCGGAGCGTCAAGCGGACGTTGCGTAACACATTCGCCGTCGCGGAGACATTCTTCAGCAGTCGCGGTGCCGGCGGGAGCGGTGCGGACGGCGCGGCGGGCTTGACCGGCAGTCGCGACGTCGACACCCATGGACACTGAGCTGCGTCTGTGGTCTCTCGGTTCCCAGTTCTTCCTCTTTTCTTTGTGTCTCATGCTGTCTCTGTACCCCGAATATTGTATATACCACAGTCCGGTCCGTTTCTCCCTGGATCCTTGTCTCCGCAGCGCATTTTCATGTCCGTTAATTCTAATTCACCCGTGGTTGACTAGCATTGTTGAAGTACCTCTCTGTATGCGCACAGCTGTATCACATATAGCACATCTCGTATTCTACGCTCCTTAGAACATGGCTAGCTTCGCTCATATGTTCTCAGCATCTCCAACATTCCGCCGGCGGTCGTACGAGCGCTAGCCAGCCTACTTAGCGCCCATTTATGCTGTGAGCGCATGATCTGAGCAAGCATCGCGTCCACCTTTCCTCTTCCCTTGCTCCTCGGGTTCTACGGGTCTCTCTTCCACCATGAATATCAGGCTGGTACGGGTAGGTGAGGCAAAACCAACGCGCGGCGGGCATCCTCTTACGGTGGCCAGATAGACGACCTCACGGGCATGCAAGCATGCAACCTGCAAAACCTCCCTGAAAACTACACGCTGAAATACTGTGCGCCCGCTCTTCGCTGCTGCATCTAAGGGACTGTGCATCTGATTCAGGGGACCTCTGGTAGATCTGTACCACGCGCTCACGTGGCCCCAGCTGTCGTATGTTGCGGAGGAGGACGGGAAGATCGTGGGGTACATCCTGGCGAAGATGTGCGTATTCTTGCTGCGTTTGCGCGGTGACAGGCTGACTGTGTTCGCAGGGAGGAGGACGTTAATGAGGGCGACGAGCCTCATGGCCATGTTACTTCCATCTCGGTCTTGCGATCGTACCGTCGACTGGGCTTGGCGAAGCGGCTCATGATCCAGTCTCGTGAGTCGTAGCTTGCCTTTGCTAGGCGTTTTGAGTTAACGGTGTGTGTAGAGGAGGCGATGGCGACCGTGTATAAGGCGTCTTACGTGTCTCTACACGTCCGTAAGTCTAACCGCGCCGCCCTCGGGTTGTACCGCGACACGCTCGGGTTCACCCAAAAGGACACCGAAAAAGGATACTGTGCGCATCTCTTTCTACTGTGTGCGCCCGCAGGACGCTGACCGAAAGTGCCATTCAACCCAGACGCGGACGGGGAGGACGCGTATGCGATGCGCCTGTCACTCAAGCACTTCGCGCGGTAGACGCTAGATGTGTGATGTATCCCTACAGCGCGCGTCGCGCTAGACATATACTACATAATGTTACATATCCTGCGAAAACTCATAAGGTTCGCCCCACCTAGCCCTCTATTGGCGACTCTTCCGCGGCCGGTGAGTGCGATGCTTCGTCCAGCGCAGGACTAGACGGCTCGGTTGACGCTTCGGGAACCGTCTGAGGTGCCTGGGGGTCTTTCGACGGAATTTCCGGCTGATGCTCTGCTTGTTGTGTGGGTGGTTTGGGCGGCGGCTGTGGTGGTGCTGAAGCGGCTCGGTGGCGTTGGATAGCTACCCGCACTAGCTGCGCGGTTGACAGCCCCAGTTCGTAGTAGCCGTCGTTCGTCTTGCTATCGAACATTCCGGTATGTGCCTGGATCTCGTCCGACGCCAGCGTATTGCGATTCGCGACGAAATGGGCACCGAGAGGGGTCTTGGGCCTCGGGAGGACAGCAAAGGTCCGCGGAGAAGGATTCGCAGGCGGGTTTGCCGGGAGATACGAGTAGAACCTGTCACCCCAGTGAGTTGCCAGTCCGAACAGCCTGAGAGCGGACGTACGTGTGGAACAGGACGCCCATGCGCGACTCGATCTCGAGCAGCTTGCTCAGTCGCTCCTCCAGCTCGGCCTGGCTCCACAGGTTCCCGACGTACTTCATGTGGTCGGAGACCCACGCGTAGCTGGTCCCGATGTCGTCGCGCTTGTAGTACGCAGTTCCGGCAGCGGCTCCGGCGATGAGCGCTCCGCCGACGGCGTATGCTGCGGGTGCCCACTTGGACCATACCGAGGTCGTTGCGGTGGTCGACTGCGCCCCAGCCGCCGCGGCCGTTGCGGCGGACGTAGATGCCGCCGTCGTTGTGGTGGTCGTCTTCGCGCCCCACCCCTTGAAACCGCTCAGAACATTGGTGGCTGAGCGGACATAGTCTGCTGCTTGGGTGGCGCTGTTCTTGAACATGAAGGGGTGGAGGCCGAGATACTGCGCGGGAATCATGAGAGGGACGTGCGTTAGGCAAGCGGGTATGGCTTACTGGTGTGTCGAATGCGATGCAGGCAACGATGTTAGGCCACAGTGGTGCGAGCTTGTCGGGACGAGTGTTGACGAACTCGATAAGAGCGTCCGCTGCGAGCAGACCGCCCATACTGCCCGCTATACTGTCAGACGACGAGTCTCAAACAGATAAGTCAGCGCACCTATGTCCACATAGGACAATGTTAGCTTTGCCTGCCCCTCCACCTATGCCGTTCGCTACCTCCCGCCGCACGGTGAGGTCGGTAAGCCAGTCTGCGAACCTGGTGACAGCTGCATTCTACGCGGAGTCCTTCAGTAGTGAATGTATGTGATTAAATGGCTAGACCTACGAGGTCGCCCTTGGTCTGTGCAGCAAGACGGTGAGCGTACATACTAGCAGATTGCAGCACATACGCACTTCGTAGGCGGGAAATACGATGCTCTCCACGGTGGTATTGTCTAGGCTCTCAGCAAGGATGTGTTGCAGTCGCTCAGGGAACTGGCCAAAGGTGGTATCCGTTCCCTTGAATCTACGCGTGTGTCAACATTATGTCGCGCGTAACCAGGGCTATAGACGCACCCATGTATAAATACAATCAATACCAGGTCGGTAGGGGTTGGCGCAACGGCGGCCTCAGCGGGATTTCCGGCAGACGATGAGACTTCAGGGGATTGCATGATGGCAGTACAGCATCACAGAGGACGAGGGAGCGCACGGGGTTGCACGAGTGGCAGACGCTGCGAGCCCGGCGATGCTCTCCGCAAAGCGCAACGAGGCGGGAATTGCTATTTTTGGACTGGGCGGGCTGCACATGTGATTTATGCTTCTCACGGTCGGAAGCGCTGGAGATGAGATCATCGGCCCGCGCATGCTCTTGTCGTACTTGTCTCTCGACCACCACCATGTCCACCTCGAATGATATCGACTTCGCTCCTGTGCTTAAGTATCTCGGACTGCCTGAGACTTATGAACCTGACCCTCGCACTGCGCCTATGGACTTTCTGCATCGAAACCTGCAGTCCCTGCCTCCCCATCTTCTTAGGCTCTTTTCTGCGAACACAACGCCAAAGCAAAGAACAGCTGTACCAGCCATCCGTAGCAGGCGGCTGAAGTATTCGCAGTCTAATCCGCGAGAGCTTTCGCTCTCCAACGCCAAATCGACGTGGCCGACACTTTGGGAAGGCAGGGAGAGGCCAGGAAAGGAACAGGCGAAGGAGGAGAAGGAGTGGGCGCAGAAGGCATTCATGGGCGGTGGGAAGCAGCAGGTGGGAAAGCTAGGCTCGCTGCTTGGCAACTACGAGGAGGAGCGTGAGTCGGAGCGCGTTAGGACAATACGCAGACAGCGAGCGGAATATATCGAATCGCTCCCTGAAGAAGATGAAGAGAGTGATGACGAGGAAGATGCCCCTCCTCAAGACCTTTCACCAGCTGAGGCTGAGGCTACCTTCCTGAGGTTGGTCAAGGAGAAATTTATCTACGGTTTTCTCGAGGTATGTCTATGCTAGTCGAATATGTCTACGTATGTTCTGATGAACAACAGTCCATCGACTACGACGAGGTGGACTGGGATGAACGTTGGGATGAGGACCTCGACAGGGATGCTGAGGACAGATGGTTTGACGACGAAGAGGAAGGCTGACTGGCCAAAGTATAGCAATAGCAGGAGAATCATTGAGCCAGGTCTCGACCCTTCAAGTGTGCATCGCAGCTCAACACCACTCTCTCAGCCACTGACGAAAGTGTAGCTATTCATAACCCCACACTATGTTACGCCACACCGTCGGGTAGGTTTCTCATGCGCCTGCTGCTATCTGCTGTTCAGGTGCTCCGGCTCAGCGGCGCGGCGTCGTATTGCTTGGTAAGACATCTGGTGGAGTACTTAAGGCTGGTACCCATGGGCGGCGGGTCAGGAGCCCAAGCATCCCGCGAAACGATACGTCTCACCGATGGCTAACGTACCTCGATTTAAGCTGAACACTGGCGCTCTGATACCTGCTGTTGGTATGAATGACGTCCGCCAGTTTTTGTAGCGAGAATGCCTGATCAATCTTGTCAACAGGTCTCGGAGGGTGGTCTGGTAATACTCCGGAAGAGCGTGAAAACGGTTGGAAGTTCATGTTTAGTGCTCTGAAGGTACGTGTCGTAACTTATCAGCAACTACATGATGTCCCATCTAACCCCGATATTTTGTCAGGCCGGATACCGGCTGATTGACACCGCCTACCACTATGGTGAATAGTCTATGCTCTTTTGGAGAGGTTTGTGCCTGACGTTTAACCGTCTGGGTAGGCACCGAGACGACTACCGCAGTTGCAATCAAGAAGTCCGGAATACCCCGCGAGGAAATTTGGATTACTACGAAGCTCCAGTACGTACGCATCATGTAGACAATGCTAAGGGTGCTCATGGCCGCCTTCAGTTACCAACACACGCCGTGGGTCGAGAAGTACTTCCAAAAGAGCCTCGACAACCTCGACACCGATTACGTTGACTTGGTACTATTATATTGCGCTACTTTAGGCCATTGCTCTGCTCTCTAACATGATACCAACGCAGTACTTGATGCACTGGCCGATGACCTGCAAGTTTGTTGGTAAGGACGGAGTATCCGACCCGTTCGAACGTTACTTACTTACCCATCAGAGGACGATCCGGAGCCGCTGGACGAGCAAGGCAACGTTATCCTGGATGATACCCACACGTTCACCGCAACGTGGGCGGACATGGAGAAGATCTACGAGAGCGGGAGAGCGAAGGCGATCGGGGTCAGCAACTTCTCCGTCAAGAAGTGAGTCCAGGCGCATGTATCTCGAACGTATCTTCTGATGTTCCTTGTAGCCTCGAGAAGCTCCTCGAGACGGCGAAGGTCGTCCCCGCCGTCAACCAGGTCGAGTAAGTCGCGACGATCTTCCGAGACGCGACACGTCCGTTGATCCGACGTGTACTTAGGATGCACCCGTACCTCGCTCAGCCCGAGTTGAAGAAGTATTGTGACGAGAAGGGCATAGTGCTCACCGCGTACACCCCGACAGGTAAACTTTCTCGGATCTCGCAAAGGAGGCCCCGAAGGCCGTATATTGACCGCGCACCAGGCTACAATACCGTGCGTTCTGACCCTACGATCATTGAGCTCGCGGAGAAGTACAAGACGACACCGGGACAAATCATCATCAGCTGGCATGTCGCCCGGGGCGTCGCCGTTGTGCCGAAGAGCTCCAACGAGCAGAGGCAGAAGGATAATCTCAACGTATGTGGTCCGGCAATGCGCTTGTTCTCTTGGCCGAGTTTCATTTGACCTCGATGCGCAGGTTCTGGACCTAGACCCGGAAGACGTCAAACGCATCACCGCCCTGGATCGCAACAAACGACTCTGCAACTACGCTAATGAGCACGGGAAGGTGAATGGTTGGACGTACGAACAACTGGGTTGGTAAGGGCCGCGCTGTATCTATGAAATGAATTCGCCGCTAGGATGTACGATTACGAAGATTTTGAAGGTATGCGGGCCGTTGCTCCCCTCTCCAATGCGATTCCATCTTCCTTATACGGAGGAAGTACTGCTAAGTCTGTCGTCACTGCACGCGATTCATTCACTACGACCACCAGATGAGCTAGAGAGTGTAGAGGAACGGCAGCAAAGCGCTATTTTAAGCAGCGGGCCTCGCCATTTCACCGATGTTCATGACGCTGACTGGACAGTTCTCATGGGATGATGCTCGGGCGAGCACGTGCCGCATCGCAATGCCCGCGGAAAACGTGGTGTGTTCTATACGCTGGTCCGTTGAGATACGCCGTCATTCGAGGTACGCCGGTCTGTGTGTTTGTGGTCATGGCGCGGAGAACTCACGGAGATGATAGGTGCATCGTGTGCTCACGCGCGGAGAGTATGCTCGACATCGTCTGAAGTGAGTAATTGTTACTCCTCACCCGTTCAGGACATGTGGGTACTTGCGACGACGAAAAACGGTGCCGGCACGAGCAGTGCGTACCTAAGGAGCAGAATGATCCGCAGAAGAAGCTCGCCATCATTGACTTAGTCGCGGCACGTCGAAGAACGATCCGAAATATATCCTTTCCTAATACGTACCGCCTCAACTTCGGATGCCCATACTCCATCGTGACTTTTTCCCCCGGACTCTGCAATACGCTCTGGGGCCCTGCGCTGCTCCGGGAAGGCCTACGCTATCCGCCGAGGCAGTCACGCAAGCGTGAATCGCCGAAGCACACTCGAGATGCTCCACGACGCTCGCACCGAAGACACAATGCCAAGCCAGAAGCCCCGGCTCGTTCGACCTGGGGTAGGCTTTGTTTGAGGTATAAATGCGAGCTCGGTAGGCTTGGCCATCCTCAGACCGCTGCGCTTGTCAAACATGAAGCTCGCACTCCTTTCCATCCTGGCCGCGGCTGCCATTGGCGCCAATGCGCACTGTGAGCTCATCTCGACCTCCGCGCTGCATTCATTTCGCTGACATTCCCTGTGATAGTCACCATGCAGTACATCTGGGTCAACGGCGTACGCCTCGAGCAGTTGGCTGTCATATAACCTGGTCGCTGACGCTCTGTTCTATCTCAGGCTGACCAGGGTCAGAACACGGACATCCGTATCCCGCCCAGCAACAACCCGGTCACGGACGTTACCTCGAAGGACCTCACCTGCAACGTCAACGGCCTCACCGGCACTGGTGTCTCCACCGTGTCCATCCCCGCTGGCTCCAACGTACGTTTCGGGTAAAATGTTACTCTCACAAGCCGTCTGATCTCGCCCCACAGATCACCTTCGAGTGGCACCAGCACGCTCAGCGCACTGGCGAGGACGCCATCTCCGGCGGACACAAGGGTCCCGTTCAGGTCTACATCGCCAAGGCGCCGTCCACCGCCGCCTCGTTCGACGGCCAGGGCACTGTCTGGACCAAGATCTACTCTTCAGGTCTCCTCAACGCGCAGTCCCAGCAGTGGGCGACCGATATCGTCAATGCTGACAACGGTGTGCATTACGGCTTCTTGATTGGTCGTTTAGGAGGCTGATACGTGCACGACACAGGCAAGCACAGCGTTGTGATTCCCGCCTCCCTGCCGGCTGGCGAGTACCTGCTTCGCTCGGAGATCGTAAGCACACTCCCCTGGGACGTGTACATCCACAGGTACTGATCCTGGTCCTGCAGATTGCGCTCCACGTTGCCCAGAGCTACCCTGGTGCCCAATTCGTATGTACTTGTTCGTTGACTCTGATGATCCGTGTTGACCATGCGTCTACGCGCACGCCTATAGTACATTGGTAAGCTATACATACCTCTGATACATAGCCTATATGAGTCTAACGTGTATCGTTTGTTCAGGCTGTGCTCAGGTCAAGATCACCGGTGGAGGCAGCGCGAACCCGCCGAAGATCGCTCTTCCGGGTGCCTACAAATCGAGCGACCCCGGTATCACCGTCAACATCTACAACAACCTCCAGAGCTACACCGCGTGGGTCTTTCTTCATATACTGATATATGTTGTGATATCGGGATTGAATGCGCTTCTCTTGATAGTCCTGGCGGCCCCGTCTGGTCTGGGTGAACTGTTCCGTCTATGTAGCATACCACACATATACTGTATCTGTTTCTCGGGCAATAGCATGGATATCGCACATACATCACTGTGTACGTGTGTTGTATACGCGATGCAACTTGGACAGCATATACCGCAAGCGGCGCGTCCGAGCCGACGTGCTGTGGGTGGCCGCATCAACCACAGCAGTTGCCATAACGGGCGCCCGCACGTTGCTGATACATCTCCGCCGCCTCATTGCCACCGCGAGCCACAGTCGACGAGCGCGCTCCTCTGGGCCAGTCCCGCTCATGGTGAGGTCGGGAGTCCCTTCAAGTGTCTGTTAGGCTTCTTTCGACACGGCCTCGTAGGTACAGCAGAGCGGTACCCGCGGTCAAGGGCATGGGACCATCGTCATCACTGCCTTACGTGTCGATATCCTCAGGCGGCATGGCTTCCGCCTCCCCTCTGCCCTGTGTGAGGACCTCTCTTGATATAAGCCTCGCTCTCGCACAACCGTGGGACAACGCCGCGATCCCCAGTTCTCTTTCACATCCTCCGTAAACCCCGCCCGCTTCACGGCTATGTCCTCGGTGTGTGCCTGTCTCGCTTGTTGCACTACGCCTCGCGGTGATACTTACAAGCCATGCGCATGTGCGGCAGATGAACATAACGCTCTCACGACTCGACAGACTGTACCTCGCGAAAGTAGCGGACCAGGCTGAACGCTATCAAGGTATATTCGTGTGAACATAGTCCTGTATACCGGTGACACTGACCACGCTTCGTCTCTCCCCTGACGGTTTTGTGTAGATGTCATCGACCAGCTTAAGGACGTCATAAACGCGAACGACGCTCAACTCACCATCGACGAGCGGAATCTACTGTCCATAGGCTACAAGAATCTCACCGCTAACCTTCGCTCAAGCTGGCGTACCATCGACACCTTGCAGAAGAAGGAGGCTCTCTTGTCAACACGACAGGAAGTCAAGCTCATGCGCGTACAGAAGGAGCGGATAGAGAAGGACATCGACGCTCTCTGCCGGGACGTCATTGACCTTCTCGAGCGCACTCTCATACCGGCCGCGAATGACGGCGAAGAGAAGGTGTTCTACTCCAAGATGTAAGCCTTACCCTACTCACATCGCTGCAGTCTATCTAATTTATCAAGGCGAGGGGACTACTACCGCTACCTCGCCGAGCTGACCCGTCTTAAACCCAAGGAGAACCTAGCGGCTGTGTCACTCGAGGCCTACAAGTTCGCTTACCAGCATGCGCTCATCACGCTCCCGCCGACACATCCGACACGCCTGGGCTTGGCTCTCAACTTCGCTGTATACTTTCACGACATCATGCGCAGCCCTGAACGAGCGTGTCATCTAGCGAAGCACGCCTTTGACGAGGCTATATCGGCGGCCTCCGAGTCACCGTCAGAGGGCACGAACTTGGAGGACTCATTGATGATACTGCAGCTCATGCGGGACGATTTGATCCTATGGCACGGGGAAATTGGCAGAGGTATGTCCTTCATATCGCGTGCATATTGAGCTCACATTTCGCTGATACTTGTGTTATTGCGACGTCGCGGTCAGATTGAGTCGGTACTTTCAAAGGTACACAGTTATGCCTGTATCATACTATTCATCGGCCGCCTGGCGAAATGGCATCGCGTCTGACTACGAATCAGGAGATTGCAGGTTCGACCCCTGCGGTGGTCATCAGATTGTTTTTCTGCGGTCTGTGCCTGTTTTTTTGGGCTTGGAAAGCGAGGGAGGGCAGGGGAGGAGGAGGAGAACCATCGGAACGGCCGCAGGAGCCATTAGGCGCCGGAAATATATATAGGCACCGGGCGGATGTATAGCCGTCCCACAGGTGTACATTCACAGCAAGCTGATTAAAAAGAACAGGCATGGTAGACTCGTCGAATGAAGTTCAGAGAGTGATACAAGGTACCCGCAATGAAAGGAGCGCGAGGACGCAATTCTAGTACACGGTGAGTATGCTACAGTACATCGTTTTATTCGTTCTTCTAATCTGACTGGGCGAAGGTGCCTGCTACTAACAAGGGGAAGACGAGAGTTGCGTCGGCAAACACCTGGGTGAACACGTCAGAGCTAGCAACTTACATTCGCGCCAAGTCTGGTCGCTTACCTTGACCGATTCCGACCCAGCTCGGATCTTCCCCCAGGATACCGCTTCGTCCGGTCGTGCACCAGAGTCCGAGCCGTCAAACTCCTGACCGGTATTCTGTGATTGGGCGTAAGCTTATCGCCCAGGGGAGCAACCAAGGGGTCACTTACGATGTAGACCGAGTAATCGGCACCGTTACGCTACAGCCACCGAAACGGTGAGTAGTATTCCCTGGCTCCCATGAACAGCACCTACAATCAACATCGCGTTGGCGATTTGATGCTTGCAGACACCACCACCGAGGATGATCATCCCGGCCTTCTTTGATTTTCGTGAGAGCTCGTTGATGTTGCGGATATCTTGGACGATGTCTACGACCAGGCCAGGGTTTTTGAACGAGTGGAAGTATATCATGTCTCCAATCGATCCGTCGGTGAGCGCAGGGCAGAACACCGGAATGTCGTTCTAGACAAGCAGGACAACGCTCAGCGCGGAGCGGTGAGGATCAAGAACACGTTTATTCACTTTGTAAGCCCAGTAGTATACAGATTCCTCGTTGTTGATCTCCTTGCCAAGCCGGCGAATGAATGAGCTCGGGGTCCACACCTGCCCGGTCTCCTTCTGCTCGGCGAGCATCGCGTCCAAGATGGGCGTCAGCCAGTCCTCAAATTTGCAGTAGTTGTCGTTCGGGACGATGAGGTTGCCGATTCGGTTCATGCCCTTTTTGCGGAGCTCAGCGCCGTCTAGGTTGAATTCTGCGAGGTACGTCTTCCCGAGGCACTTGATGAAGTCTTCCTCGATCCCGCCGGCGGTCGTGACGATGGCGGTGACATGCTTGTGCTTCGCGAGGTATAGTAAGATTTCTCGGAGACCAGACGAGATGAGATTCGACGTATAGCCCAGGAAGACGTTGCACTTCGTGTTTGCTCGGACCTCCGGATCCAAGTAATCCTCCGATTCGTCCTCAGCGACGGGCTCGTCTGAGAGCCTCCATTTGCGCTAGGCGGGGCTCGGTGAGTGGTCAAATATTGATTAATGTGGTACTGCACCATCTTGTTCACGATATCGATAGCTTTCCCCAGGCTATTTGCCTGAAATCCGATTCTCTTGTAGCTCTCCAGCAGCTGCTGAAGAGACACTTCCTGTTCGAAATTGGGGCCCTTCACCGAGACCGCGAAGTCCGGCATCGGTTCCGAAGGCATGAGAACTGCGGCTGAGGCGCCAGATGGTATCGCGTTGGCCGAAGCCATTTCGAACGTGGAGACGGAGGAGAAACGGCGGGGTGATGGTGGTTGAGCGAAGAATTGCAAGGAACTGGACATGAAGGCACGAAATGTGGGAGATAAGATTAGATGGAGGCCAGGGACGATCTGGATCTCGCTGCGCCCCGGTTACCGAAACGAGCGACGCGTCTCATGATGAGCAACACACCGCCCTTCCTCCACACCGACCTTACCCTCTGGCGCTGACACGACGACCCCTGGCTCCCGCCAACGCCACACACGACCTGGACGTCCTATACCTTAATGTCGGCCGCCATGGACGCCGAAATATCCGTTCATGAGGCCTCTATCCCCTTGCCACCATCGCCGCCGCCCCATGACGAACCTATGCCGAGTATCCTGTCCCAATTTGCAACAATGAGGGATCCTGTGGACGAGAACCGAGCTAGGTCGGCAGACGGAGAAAGGCACAGGCCACCTAGTCCCTACGGACGCGAGGAGGAACAGGGTGAGTACTCGTTACATCCCGACGCCGCCGCGACCACACCCGCGCCCGAAAACACTATCTCTCCGCCGAATGGAACCCCAGCGCCATCGCAGGACCAGTCTGCAGAGGGTATTCTACCGGTACAAGAGGTTTTACAGGAACGCACAAGAGATTTCGAGGACTCCGCGCCCCCGCCGACGCCGCCAGCCAAACCAGTACCCTCCAACCCCGTGTCTCCTGCGACGCGCCGCGAAAGCGCCCTGCCTGCTTCTCCCCAGGCTACCAATGGACACGCAAGGCCGTCCGTGGACAGCAGGCCTTCCACCCCCAACGGACGCTTCCCTACGAGACAATCTTCGGACTCGCACAAGCGGTCGCTCACGCTTTCCAAAGGCAACACAGTCTCAGTGGTTCTCATATCCTCTGCGCTGGAGATCATCGCTGCGTCCAAGGAAGCGAAACGCTCTACCCCTCTTCGCGAAAGCGTACAACGCGCGTTGGAAATGGTCAAGTTGGGGCAAGGCGGCGACCGTCCTAGGGAGATTTTCGAGCCGCTGCGTCTGGCTTGCGAGACGCGCAACGAGAAGCTAATGATAGCAAGTTTGGACTGCATCTCTAAGCTCATCTCGTACTCGTTCTTTGCCGAGAATATCTCCACACCGCAGGCACCATCCTCCCCGCCTCCCTCGCCCGGTCCGAACTCTCGTAACTCCATGTCAAATGGGTCACAGACGTCGCTGCAGCCACCTTCACTTGTTGACCTGGTCGTGCACACTATTACCTCCTGCCACACGGAGAACACCCCCGAGACCGTTTCCCTACAGATTGTGAAGGCGCTGCTTGCTCTGGTCCTCTCGCCGACAATTCTGGTTCACCAGTCCTCCCTCTTGAAGGCTGTCCGGACGGTCTACAACATCTTCCTGCTGAGTCTCGATGCTGTGAACCAGATGGTAGCTCAGGGAGGGCTAACCCAGATGGTGAACCATGTGTTCGCTCGTTGCAAGCTCAGCTCGCTACCTCAGAACGAATCTATGACCACTCTTGCTATGCGCGATAGCGAGAGCGTGAAGTCCCCTCGGCGACCTTCCACCGTGCTATCTCCGCGGAACTCTTTGCCGCTTCCTCCGCAGACACCCTCGGTGAACGGTAGTGAAGAGACCGGGACTACGTTGGTCCAAGAAGACGGTGAAGGGTCATCGACAGCGGCGTCTCAGGCAGAAGAAACCGCGGACGAGCCTTCGGAGAATGGCGCCGCGGAGGGAGACGTAAACGGTTCACATCACTCCATGTAGGTGACACATTTGGCTGGGCGACATGTCTCTGACCTCCCACATAGGAGAGAAGCTTCGGAATCTGCTGCGAGCGAAGCGCTTCCTGACGAGGAGCCTGAGGCCGATATTCCACTTCGCGAACTCACGACCAACGACATGTTCATTAAAGACGCTTTCCTTGTCTTCAGAGCGTTATGCAAATTGACCATGAAGCCTTTGAACAGCGAAAGGTGAGCTGAACGTCTCATCGTGGTATCTCTTAATCTCACAGGCATGGCAGTGAGCGCGACTTGAAGTCCCACGCCATGCGGTCGAAGCTGCTTTCCTTACACCTCGTTCTCATGATCTTGAACTCGCACATGCCCATCTTCGTCTCTCCCTCCGCCATCATCTACTCATCTTCGTCCCACGAGGCCACACCATTCATTCAGGCCGCGAGTCAGTACCTATGCTTGTCTTTGAGCAGGAATGCGGTCAGTCCTGTACCCCAGGTCTTCGAGATTAGCGTCGAGATCTTCTGGAGGGTCGTCGCCGGCCTTCGCACCAAGCTCAAGGTTCGCCAGATCAACCTGCACAACCGCTAGACTGTATTCACATTTACTACAGAAAGAGATCGAAGTTCTCCTCCACGAGATCTTCATTCCTATCCTTGAGATGAAGACTTCGACGTTGAAGCAGAAGGCGGTCATCCTCAGCATGCTTCAGCGGCTCTGCCAGGAACCTCAAGCCCTCGTGGAGATCTACCTGAACTATGACTGCGACGGCGAAGCAGTTGATAACATCTACGAGCAGTATGTGCTCGTTCTATGTGCATATATTCCAGCTCTTATCACGTATCTGCAGCTTGATGAACATCATCTCGAAGATTGGGACCGCGCCAATATCATCCGTGCCGCAGAAGGGCAATGACCCGAACAGCCCCGCTCTACAACCGCAGACGAAGCAGCACCATGGACCTGGCCAGGTGCCACCCTCGTTTAGCACAGCCTCTCTTTCGGTTCCGGGTAACGTGGATGTCTCTACCATTGGAAACTCTGAGGCGCAACTTCGGAGACAAGGACTGGAGTGCCTAGTAGCTGTACTCAAGTCCCTGGTCTCGTGGGGGACGACGAACTCGTCTCCCCCCGAGCATGCCTCGGATCCGATGACGCGCTCGCAGCTGGAAGAATCTCACCGTGACAGTTCCACGCCGGACATCACAACGGCTGGACTCTCGCCCGGTGGCGTGGATCCGACAAGGGGACCTACTCCTGAGGTTGTCGACGACCCCACCAAATTCGAGAGCGCGAAGCAGAAGAAGACGACGCTGCTAGAGGGTATCAAGAAGTTCAACTTTAAGCCCAAGCGTGTAAGGTCCTACCTATCATTTTTGATGAGGCTACGCTCATACCTCTACGCAGGGCATCGAATTCCTCATCGAAACCGGCTTTATTGCCAGCAGGGAACCTAAAGACATAGCGCGATTCCTGCTCGAGACCGACGGCCTCAACAAGGCGGCGATTGGCGAGTATCTCGGCGAGGGGTGAGTTTCAGGTGGCGTTTGTATGAACACGCATGATGCTGATATTTACGCCAGCGACGAGGAAAATATCACCATCATGCACGCCTTTGTCGATACGATGGATTTAGGCAACATGCCCTTCGTCACCGCGCTCCGTACGTTCCTGCAGGCTTTCCGTCTTCCCGGAGAGGCCCAGAAGATCGATCGTTACATGCTCAAGTTTGCTGAACGGTATATCGCGACCAACAGCAACACACCGTTCACGAATGCCGGTAAGAGATTCGCTCTGTTTTGGTTGGCTTGGTTTAACGATCCTCTGCAGACACTGCGTATGTACTTGCATACTCTACCATCCTGCTCAACACGGACGCCCACAACCCGCAAGTGAAGAATCGCATGACTAAGCAGGGCTTCATCGCGAACAACCGAGGCATCAACGACGGTCAAAACCTGCCCGAGGACCTCCTCAACGCAATTTATGACGAGATCGTGAGTAACGAGATCCGCATGAAGGATGAGGTCGAAGCTGCACCTACCGTTGTAGCGCCTGCTCCTGGAATCGCAGGCGTCCTCGCGAACGTCGGTAGGGACTTCCAGAAGGAGGCATATGTCATGCAGTCCAACAACATGGCGAGCAAGACGGAGGTACGTGTTATATATCCATACACTCGCGTTATATCCCCTCTAACCGGACAACAGGCCCTATTCCGCACCCTCATGCGGTCGCAGCGGAGAGGAACGAAGTCGAATGAGCAGTTCTTCAGCGCGTCCCACTTTGTACACGTCCGGCCCATGTTCGAGGTTGCCTGGATTCCCTTCCTCGCCGGAATCTCCGGGCCGCTCCAGGACACGGACGACATCGAGGTCGTGGAGCTTTGCTTGGAGGGCTTTAAGGCGGCTATCCACATTGCCTGCTTCTTCGACTTGGAACTCGAGCGCAACGCCTTCGTCAGCACTCTTGCCAAGTTTACGTTCTTGAACAACTTGGGCGAGATGAAGACGAAGAACATGGAGGCGATCAAGACGCTGCTGGACGTCGCCGTCACCGAGGGCAACCACCTCAAGGCCTCATGGCGCGAAGTGCTTACTTGTGTCAGTCAGCTAGAGCACATGCAGCTCCTCAGCAGTGGTGTCGATGTCCCCGATGCAGGACGGAAGGGGTGAGTAGAGAACCGCACTATAATAACTAGCTAGCTTATTTCAACGCTTCGCAGCCGTGTGCGCAAACCGCCCACCGAGGAGCTGGCCAATGAGAGTCGGTCCACACACATCACCGTTGCCGCAGATATGGTGTTCTCTCTCAGTCACTATCTCTCAGGAGTACGTTCTTACCGCTCGTCGTGACACTCTCGCTTATCTTGTTTGTAGACGGCGATTGTCGACTTCGTTCGGGCGTTGTGTGATGTCTCTTGGGAGGAGATCCAGTCCTCCGGTCTCTCCCAGCACCCCCGGTTGTTCAGCTTGCAGAAGCTTGTGGAGATCTCGTACTACAACATGAACCGTATCCGTCTGGAGTGGTCGAACATGTGGGATATCCTCGGCGAACACTTCAACCAGGTACGTAGCAAAGTTCGTGTTGAGGTTGCAGCCAGACTTATAATCGTCTGCAGGTGTGTTGCCACAAGAACCCGCACGTCGGGTTCTTCGCCTTGGACGCTCTTCGTCAACTAGCCATGCGCTTCTTGGAGAAGGAGGAGCTCGCACACTTCAAGTTCCAGAAGGACTTCCTGCGCCCGTTCGAATATACCATGATCCACAACTCCAACCCCGATGTCCGCGACATGGTGCGTACCCTGGTATTGGACAACGACGCGGCTGCTCATACCAATACAGGTTCTGCAATGTCTACAACAAATGATTCAAGCCCGTGTCCACAATCTACGCTCTGGTTGGAGGACGATGTTCGCGGTCTTCTCTGCTGCCTCCAAAGCTGCAACAGGTTTGTTTTGACTGCACTGTGTGGTGTCCTCTTACTGATAGCGATATTGCAGAGCGCATCGCCAACTCGGCGTTCGAGATCGTCGTGCGACTGAACAAGGAGCACTTCTCATCTATAGTCCGCCACGGCTCGTTCGCGGATCTGACCGTCTGCATCACTGACTTCTGCAAAGTGAGCAAGTACCAGAAGATCAGCTTGTTAGCCATCGGAATGCTTCGCGACATCATCCCGACCATGCTGGAGTGTCCCGATTGCGGGTTCAAGGAGACGAATCACTCTGCGACCGATGACCCCATGATCAAGTATTGGTTCCCGGTCTTGTTCGGGTTCTACGACGTGATCATGAACGGCGAGGACCTCGAAGTGCGGCGCCTGTACGTTGCAGTTTTCTACATTCGCAGGTTTCCAAAACTCACAATACATGTAGTGCGTTGGACTCTCTCTTCAGTACTCTCAAGAAGTACGGATCGACGTACCCTTTGGAGTTCTGGGACACCGTCTGCCAGGAGTTGCTGTTCCCCATGTTCGCGGTGCTCAAGTCGAGCCAAGATCTATCGCGCTTCAGCACGCAGGAAGACATGAGCGTCTGGCTGTCCACGACGATGATCCAGGCTCTCAGGAACCTCATCGACCTGTACACCTTCTACTTCGAGACTCTGGAGCGGTTCCTCGACGGCCTGCTCGATCTGTTGTGTGTGTGCATTTGCCAAGGTCGGTGATGTTGTGTCTTGTGGGCGCTCGTGAGCTGACACGCTGTGCAGAGAACGATACCTTGGCTCGGATAGGCACGTCATGTCTCCAGCAGCTCCTGGAAAGCAACGTCAAGAAGCTCAGTCCCGCGAGATGGGAACGCGTAGCGACGACCTTCGTCAAGCTCTTCAGGACAACAACGCCTCATCAGCTATTCGACGAAAGTCTGAGGGTAGAGATCGATGGCAACGGCGCCGACCTCCAGGATGCCGCAGGTCTGTTTTGATTTCACGACGTTCGCTAAAGCAGGTTTTGATTTTGTATATTCAGATTCGAACGACGGAGCGATGATCCCTGCGCCATTGTCGCCTAACAGCGAGCAACCCAAGGCGGGAGCGAGGATGTCTCTCAACGAGCGGCGACGCATCTTCAGGCAGATCATTGTCAAATGTGTCCTGCAGCTGCTCCTCATCGAGACCACCAACGACTTGCTGCGGAACGACGAGGTGTACAACACCATCCCGCCCGAGCACCTGCTCCGGTTGATGGGCATTCTGGATCACAGCTACCAGTTTGCGAGGATGTTCAACGAAGACAAGGAGCTCCGCACCGGCCTGTGGAAAGTTGGTACGTAAAAATTGCGTGCACTGCGCTCGACTACCATTGCTTATGTTACGTCTCAAAGGGTTCATGAAGCATCTGCCGAACCTTCTGAAGCAAGAGTCGAGCAGCGCGTCGACGCTCGTCCACGTTCTCCTGCGCATGTATTACGATCCTCGACCTGATCACCAGGCGGCGCGACCCCAGGTAGCGGATCGTCTCATGCCGTAAGTACTTGCGCGGGTTATCCTGCGCGTACAACTTCTCACACCGAAAACTACAGACTCGGCCTCGGCGTGTTGCAAGACTTCAACAAGTTGCGCCTAGATACACAAGCCAAAAACATCGCAGCTTGGACGCCGGTCGTCGCTGAGATCCTACAAGGATTTGTCCGTTTCGATGACAAGGCGGTAAGTACGATCTGCGTGCCGCGTAGAGTGTAGACTAACATGCATCTATACAGTTCACTAGATACCTCCCCGCCGTGTACCCGCTCGCGACGGACCTCCTGTCGAGAGAGATGGCGCCCGAGATCCGGGAGGGACTGCGGGAGTACTTCCTGCGGGTTGGATATATCCAGGGCATCGTAGAACGTTCATGATCTCGTACAGTCGCCTGCTATCTTATTGCTCCACACGGTTGTATAATGGCCTCTTCGGGTATATTAATGCAATGTTTCCAGTTAATCCGGCTCTGGAATGGGACCAAGAGAATCGAAGACGTAGAGATCGTGTAAGGTAGTAAATACGTGCAGTGTTCAATGCTGGTAGCCATATCCTCCACCCTGGTAGCCGTTCATGCCGCCGTACCCACCGCCCCACCCGGTAGACTGTACGGTGAGCGGTGTAGCTAAAGTGGTACGGTCAGAACTTATATGCCGAGAATAGGAAGCGTCCTGAACTCACGATTAGGACGAAGAGCGTCATATTTGTCTGCGAAGGCACGCGATTAGCCTGTTTCCACGAGTGTGTAGGAAATGTTACATACCTTGAGACTGTGGCCCTGTCTCGTCGTTGGCGAATGTTCCGCTCTTCATCTGGGCGAAGATGTTCGCAGGGTTAGTGCTGACCGCAGAATGTGTAGGCACGGGTGGTGGAGGTGGTGGAGGGGGCGCCTGGACGCTGTAGCTGCCGCTACCGAACGGCGACTGGGCGAAACCAGGGTTGAAGCCAGTGGGGTCTACAAGATAACATTAGCCATCGCCAACGCCAGGAGTGATTTCTGTGCTCACTGCTCTGGATCGGGTTGAATCCCGTAGGGTCTGCGGAAGGGTATAGTAAGCATGGGTCCTAGCAAAGGGCAGAACTCAGACGTACTGCTCTGCATCGGGTTGAAGCCCGGGTTGGACTGGAAGGAGGACATGCCACCACCCATCCCGCCTCCCATCCCTCCAAAGTTCCCGCCCGGCATGCCTGTAGGCTGCGCCATGAGCGAGTTCTGCATCGGGTTGAAGCCGGTCGGCTGCGAGAGCATCGACTGGCCCGCTCCGGGATACCCAGTCTGCTGTGACATCATGGGCTGCTGTTGCTGCGGCGCGGGTTGGAAGGGCGATGGAGATGTACCGGGGCGCGTAGGAACGAAGCCCGCAAAGCCCGTCGTCGTCGGCACCAAGGGCTGCAGCAGTGGCTGGTTAGCCGGAACCGGCGCGAACGGCCCGCGCGGCCCGTTGACCGGGGAGGGCGAAGAGAACATGCCCGTCTGCTGGGCCTGCAGAGCGTGGCCCATCGGGACGGGTGACGAGCCCATGCCCATCCCGGACTGGAAGCCCACTGGGGTAGAGATGTTGACGGAGGGCGCTCTTGGAGGAGCTTGTGCGGGCTGGGGCGCAGCGGGGCTGTTGACGCGCAGTTGGCTGAGGCGTGCGAGCTGCTCGAAGATGTCGTTGTCTGTCGTGTTGGCCAGGTTTGGCGCGTTCTGCTGCGCAGGGGCGCCGGAGGCAACAGAGGCAGCGCGTACAGGCGGTGGGCTGACAGCGACAGTTGGTTGGGCGGCCGCAGGTGGTGCAGGTGGTGCGGGCGGCGCAGGCGGTGCTGAGGGTGGGCGGGGAGCAACGACCGGAGGAGTGGGAGCCAAGGGTTTCGTTGAACTTGGACGGGGAGTCCAGGCGTCGTTATCGAATCCGCTGACAGCCGGCGCTGCTGGAGTTGCCTTGGACGCTAGCTGCGCAGGGCTTGAGTTCGACTGTTGTATGCCTTCAGGACTGGCAACCAACGGCGAGTTTGTTCGTTGGATCTGGGCCGACGCTGTGGAGATGGATTCCAAATCCACAGATGAGGGCGGGAGGGTCTTGCGCTCGGGACGGCCGCGGCGCATGTTCGCCTTGAGCTCGCCATTGGGACCAGCGAACAAGTTGGGTGCTGGGCTTCTCGTCTTCAGGTTCGTGCCATTCTCCTCGGCCGCCTGCAGTTGGCGCGCGAGCTCCTCGTCCTTGCGCAGCTGTTCCTCCTTGGGATCCGCCTTCGGCTTCCGCGTTTCGATCGCCTTCTTAACGCGGATGATGTCTCCCTCGCGCAGACCGAGCGAGCGCATCGTCGACTCCGTGATGTCCGGGAGGATGGCCTCGTCGATCTTGTCGCGCTCGAAGGATGACGCGTAACGTGTGCAGTCGTCGACGTCGCAACCGGCGTTGAGGAAGAACTCGAACCAGTCGATGGTGGGTCCCTTCTTCACCGGTGCCCTCGTAGCGGCCTGGCTCGCCCGGGCAGCCTCGGGGATGAGCGACTTCCGCCGCTCCTCTAGAGGCTGATTGTCGTCATCGTCCGACTTGCGGGACGTGGAGGTTGAGGCCTTCTGTTTCGTCATCTTCTCGACGTAACGCAGGTCCTCAGCGGACATCTTCTCCGCAGGCACCTCGATGACGACGCCGTTGACCTTGTGCAACCTGAGCTTGCCGTTGACATATCCAAGAAAGGCCGCGTCGACGCGGAACTGGCCCGTTCGATCGTGCCATACGCGCAGGTTCTCGGACGGGGGTGCACCTGCCACTCGTTGTCAAGATATACAAAAACGCAGAATGGCCCGGCACTTACGTTTGCTATCGCTGGAGGACCGCGCCTGGGACTCACTGTTCCTCTTCTTTGACGACGATGCCTCGGGAGACGGTTTCTCCTGCGACTTCCTTCGTGTCGCTGCCTCATCCGCGGCTGCTCGCTCCTTCTCTTTCTCCTTCTGCTTCTCGCGCTCGCGTTCACGGCGTTTGCGGTCGGCCTCCGCGGCAGCGGCTGCAGCCTCCGCTCGTTGTTGAGCCTCTTGCTTCTTGCGCTCCTTCGCGGCGCGTTCCTGTTCTAGGGATTCGCGCCGCGCCGCTGCCTCCTGCTCCGCGGCCTCCTTGGCAGCCCGTGCAGCCGCCGCGGCTACAGCTACTTGTCCGGCCGCTTGAGACGACGCGGCCGACGGAGGCGTAGGGGCAGCAGCAGCATCACCGCCGGCCGGCTAGTTTCCTGAGATAAGTCACGGAATATGTAGGGACATTCACGGGACGCACCTCGACGTAACTTGCAGGCACAACGCCCTCTTCGCCCGCCGCGTTCCTGCACTTCCACCACTCTGCGCTGTCCTTCTCCAGGATCCAGAGGGTCTCGCCCTCGTGGACCGTCAGCTCGTCCTCCCCGTCTGCCGAGAAGTCGTACAGCACGACGGCAGACTCGCCCTCGTCCGCAGCTTCGTAGTGTGCATCAGCATCCTCGTGGACTTCCTCTTCTTCTTCCGGCTCGGGCTCTTCCTCATACGGGATCTCCTCTGGTTCATCTGGCGCGAAGTGCACGGATTTCTGGGCACTGCTGCGGGGGCGTTCAATAGGTTCATCTGTGGGTGGACTCGCACGCGGCGGGGAGGCAGGCGCAGCACTGGCTCCGTTGACTCCGCCGGCGATGCTGCGTGAGGACTCAAGTTTCGCCATGATCGCCTCTGCGGTATCCTTCCCCCCGGCGTGGAAGTGGAGATTAGCAGGCTCTGGGCCGCCGACGTCGATGTGGACGTGCTTGGACTTCTCCAACTTGACCGAGTGGATGTCGACAGTCTGCCACTTGCGGACCGGGTTCTACAATCGTTCAACAACAGTTTATGAGCGAGTTGGCGCGTGATAAGATCGGATATCCCATAGCGCATATGGTCGTGGCGTATATAATCTCTCATCATGTTGGAGGTTTGGCGGGCACCGGCCGACCTCATACGTCATGGGAAACCCGACTGCAGAGCAGATCACATACCTTGTCGGACTCGCTGGCGAAGAACATGGCCCCATTGCCAACTCCGAGAGTGCCCTTCTTCTTCTTCCCTTTGCCATCGACCTCGGAGATGGCCCAGGTCTGAATAGAGTCCGCTTGCGCCTTATTAGCGGTCGCCGCCACTCTGTCGGCAGGATCCACATATGTGCTGATAGGACGTGTAGGCTTTGGTGGCTGGGTTTGACATATTCGGTTGAGAGATCACGAATGCACTGTGGGTAGCTACGCACCGAGTCCGGTACGACGATCGAGGACAGGGATGTCGCAGCGGCAGCTGCGGGCGGAGCCGCCTCTTCCTCTCCGGTCGCCTGGAGGGTTGTCGAGAGTTGAGATAGGGAGATGGGTATGTAGTCAATAGCACACACCTCCTCGACGTAATTGCCCGGAACGTAGCCGACTCGCCCCTCCTCCGTCGGACTTGCGACGAGGATCCAGTCGTCGTCTCTCTCGTACACATGCAGAATCTCATCCTCCTTCACGGAAAGCTCTGTAGGTTGCGCGGCGTCGTAGTCGTAGAGCACCTTGACTACTTCGGTGGGCTCGGCCTGTGATCTGAGGTGAGCTGGGTGCCCCGGTGATGTGATGTGGGGCTACACACCAGCTCGACGTAGGCGGAGGGCACCAGACCGGACGGCCCTTCCTCTTCCGATTTAACCTTGACTCTCCACCAGCTGTACGTGTTGTAAGATCATTGCGAGGGAAACCAGAGGAAGGTCTATCGCACTCTTCGTCGGTCCGCTCCAGGAGAAAGAGCAGCTGGTTCTCCTTGATTGCTATCTCATCCTCCGCATCTGCCGCTGGGTCATAATCGTAGGACGCCTTGAGGACTGCAAGATACGTGTCTTGCTCTACCGCCATAGAGAGCCTCTGAATGCGCAAAGCGTGGGGGATGGGGGCGTGGTAGGCTGTTGAGTTCGGGATCAATCCCTCCGCTTGCACGCTATGATCGCATGTGGGCGTCTATTTGCGCACGTCCCTGGACTCGGAGCTCATGCCTATTCTCGGTGCGCTTGTGCTGAGACTAGTACTTTTCGTTCTCGAAGACATAAGTATCCAGATGATTGCACTGAGTATAGATCTGCACTGTAGCAATCCCGCGCATCGCTAGAGTCCGAACATACACACTCGCCAGTCCGTCCGGTGCTCTCAGCAAACCCGAAGAGGCGCCCAACGAACTGGCGGAGTGCAACCTTGGATTGCAATACATTCTGACTCTGTATACGTTCAGACCCATACACGATCAATGGGCGCAGCTATCTTCGCAAACTACAGCACAGGGAGAGCCTAGAGGATCAGGATTGCTGCGAAGGGTCACCGCCTCGACTGCTTTGAGTACTTGTGGCTATGGGTAATCGGGCCGGCTCCGGCCGGACATGGCAAGCGATGGAAAACTTGGTGGAGGAGCGCATCCACACTCTTGCTCTCCGTCCGCGACGTTCTCTTCCATCTCGGCCGTTTCATATTCTTCCGATATCCTCTCTGTTGTATACCAACTGTATCCATGAGCAGACTCAACGCAAACGCCTTCTCTTTCGTCCCCGGCCAGGGCTTCCTGCCTCCTCGGCAACCCTCCCAGCCTGAGCAACCCCCTCTGCAGCCGATAGAACGTCCCGCTCAGACAGAGGCTCCTCCGCCTCCACCTACTATCACTCTCAGCATTGGTGGCTCCAAGCCCGCACCGAAACCTTCGTCGCGCCCTCCATCACCACCGCCTACCCTCACCATCGGATCCAAGCCTGCCCCCGCCCCCGCACCAGCTGCCGCAAAGCCTGCCGTACCGACTGCTTCTGCCAAACCATCTGCGTCTCCTGCCCCCGCTTCAACACCCGCCAAGTCCTTCACTCTCGAACGCGCAAAGACAGATACCGCTGTCATTGCCCAGGAAGTCAAGAACGCTGCGGATGAGGAAACTCTCAAGGATCTGTTTGGACACAGTACGTTGTGCAGTCCTCGTACCTGCGTATAATATCACTTACGCAACCGCCTATTAATCAGTCAAGGAGCACCTGAACATCGTCTTCATCGGGCATGTCGATGCCGGCAAGAGCACTATGGGTGGAAACATCCTCTATCTCTCAGGAATGGTCGACAAGCGTACCATGGAGAAATACGAGCGCGAGGCCAAGGAAGCAGGTCGGGACTCCTGGTATCTCTCTTGGGCCCTTGACTCTACGCCTCAGGAGCGCGCCAAGGGCAAGACCGTCGAGGTCGGACGCGCCTACTTCGAGACCGACTCGCGGCGGTACACCATCCTAGACGCTCCCGGCCACAAAACGTTCGTTCCCTCCATGATTTCCGGCGCCGCACAGGCAGATATCGCTATCCTGGTCATCTCCGCCCGCAAGGGCGAGTTCGAGACCGGATTCGAGAAAGGAGGGCAGACCCGCGAGCACATCATGTTGGTGAAGACAGCCGGTGTATCCAAGGTCATCGTGGTCATCAACAAGATGGACGAGCCCACTGTGCAATGGTCCAAGGTCCGGTACGACGAGATCAAGGACAAGCTTACACCGTTCATCAAGGCGGCCGGTTTCAATATCAAGACGGACGTTACCTTCATCCCTGTATCCGCATACACCGGCGCAAACTTGAAGGACAGGGTAGCCAAAGGCGTGGCCGATTGGTGGGAGTAAGTATCTTGAATATAATTTTTCCAGTGGACGGGCGTTGACCACATTTGTTTCAGTGGCCCAGCTCTGCTCGAGCATCTCGACACGATGCCCATGGTTGACCGCAAGCTCAACGCGCCGCTCATGATGCCGGTCTCCGAGAAATACAAGGACATGGGCACCATCATCGTCGGTAAAATCGAGTCAGGCCATATCCGTAAGGGCGACTCTTTGTTGCTCATGCCGAACAAGAACATCGTCGAAGTCGCTGCGATTCACAACGAGATGGAAGACGAGATCACGTCCGCGATGTGCGGCGACAACGTCCGCATCCGTGTGCGCGGGGTCGACGACGAGGACATCAGCCCAGGATTCGTGCTCACGAGCCCGACCAACCCCATCCATGCGGTCCGCCAGTTCGAGGCGCAACTGGCGATTCTTGACCACAAAAGCATCATCTGCGCTGGCTACTCGGCCGTCATGCACTGCCACACGCTCGCAGAGGAAGTCACCCTCGCCGTGAGTTTCCACGAGTTCCAGTTACGTCACCTCCAGCTAATCACGACTTTGCAGGCGCTCCTACACTACTTCGACAAGGCGACCGGCCGCAAGTCGAAGAAGCCCCCACAGTTCGCGAAGAGGGGCCAGAAGATCGTCGCGCTGATCGAGACGACTGAACCGGTGTGCGTCGAGCGATTCGTCGACTACCCGCAGCTCGGTCGTTTCACGCTTCGAGACGAAGGGAAGACGGTCGCCATCGGCAAGGTGAGCCTCATTGCGAGAGAAGAGTCGTCGCGGCAGCCGCTGATCCCCTTCTTTGCGTCTTCACAGATCACGAAGCTTGTCGATGTAGGCACGATCGATGAGGCCGCAGAGGGCGTCGCGAACCTCTCCGTCTCGCATGCTTGAAGAGGACACTTGCAGCTAGAAACCAACCTGTAACACTAACGCGCAATCTTCGCATGCCGTCACGACAACTATGTAGCATTCCACTATCCGATACATCAAGAACACAAGCGATCATATTACCAAAACAAGACACTATGCAAGACACGGCCCCGGCAGAGCGACCACATTGCTCACTAAATCGTGCACTGAGTGTAGTGCGCGGTTTTTGCCGCGTTGATCTCAGCGGGCAAGGCGGACTGCACGATGAGCGCTCCGCAATGGTAGCAGAAGTGCCTGCGTGTATGTCAGTTGTAGTTTTGGGGTGAGTTCATGAAGATTAAGTGACACTCACGAGTTGCAGCCCGGTGCCCCGCACTGCGACCACGCGTCAGCCTCGTTTCGACGGTGTGAGTAGTTGCGATGCCACTCACAGCAATGTGGTTGCACCCGGAGATCTTCTCGGCGGGGGTCTGGCAGACTGAAAAATAGGGGGTTAGTCGGTACGTGCTGGGGCGATGGCCCGTGCTTACGAGGGCAATACTTCCACCCCTTCTCCTTCATGAGGTGATCGAGCTCGTTGCTGCCGTCGCAGGTGTGCTCCGGCATCAAGGGGTCGACCTCCTGCGAGCACAGCCTGCACCACAAGTACCCGCAGTCGTTCAGCGGGCAACGGATAATTTTGGTCTCCTGGTACTCGGCCTTGTCCACGAACAGCGTCTGCTGGCACCTGTAGTCACACAAAGTTAAACACGCCCTCAAGACAGCACATAGTCCGGCTTACTTGCGGCAGTGGATCATGATGGAGAACTTGTTCATCTGCATCTCCTCGAAGATCGCGTACTGTTCCTCCGTGAGCCCGAGCTGCTGGATGGCCTCATCGTCAATCTCTGCGGCAGAACACCGGTCAGACAACATTCTACACGCGACACGCGAGCACACGTACCGCCAGGCGGGTCGGTGCGCGTCCTGTCCGCAGTGCACAAGGGGCACAGGACCGGGTACCGGTGCTCGTCGATCTTTGAGACCGCGTGCCCCTTAAGACAGTCTCGGCAGTACGTGTGGCCGCACGGTTCCACACGCGCGATATGGTCCTCCTGGAACTTCTCGAAGCAAACACCACAGTCGAAGAACTCGGGCTGGATAGCCTGGAGGTCGCGCATCTGCTGCTCGAGCTTGCGGTTCTCCTCGTCGAACTGAATCTGCAGCTGTACCGCGACAGGATCGATGTCGGGGACGGGTTTGGCGGGTTCGGTAGGCTCGGGGAGTTTGGTGGATTCGGCAGTCGAACGCTTAGCCTCGTCTTCGCGCCTCATCTGGTCGCGCCGCGTCTCGCGACGCCTTTCAGACTTGCCGTTGCGATGCGTGCTGCCCTCGCCTTGGGAATTGCCGTTCAGTCGCGTCTCAGACGCATCCTTCGCCTTCCCATAGTCTCTCGCCGCGCTGGCACTTGCAGAAGATCCAGGACCCAGACTCGGCCACATGCTAGAGGACCCGGATCCTAGGCTCGGCCACTTGCCAGAAGTGACTTGGCTCCAGAATCCCGTGTCTCCTCGCCCGTATTGGCTCGATCCATGTCCGAAGGTTGGTTCGGGTTCCCAAGGGTTGCGTGGCGGCTGGTAGGGAGCGCACTTCCGCCTGAGACGCTCGTTCTTCTCCTGTTCCTTCCGCAGCAAGTCGTCCATCTGGATGAGGTCGTGCTCGACCCCGACGAGCTCCAGCCGGATCCGCTTCTTGTCGTCCTCGAGTGACTGCGCCTTCTCCTGGAGCTCGCGCACCTGTGCCTCCAAGCTGAGCACCTGCAGGCTCGCCTCGAGTGCAGTCTCGGCCCATTTGGCGCCGTTCGGGGGCGCCTCGGCGGCGACGAAGACGTCTCCAGAGCAGTGGCCGAGGAGCTGTGCTTGCCACTGTACGTCCACATCCCGCAAGATGTCCTCGTCGAAGTGGAGGAGCCCTGCGAGGTAGCGTGCGGCCGCGCGCACGGAGTTGTAGAAGATGAACGCGGCGCCGTGGGGGTGCTTCTCCGGGCGCGGGTGGGAGTCGAAGATGACGAAGAGCTCGGTTCCGGCGGGGACGTCTGCGATGCTGAAGCAGGCGATGATCTCGGGCGGGCGGGTGATGATTACGCAGGCGGAGACACGGCGCTCCTTGGTGACGTCGGCGATATCGCTGGAGAGCTGCATCCATATCGACGTAATGATTTATGGAGATAAAGCAGCGTACGATATGATCTTCTTGAAAAAGGCGTAGTTCGACTGTCCAAAATGCGACGTGAGCTGTGTCAAAGACTGCTTGAAGACTGGCGCCTTGTAGATGTCTTCCACCGCGAGATGCGCTTTGCTCTCCCACGTCAGGCAGGGTTTGAGGATATCCTGTATCATCCGTCAGCGACCGTTTGTAGCACCGTAGCGCGATCAGCAATACCTGAAGGAAGCGGCGTTCCAAGAGCTCATGTACAAGCTCTGCGCTTCCAAGTCCTGTGGCGTGAACTCCAAGGATGATTCTCGCGCAGTTCAAGGCGGCGAGACCGCACGCGGATACGCCGCCGCCAGCCTGTGTGTACTGGCTTTGCCCCGGATGAGTCACGACGTATTCGGGGAATCTTCCCGAAAGAATGGTGGACGGATCATGGGGCCCTACCGCCAGCCGCGTAGGCCTACCGGTGCTACTACCCACATCGCTACTGTCGTTGGAATGGCTATTGAATGGGGTGGCAGTGGGGAATGGCGCGTGGAAGGAGTTGGGGGAGTGGAAGGGTCTGAGGAGCGGAACGGGGAACATGGTGGTGGACATGTTGGCGGTCCAGGAGCTCGATGAGGCTCACGAATGCAATTCTGAGGGCTCTTGTAGCAAGGACGCGTCACTGCAGCACTCCCCCAAGAGCTGCGGTAGGCGTGATGAGTGTGGGCATGCTTCAGGCGTGGACAAACTCAAACAATAATTTCCGTCTCAACGAAGCAGAAGCCTTGCTGCGTGCAGCCCGGCCTGGTGGGGTACTAGTGTCGGGTGACATAGATCGACTCAACCGCACGAACTTCCGCCCGCAGTCGATGTTGTCGTGGGGGAGTTGCAGGAGCTTGAGCCTGGAGCCATGCAGCGTGCCGCAGTGGACGGCGGAGCGCTCAGTCAATCCGACCACAAACACCCACATTGCGGGCGTCTAGTCTCTCTGTCAGCAACGCTCACTCAAAATTAGGCAAATTATTGCCACGATTCGTGCGTACTCGGATAGAAGAACAAACGAATTATCAGGCTCATAACATTCGTGTTCTGTAGAGCATTCGTGACATGACCCGGAGCGTCGAAGATCTGTTCCGTGCGGCTGCGATTCTGACTGGTCCCTCGGGGTCTTCGGACGCGCGGTCTACGCATCTCAAAGATGTTCTCCGCAGGCGCATGCTCGAATACAGCGAGGCTTTGGGGAAGACCGCATCGACGGATGAAATGACTCTGGAAACACTCCAGTCGTTCACTGCCCTAGAAGCGCTGTCTCTTCTGGAACTTTTGCACGAGCAACTGAAGGCCCCAGGTGCAACCCTTCCTCAGGAAGGGACCCCCGTAGGAGGACCGCTCCCAGGAGGTGCTCCGCAGCACGAACAACCCCTCCTCGGGACCCGGGATATTGCCTTGATTCGTACGCTGCTTTCCGTACTGTTCAAGTGGGCCGTAGCCCCGCTTTTGCGACGTATCGTCGCAGCTATTCCATCGACTTCTGCATCACAGGGTATCGCCCGCGCGGGCATCATCGATCTGACTGGGCTTCCTCACGAGTTCTCCATGCTCTCTTCGATCTCATCGCGCCTCCTCGCCCTTGTCCTGCCTGCAGGACCTGGATCGCCGATCTCCCAATCTGGTGTGACTGCGGCCCTCCTGAACAGGCAGTTGTCTGAGCTCCTGGTGCCCTGCATTGTCATAGGCTGGTTACCAAAATCTCTGGCGTCGGATACGATGCCTACAGCCGACAACGTTCGACCTCTGGTCATGCACCTCCTCTCTAGGTAATTTTTTCGCGAGCTGACCACCACACATTTACTGATTAGGAACCCACAGATTACCTGCATCCCATGTCATATCAGCCGTAGGCCTTGCATTGTCTGGCACATCTTCGTCGCTGCCATACGTCCGCAAAACGTGCACATTTATTCTCAGTCGCCAGCTGTTGCGCCCCGAAGGAATCCGTGGCTTGTGCGAGTCTGTGTTTGGCGATGAAGATGCTTCCGGGGAGGATGTTGCCTTGGACAAGCTCGAACATGTTTCCCGTTTGCTAAGCACTGTCCCCGCCGGAATGAAGGCTCAGGTCAGTCATACAGTTGTCGAGGCCGGATGAAAATTTTACGATCTCGTAGGAGTATCTCAACATCGTGGTCCCACGCATGCTACTGTTGTTGAGCTTAGATGAGCGGGCCCTTCCGCCTGCACATCGACGTTCCCTCGCCTTCTCCTTGTCGCGCATGCTTGCAAATGAGGACACCAGCGATATAAGACAGATAGTAATGGGCCTAGTATTTCCTATGTTGCACGAGCCGATCCTGCACGGTCAGCCTCTGCATTGCACCACTCGAACACTCGCTTACCGTTTCTCCTAGGCTCCGGCAACATATCTCCTATGGCATCGCTCAACACCATACAAGTTCTACTAACGAACACAGACCCATCACCCTACCTTATATCTGCTCTTCTGACGCCCATCGCACCCTCTTTGTACTCCTTGTACGCATGTCTGGAGCAGGCGAAGGCATCCGATCCGATTCTGCGGGCGACCATCAAAAGCTTTCTCTCCACCTGGGGAAGACTTGTGAACAGTGAAGAGGCGATCACGACGATTTGGCGCATCATCAATGGTGAAGGTGGTGATTGGCGCGTCAATCTTGCTGGAGAAATCTCGAGGGTCGAAGAGTGAGTCCCGGGTTGTGCGACGTTCGTTGTACTGAAGGAGCGATACAGAGGACAGACAAATGAACAACCCGCTCTATCGCTATTTACGCCACAGAGCCTAAAGGAGGCCGAGGAAGCCGGGGAGTTCGACGTTGACTCCAATCTCTTGGGTCTCAAACCTGACCCGGTCCGATTAGTCCAATTTCTCAAAGACCTAGATCGCGCGGACGTTTCTTCCGACTTGTTTGTGCAGCTGTTGGAGGCATACAGGGACTCAAGAGTACAGGACGACGGGGACCCTCTCAGGTTCGTCGGGATCGATCCAGCGTGGCTACTGCGACTGATGTATATGCGAAGAACTCTTCTATATCTACAACTCGTACTGCAGATGCAAACACAACTGTCATCAAGCGACACTTCCAACATTCTCAAGAAGCCGGAACACGTTCTATCGTTCATCAAACACGCCCTGGAGAATCCGCGACAGGCGGAGCATTCGGCATTCTCCAGGAAGCCTGCCTCAACCACAGGACTACGTATGGAAGACCTGCGCATCGTTCCAGAGGAGGAACCCGATGAACTGGAAGAGGAAGGCGATAGCGACGACGAAGATGAAGGCGGAGAACAGGAGCACGGCCCCGACGACATGACATCCACCGCTGTGAAGCTGCTTCTCGCCGTTCTCGACGGTGAGTTCTTCGAGCCGCTTCCGCATGTTGTGCCTAGAGCTGACAGACGAACAGCAAACACCGACTTGTCCGCACGGACTGCTCCGGTACTGGCCGATATCTTCTCCCTACTCGAGTCCATCTCGAAGGCACCAGAAGAGGAACTCCGTTCCCTCGCGCGAGAGGCTCAGATGGTGATGACCGCGCGCCTCGCATCTACATCCGAGCCCACCGGTAGAAAACAGCGGAAGACGTCCACGTCCGACGATACGGAGGACCCACAGGAGACCTACCAGAAAGCGCTCAAGCTCCTGCAAGACCAGCTCCTTCCCGTGCGCGCACACGGCCTCATGCTCCTGCGGCAGCTCGTGTCGGCGCGCAAGGACGCGTCGGGGGCGCTCAGCGAGCCCTCGATAGACCGCGCACTGATCCCTGGAATCCTGTCAATATTCATGCAGTCCGTGCAGGACGACGACTCGTATATGTTCTTGAACGCGGTGCAGGGTCTCTCGGCGATGGTCGACGGTTTCGGCAAAGAGGTCCTGCGGAACCTCGTCTCCGTTTATGCGGATGGTCTTGACGGCCTCAGCGCGAGCGCGATGTCGCAGCACGATGTCGACATGCGAACGCGCGTCGGAGAGGCCCTTGGGCAGGTCATTCGACGGTGCGGCGACGCCTTGCCGTCTTACGGTATGGCCTACCACACCCGCCGCTCAACGAAAGCTAGCTGACTGAACTATGAACCCACAGCATCGATCCTGATCCCGCCACTATTCCAAGTGGTCAGGGCGTCCCACTTTCCGACCGTCCTGCGCGCATCCGCGATCTCGCTCCTCGCGCAGTGTGTCAACACAAGCGCGCTCGCAGTCCTGCCGTACACCGTCGAGTTCGCAGACGCCATGATAGACCTCCTGCAGGTCGAATCGGTCCCGGCAACCCAACGAAGGCTTACGCGCTCCGCGCCGGACGCGGACGTTGAAGGGAGCGACAAGGCACCACCCGCCAGCGATGTGCAGCCGACCTCTGCGAACACGAAGTTCCCGCCACTCCGGCGTGCCGCGCTGCACTTCCTCGCGCTGCTGACACAGGCGTGCACGCGCCACGTCTTCGAGACGGGAAGCGCGGATCGGCTGCTGCTGCCGCCGGGCCTGCTCCGGCGCGCGAAGACCACGCTGGGGTACATCGCTGCGACGGACGCGGACGATGTCGTGCGCGTGATGGCGCGGGAGACGGTGGACGCCCTAGACCAACTAGCGGAAGCCATCGTCGGGCTGTAGCATGTGGGGCCGTTGTTGTATTTGACAGATGTTGTCTTTGAAGCATCGTATTGAATAGCGGCGCGGGAAGAGTGGAGATACTCGCGTAGACGGAATAAACGTGCTGACTATGTATGTGGTTGTCTGCCCCGTATCTGTCTCAGAACCGGTGTGTGCAAGGATGCTGAGTCAATAAAAGGGCGCTGATCGTTGTTGGTTCTGCGTGCCCTAGGACTCATCATCGGGGGATAATGACCTGGGCAGCTCTTTTCAGACAGTGGTGTGGGATAAGCCAGTGTCTGAAGCGAACGAACCGGCGAAGAGAAGGCACACCGGGAGCGGTAACACGCACGAGTATGATTCGGTCAGGCGGTCACTGCTACGGCACCTACAGCCTTGCCTATGTCGTCTACCCGCTTCCTAAAGGCTTTCCACTTCGGACTGCCTGCCGCTAAGAGTGCGGCATTGTCGTTGTAACCGTCGATGGGAGCGCTCAACCTGAGGAATGGGTTTGCGACCGACTGGCGGTACACGGTATGCAGCGCCTTAAATATCTGCAGCATCTTGTGAGCCAGAACGAACAGCACAATCTAGCTGGAGACATACCGTCAGGATGTCCGCATCCCGTACGACGGCGTCCGTCAGGGCCAGGGCGATGATGATCTTCACCTTCAGCGGCGTCATGTATCCATAGACCGCAACGTCCTCCATCGTGTACAGCAGGTTCATGTAGCACTCAGTCGACTTGGACGACATCGCCGCCGTTACTGGGAGCACCAGAGCCGGAACAGACAGGCCGCAGTCAGGACGCGCGAACAAACTCACGAGGGGGCTCCGACGCACTGCGTTCGTCGATGACGTCCAGACTGGTGTGCGCAATATAGTGGTACTTCAGCTCATCCGGGCCCTGGACGAACGTGCGGATGAGGATAGGGTGGTTTTGAGGGGACACGAACGCGACGGCGTTCAGTCTCAATTGAGGCGGCATGGTGGCGGGAGGCAACTGTAGGATCGCGTTGGCGCCCGTCTATAGCCGGGCTGCCACCGGCAAAACTGCGTTCCCCAGGTCCGCGGACCACCACCATCCAGCTAGCCGAGAGTTCACTGTAATATGTGCGTATGATGCAAGTCCGGACACGTATATGTAGCATCCTCATTCAACGAGAACAACGCAGCGCTGGGCGAAAAATTCATCCTATGCACGCTGGAGACGAGACCGAACACGTATATCACAGCGACAGGCGAAGCCTTCCACGCGTCGTACGATATCCTAGCCGACAGTGGCGTACGTACGCGAAGTCCAATCGTACGAGGGCTGCCTGATTTTCGAGCTCTCCACTCCGGTGGTGGGCATGGCACACTTAAGAAATGATAGCACAGAAGCATATTAAGGGATATATCTAGTCACAACATAGGAACACCGAAAGAATGTGTAAAGCAGGATAAGATGAGGCGAACCAGAGAGGCAGTCCAGAACTCATATCGAGCCGCTGGAGTAGTAGCGCCACGCGAAGTAGGCACCCAGCACCGCGAGGGGGACGAAGTACATCGCGCTGAGAGAGGTTCGTTAGTATGGATCGCGCCTCCGCCACATGCGCCACGTACTTCGAACCCTGTTCCACAGCCGAGTTAACGGCACCACCGTGGGAGGAGGACGACGCTGAAGGCCCCTTCGTCTTAAGCTCCTGGATGTGATCACGAGGTGAGCACAGATACGGACGCTTGTACGGTTGCCACGTACGTCCGTCTTTTCGAAGTCACCGACCAACAAGTCCTTGAGGAGGGCACGAGCCTCGTCGGAGTGACCAACATCCTCGAAGGCCTCGGTGGAATCACGACCTGGGTGAATATGGTAAGACCGTAGCCGTAGGAAGCAGGATACAACGACGTACCGGCCTCCGCAATGATCACCTCGTCTCCTCCGGGGTGCTTTATGCGTGTGTGAGCTTTGCAATGATCTGCATGGGCCGGAAACGCCGAAGCTTACCTCGTCAATGAATTTCGTGACATCGTACACTGGGGCGCGCCGTGAGCTGTCACCGCATGGGGGGAGAGATAGGGCTCGTTTACACACCCTTCTCGTGCAACAGAATGTACAGGCTCTCCTTGGTGCTGTGCTCCTTGAGCTCAGCGTAGGTGACGAGCTTGGAGGCCATGGCGGGACAGTGGGGATGGAGGAGGAGGGGGAGGGACAGAGAAGTCGGACAGGGACGAGCGGAGTGATGGGCGACAAATGAGAGTCGCGCTATATGAGCAGGGCGGATTCCCACGTGGCGAGCAGGATTATGCTGCCGGTGAACACGGCAAGTTCTTCTCCATCAGTTGGGCCGTGGCTGCACGCGTGAAGGCCCCTTTGACAAACGGCCGCAGAGCTCGGTCTCGGAGGACCTCGCCCTCGGCCTTCTGGGGTCGAAATATATGTCGGATGCCCCTTCAAATCGCATCCTAGATATCCTTCCCCGTGCGACGCTGCGGCGCGTAGTGCGAGCGGACTGCGTCTGCAGCCGTAACACGACTTCCGGACTCGCCCTCCCTCCCTTAAGAACCTCACACGCTAGAAGCTAATTACCCAAGTCCGAGATAATCTCAACGTGTCTTCCCCTCTTCATCGTGGCCCTCTTACGTCTTTATCGGTCGACTGCAACTTGTGCAATGTTCTCCTGGTGGTAGCACCCGGCAGCTTCGGCCCGCCGCCCATATACACTTAGGCGCTCATGGTGCGCGGTTATGAGCGGCAAAGTGCGGGTGCATATTTTCCCGCGGCCTGTACCCGTCCTCCGTCTCTTACTATCGTCCTCCATCCATCTCTCACCAGTGCGATGCCTGCTCCAGCTGTGTACATTGCTTTCGCAGTCGTTGGAGTCGTCGCGGTGGGCGTTGCTTTCCACGAAGTGAGTGTTCAACGAGGCACTGATGTGCATGTACTGCGGTAACCGCATGCTTACTGAGGCCGGTCTGCAGCTCGTTTACGAACCGCACATCGCTCCCAAGTTTGAGGAATGGGCAGAATCATTCTTAGAGAAACGTAGGCAGAGGCAGAGGAATCGCCAGAGGACAGGGTCTGTACTCGCCCATTCCCATCCGTTTGAGGGAAGCGAGAATGGCGCCAGACGATCTGCCGATAGCGGACAGGACAGGAGAGACGACGAGGACAACAATGACACGGCAATCGAGCTTGAACAGCTCGCAGCTAGGGAGAGAGACGCTTGGAGGCGCGAGGCGGCTTCCTCTGGCCTTCGGCAACGGCGACCAGTTGGTGCCATGGACGACGTAAGTCGCTGCGGCAGTCTTGCCAATGATTCCACACTCACCTGCGGCTCCCCAGTCCAACCCCTCCATCCCATACCCTGCTATGAGCCCGACTCATGTCTTGTTTGACACATCGGAACCTCCCTCGCCCGGCGTACGGTCCTCGTCCTCACTTTCAAGCGCGCCCTCCTCCTTGAACAGCAGTCCCTCTCATCCGATAATCGAGCTATCCGAGCCTCAACCACGTGTGGCGGAGGCGGCCTCTCCCCCGCCTCGCGGCATGTCTCGAGGCTTGCCCACGCCGATGTCGAACTTCTCTCCGCTCTCGTCGCGTGCAGCCACTCCTTCCACGACGCTTTCGGACCACTCTGTCTTCTCCTCCAGACGACCCACGCCCGACATCAGTGCGTCGCAAGCCCTCACGTCTGCATACAACACTCCGCTCGGCGGTTCGGTCATTTCGGACTGCGGCCGGCCAGTGGAAGACATCCAGTCGTTGCCGGGATCACGAATCCAGTCGCCTTTCTCCGACATACATTCCGTCGATGCACGCAGCACCCCCGAGCACGTCTTCGCACGATCCCCCATTACCTCTCCGCGCGTGCAGTCCCCGAGCATAGGCTCGGACCTGACCATGGACTCGGACGATGAGTTCGACATCCTCTCCCCGCGTTCCGGAATGTTCAGCCCTCCCAGCCGGGTCGGCGACTTCCACTTTGACGGCGCGAGCGACGCGTCCTGGATGAGCGCAGGAAGGAGGACCCCCGAATTCTGAGGACGATACGCACGTTCATCACCACCCGGCATACTTTCTCGTCACGGCACACCTCGCACTCTGTATCATACACTGCACTCATGAACTCCTGGATCTGTACCATCTATTTCCGTCGTTTCGTTCGTTTCTTGTGGCTTTAGTTGGTCGTAAATGTTGTATTTGCTGTAGAAGAAGTGACAAATACCAGTTGTCCCGTCGCTACACGAGACGGGCCTTGGAATGAGGCTGCCAGTGTGTTCTCTGCCAATCTCGAGCTCCTCAAGCAAAGACTCGAATATGCGCACCCACTGGAACTATGTAACATGTGTTTCTAAACGTGAGCGGACGTTGCCGGCTGTTGCCGGACATCGCAGCCGTTGGGCGTTGGACGCACTTTGTGGGTCCACCGCTCCTCGGAGTCTGGGGTAGTCCGGAACCATCATCTCCAGCAAGCTCACGTCGCCCAGCAAGTACAGCTGCAACGACCCTGGAGTTTCCTTCAAGAGACCTGTGTCGTGTCTCCCACGGGACCCGTCCCATACCCACGGATGCCGTGTAGCTGGCACTGACAGCATTCCCGTCGAACCATATCATGTCTTCCCCGCGCGGCACCAGCAACAGCCTAAGACTGTTGCAGTTCCATCGACCGCAGTTCGATGTTAGTAGGGCCCCTATAGCAGGGCTCACACCGGAATCTATCAGGTCGGTCAGCCCCTTTCTACGTGTGGCAAGCCGTGACGTAGCAATGCGCTGCCTGCGACAGATGCATACAAACTTTGGCCGCATATCGATCGCCCAAGTCTCCACTCCGGTACCCCAAATCGAGGAGTGCCGCTGTACTGGTGGCACTCTTTGCGGGGCGGATGGGTGACCTGTATGTACTTCTCAGCCGGTAAGTGACAGCCTTGGCATAGGAATGTTTCACTCACTTCCTCCGCGCAGGCGTGCCTCGTCCTTGCGAACATACGCGGGTGACACGGCCCTCCCTGGCGGCAAATGGGAGCCACGCGATAAGAGCATTGAATGGACCGCGGTAGGTCTGCTTCGGGAGACTTGTAAGAGACCGTTGTCAAGCTGACTTTTTCATCGGTAGCGACGGGAAGCATTCGAGGAGGTAAGCTCTATCTTACTGATATGAGTATGCCTGGCATTGAGTCTTGTAGATTGGACTGCCTGTGGATTATAAGAAGGTGCCTCTACTGTGCATCCTCGAGCCCTTTCTGGCTGGGAACCGGTTAATAGTAACACCGTATGTCCCCTCCTATACATTGTCTTGTGGGACAAACTAATGAGTCTCCGTAGTGTAGTTGTATTGATTCTTGACAAAACGCTACGAGTAAGGCAGTCCAGCCTTTTCACCCTCACGCTCGAATGACCTGACACGCTGAGTTCTCAGCCAATACTGAACAGAGCAGAAGTCACATCGATATTCTCGCACCCTCTCGCTTCATTCCTACATTCGGACCCGCCTTTCCCTCTGGAACCAGAAATGCTCGAGATAAAATATCACACATACAGTGACTACGCATCGAGCACGGTACCGGGGAAGATACGCATGCACAACTTCCTGACCGGTCGAGAAGCAGGCGGGACGAAGCCAATCTATGGTTTGACTGCGTGAGGACGCCATGTTTAGCTCTCGCATGCGCCTCGACTCAACTGACGCGTTTGCCACCTCATGCCAGGGGTATCTTGATTAAAGTCGCGACCATAGGTTATGGGCGGGAGCCCGAGTTCGAGCCATATGCACCCGACGAGCCGAACATGCAGCAGCGCATCGCGCATGCACTCCGGCACGACCCCGTGTTCCGCGAGGCTGCGCGCGCGGAGAGCATCGACCCAGACAAGACACCGGACCCGTCGAGCTTGGGCCAGAACCACAAGTCTGCAGCGGAAGTGAAACGCGGGCGGCGGCGGCGACCCGGAGCGCGGAGGCTAGTACGTGCGAAGCTGTAGTGTGGTAGTGATATGGGCGGGATTTGAGTGGACGCGGTGATTGCGCTTTATCTCTGTATCATATAGTTTCTCTGCGTGTCTTGCTCACCTGTTCTGCCACGCCATGTATTAATTCTCGAGTGCGGTGAGATGGTCGACGGCGTATTCGCAATCTCTGTTGTACGTAAATAGGAGACAAAATCACTCCTCGTGGTGCACTGACGTCTGGTCGGTAGATAACCGTAAAGTAGCCGTACTCCCACCGACCGATCTTCTCTCAGAGCGAGAAACACCGTAGTTCATTCACAAAGGCCCGTCTCATGCTCGAATTCACTCAAGAGCCGGTGCGACCAAAACGGCAGGGCGTGGGCCCGATGCGGATGCTGACATAAGCAGGCCTCGCGCTCTCCACGCCCATTTGTTGCGGGCGGTGAGGAGGTCCGCGCTGCACCCTTTCTCTCACCACCCCCACCACCCGGCCGCTCAGCCAACCCCCCAGCTCTTCCCTTTCACGCTTTCACGACACCCAACGACAACTAGGACTTCACGAACGACTCATGCCACAAGTATACCGCAGACATTCAGACTACAATCCCCGCACGCCCGTCGTGCCCCGACGCCGCTCGAGTATGGCGCCACCGGGCCCCCAGCCGACGGACGCCGACGATTCCATCGTCCTCGCCGACCTCGTGCGCACGGGAGAAGCCTCCCGGCTTCGAAGACGAGGCGCAATGCGTCTCGACCACGGGCCAACCGCTCCTACCCGTGTACCTATCCCCAGTGCAAGCACTGCCGGACCCAGTTCTTACGCACCATCTGCGCGCCCTATCATCATCGAGCCCTCTCGTACTCCGAGTCCTGAGCTCAATCCAGACGACAACGGAGGAGACGAATACACCTACACCGCCGGGCCAGCGTGGAGAGGCGTGGACGCCTTTCCCAGTCGCGACTCCGGACGCGCGGAGGGCGTCCAGACCGTGGAGATATTGAGCGAGAATATACAGGCTGGTCAATCATATATCCTGTACTGCGGAGGCGAAGACGCTGCTCTCTCCGACGACGAAGAGGACGAACGCCCGCCGCCTTTCCAGCCCTCCCTCTTTCCCATCATGCCACCTGCAGGCGGTCGCTCTTCAAGACCGCAGCGCAAGTCAATACGAAAGACAAACGGCTGCGGCGCCCTCGTTCATGTGCGTGCGTATCCCCAGCGCCCACGCGGCGTATGGATGGCCAAGGAGGAGGCGTCTGAGACCGTGGTGGGTCTAGACGCGCAGTATTGCGACCACTCATCCATGGACAAAATGCTCAAGAGCGCGTGTGGCTGCATCCGGGAAGGAATAGGCTGTTCAGTCTGGTGCGTGTGCAAGTGCTGTGCTTCCCAGCGTTGCAGCGCTGACTATACATTTCAGTGGGAACACGCTTGGAACGCGCTATGTGCCCTGTCAAGCGGCCTCCGAGAGTTTCTTTTCTCCCAGCCCATCGGCCTCCGCAGCGGCGCCGCCTCCCAGACCGATGCGGCCATTTGGGCCGAGCTATTGGAACGCACGCCCAGCGTCGCAACATCGGCAGAATCCTTCGGGGCCGTCGCGCGTCTCACCGTCGTCGTACTACACGTTCTTCGCTGATCGTGTGTCCTCCTCACCACCGTGCCAGCCTTCACACACATCCGCGGTCTTTACCCCGGAGATGTCTCGCAGAGCCCCGAGCCGCGCGGGCTCTCCTGAGGTCATTGACTACGGATACAGGTGGACGGCCTCTCCCATACCGGCCGCCGCTGTTCTCCCCAGCGGCGATACCTCCGCTAGCTCAAATTTCGTGACCACCCCCCTTTCACCGGTCTTCACACTCCCGCCCCTCCCAGCCATAACCCGTACACCCAGCCAGATGCGCCCTCCGTCGGCGCCTATACGTGTTCCGCGCGTAGCATTGGATATACGCTCCGCCGACGGAGCCCTGGGCAATTCAAGCGGTGAGTCCGGGTTGCAGCTGGGAATGGATGTCGACCCCGACGGGGTACCGCTGGTTGACATGGAGGTCCCCGGCTCTCCGGACAAAGAGGGGATGTCGTGGCCGGGACGTTGAACATTCCCGCCGCACCTGCCGCTTCACACACATTCCTCTCCCCATAGATGCTACGGACTCAGTATGGTCCCCCGACGGACTCACGACCACGACGACTTTCTTGCTTAAACTTGTCAGGACGCAGGTGCACGATGTTTCGCACGACGCGCCCTCCCCTAGCTCCGCATTGTTATAGGGCCGGGTGGGCGGTCGGTCGTATGGTTTCCATTCCCGTGCCTTTCCATAGACCACTTTCGCATCCTGTTTATACCATCAGCTCATACCATCTGTCCGTGTAGTATATATCTTTGCTTACGCTATGTACCTCTCGAATGCATCCTGCGCCTCAGTCCCGCAGTTACCTTCTCTCTCTGGGAATGACATCAAGCCGACCTGCCGTGCCCATTCATCCCTCCGCGAACCTGGTTCCTGACTGAACTCAAGAGATCCCGCGAGGTTCGCTCGAGAGTCGAGACGGGAGAAATGCTGTGTCTGCGCCAAGTGCGGTGGCCGGTCGAAGCACATGCGCGCATGTGACGCCACCGCTGTATATTGACCGCGTTCACACTCTCGAGCCCCGGATCTAGCTGCTGTCGATTGTGGATGCGATTATCTGCAGGCCGTCTCGGAGGTCTGCGTGTCCTCACGGGCTGCCCAAATCCCACCAACCCCGCTCTCTTTCGCTCCAGTGCGATCCCACGACCGCCTCCTACCCGCATTCTAAAGACTAGGGCATTCTCTACTACGATGGCTCGCGCGAAGTACTCTGCGGCGGAGGCGTTCTACGCGGACCGGGCTGCCCCATACTGCAGTCTCTCGGTTGCAAAGTCCTTTCAGCAGCTGAGGTGAGCCACCGCCCCGGTCTACCGTCCTTTGATCTGTGTAGCTGACGCGCACGGCCTAGCTCGAAGGAGAAGAAGTACGCGCACTACATCGGACAGGCGTCTTGGGCCGGCGCGCGCATCATCCAGGGCCAGTGGACGGAGCAGGCCCAGAAGCTCTACGATCTCCTCATCCTCACCTTCAGCGAGAACGGGAAGCTCGCAGACTTGGAGGGGCTCCAGAAGCGTAGCGGTGTCTCGCAGGAGGATTGGGAGGATGTACTGCAGTACACGAGCCAGGTCAGTCCGCCACCCTATACCCGGCATTACGGAATGCGAATGTTGCGTGTGTCCAACGAGGAACTGTGCGTTTAGTGGCTGACGTGAGGACATAGGTGTTGAGCAACCTGGTGAACTTCAAGTCCTTCGGGTTCACCAAGATCATTCCCCGGGTGTCCGCGGAGCAGTTCGGTGCCGTGGTCGAGAAGTCCGCGAACGCAACCAACGCAGTACCACTTTGGAACGAGGTACGCCTACTAGATGCATGAATTTGATTTTATAAACTCAGCCTTCGGCCGTACAGCTTAAGGAACACATCTACCAACTCGCCCCGCAATCGAGTACCTCAATTGGGAAGCGCTCCCTGGGTCACATTTCAAACTACTACCTTGGTGAGGCTCCGACCGATGAAGAGGTCGCGGCGATCCAAGCAGCAGCCGAGAAGCTCGATGTCAATGTCCTGAACACTCGGTACGCCTCGTATCAACAAATATTGCGTATATACTCACACCCCTACCCTGTAGCGTTCGCAAGGACGGCCCAGACAACTTCACACTTCTGGTCGCATCCGCCGACTCGCAGGCGTCGGCCTTGCACGAAATTGAGATCCTTGACAAGAAGGCTAAGCTCACCGTCGAGTACGGAGACTTCGCTGACGCGTTGGCGAAGACTGTCTCGGCCTTGGCAGAGGTACATAGTTTGATCCGAAACTAGCACGCTGAGAACGCTGACTATATCTTGCTTTACTAGGCTAAGAAGTACGCAGCCAACGAGCACCAGACTGCGATGCTTGAAGGCTATATTGAATCGTACGTTTGACTACCTTTGCATCGTCCCGCTGCACTCGCTCATACTCCTCTGTTTCAGTTTCAAGACTGGCTCCATCCCCGCACACATCAAGGCTTCAGAGAATTGGGTCAAGGATATCGGCCCGGTCGTCGAGAGCTACATCGGTTTCGTAGAGACATACGTTGACCCGTACGGCGGACGGGCTGAATGGGAGGGTGCGTTCTGTTTGACAACGTAGGCATGCGCAGCGGCTGATGAGAGCATCCATGAATTGCAGGTTTCACTGCCATTGTGGACAAGGAGCTCAGCGCGAAGTACGAGACGCTGGTCAACGATGCGCCTGAGCTCATCAAGTCGCTACCATGGGGCAAGGACTTCGAGGTCGATGTGTTCCGGAAGCCCGACTTCACTGCTTTGGAGGTGGTTTCGTTCGCTACCGGAGGTCTGTGTCTCTCAGTCCGTGTATGCCCGCCCATGTACTGACCGCTTGAACAGGCATTCCTGCTGGAATCAACGTGAGCCTACTCAATAATGCTCCTAATATGATGTGGCTGAACGCAAGACAGATTCCGAACTACTATGAAGTTCGGGAGTCCGTTGGCTTCAAGAATGTCTCTCTAGCAGTAAGTGTGAACGTCAGATCTAGTCCGGGATATACTGAGTGATGCGCCTCCCTCGGCTAGAACATCTTGGCAGCCAAGGCCCCTAGTGAGTTCTAGGATCCAGAGTAGCTCTAATCAGCACTAAACAAACCCAACAGATGAGGAGTTGACGTTCATCCACCCCGACGACGCTGCGTTGTACAACGAATGGGACTCTCGCGCTTTCGAGGTCCAAGTAGCGAACCACGAACTGCTCGGTCACGGTAGCGGGAAGCTGTTCAAAGAGAATGCGGACGGGACGAAGAACTTTGACCCGGAGAAGGCCAGTCACCCTAAGCTCACTTTCCTAGTGCGGTAACTGACCTTGTCGACCAGATCGTCAACCCTCTCACCGGCAAGCCGGTGTGAGTGATATTTCGTGTTTACAGTGCTATCCATATTCACACTCTTCTCTAGCACTTCGTGGTACAAACCGGGTCAGACGCCCGACTCCGTGCTGGGAGAGGTCTCTTCCTCGATGGAGGAGTGCCGCGCCGAGACCGTCGCGTTGTTCCGTGAGTAATTGCTCTCGTATTTGTGCATCCGTATGACTGAGTGGTGCCTTTCCGACAGTTGTTAGCAACCTAGACATTCTGAAGATCTTCAACGTAAGTGTGCTGCGCGCCCGGCTGGCTTTACGTCTGCTCACAGCACATCATTGTAGTACACCGATAAGAAGACTGTCGAAGACATTCAGTACATCTCCTTCCTGCTCATGGCCCGCGCCGGTCTCCGCGCTCTTGAGTTCTACGACCCCACGATCAAGAAGCACGGTCAAGCGCACATGCAAGCACGGTACGCTCCCGTCCTAATATATAATCTGGCTGGACACAGAGAGCTCACGCTACGGTTAGTCTTGGTATCACGCAGCACCTCATAAAGTCCGGCATTGCGCGCCTCGAGGAGGTCCGCGCCGCCGACGGCCAGCTCGAGAACGCATACGTGCGCGTCGACCGCGAGAAAGTGCTCACGGATGGCCGCGACGCCGTCGGCAAGCTGCTCGTCGAGCTCCAGGTCCGCAAGAGCACGGCGGACGGCGCGGGCGCCCGCGCGTTCTACACCGAGCTCACGACGCCCTTCCCCGGCTGGGACGGCGAGATCCGCGACCTCGTCCTCAGGAAGAAGCTGGTGCGTGCTCTACCCTCGGGTTTTATTGGGTGTTCGTCGGGTGATGCCGACGTTTTTGCGTAGCCGAGGAAGATCTTCGTGCAGCCTAACACGTTCATTGAGAACGACGAGGTCGTGCTGAAGGAGTACCCGCTTAGCCCTGCTGGGGCTATCGAGAGTTTCATAGAGCGGAAGCTTTAAATCCGACTCGTCATTGGGTTGATGGTGCCGGGGACGAAGTTGTGGACAACAAAACCTGTATTATAGTTTGCTTTCGCGAGGTCACACATCTTATCGAAATGCGTGGTTGAGGAAGTATGAGATGTTTGTATTATGTTGTGATTGCGTGGGTCGGCGCTGTGCGCTGTGGGTCTAATGGTACATAATGTGAGTCGTCTACTATCCGTGCTCTACGGCGGTCATCTATGTCATGGGGAGAACGTCGAGATACTATAGGATGGGGATAGTCGTGTAGTGAAGTCGATCTAGTTGACCGGATGAGCGAGAACATAAGCCTAGAGAAGCAGCAGCGAAACGGCGGTGAGTGCCCTAAAACGAGATAGGTAAGTGATGGATTCATCGTGACCGAAAAAATAGGGTTAACTCACGAGGACGAGAAGAACATGAAGACGTCTGCAGAAAAGGTGATCAGTACAGACACAACACGGGATGTAAGTCGGGACTAGCTTACATTGCACGAGCAAGAACGCCTATCCTAAGATGTCAGCAAGCCATCGCATCTCAAAATGACCAACAAGCTTACCGAGAGTGTGTCTACATTGCCGTCTGGTGAGTACAGCGAAGAGACGATCATTTGGCTGAAGCGGACCCATGAATATCAGCTCCCCTTCTTCCCTTTTTAACATGACCAGTCTACTCACTTGACGGCAGTCGGCGTTCCGCTCAAGAACATGGCGACAAACCGCTCCGCCTTCGCGCTCTTGTCGATGAGCCCCGCGTTGGTCATCGCCTGCACGAGGAAGACCCCGATAACGGGGAGGATGGCCATCTTCGTGATCGTGGTCAGGAACATGGCCATGAGAGGCAGGCGCGAGAGCGGCCGCGGCGTCTGCAGCCGTGCGAAGCTCGCGCCGAGCAGCACGAGAGCGAGCGGAACGGCGATGTTGCCCATAAATTGAGCTGTGGATCTGCGTAAGACGAGTGTATACATAAAGGGAGTTGCCGTAAACAAACCAGTGTCAATGAGGAACGCCAATGGTGGACGGCCGTCGGGGCCTTTCCAGCTCGGCCCACCGATGTCGGATACATCGACGAAGAGGGCCTTGAGAGGCTGCACGAGCGCGATGGGGAGGGAGATCGCAAGCGTGATCGTCACAGGGGTGATCAACGCTGCTAGAGGTCGGAAGACGCGAATGACTCGGTGCTTGAAGGAGGCAGGGTGGAGAGTGTCCGTATCGCTCCCCTGTGCCAGACTCTGAGCGTCGGCCGCTGAGCGGATCGAATGCGCCCGAGTTGGTGGGGGAACCGGTGGAAGCGCGGAGGTAGAAGCTGAGGGTGGGAGACGGGTGTTGGGAGCGGGAGGCGCGGCGGTGGACAGTCTGGATGTGCGCCGCGCGAGCTGGACGTCGGGATCTGTCTCGGGCAGGTCCGCGTTGAGCACCTGCACGTCGAGTTCTGTGACGGAGGGCTCGACAGACTCCACTACGTCTTTGCCTTTTTCCTTCTCGGCCCATGCTTCCTCGTCCTTCTCTGGGGCTTCTACTTGGGAAGGAGGATACTCCCGGTGCAGGATGTAGCGCGCGACGAGCGCCCCAAAAGGCTTTTCGTGCCACTTCAGGCGGCGTTCCGTGGCCTCCCCCTGCGGGACGCCGGGGCGGTAGTCCCATGACAGGGAGTGGGCCGCGCCCAACATCCAGAAGGTGATGTGGTAGCAGACGATGAATATCGAAACGTACGAGACGCCCACTACAAGGCACGAGGTCAGGCAGCACGTTGTCAAGGGAAGTTTTCGTACGTACGAGCCTCGTCAACAGAGGGGTCGAAGGGAGCCTGCTGCGTTACCGATATGACCACGGCGTTTGCTTTGAGGTCGCATGTCAGTATTTGGACGCCAAAGGGGATGCAGGATACTAACGCAGGTTTCCCCAGTTGCTCATACCCGTGAGGACGATGATGCCTTGCCAGAAGTTACGGGGCACATAGCAAAACTCGCGGATTATGAACCCCGCGAGGAAGCCGAAAGCCTGGTAGAAGAACGCGATCAGGAATAGCGGACCAATCGCGCCCACATTCGAGGGGGTGAACGCAGGCACAATGTTGGCGAAGATGAGGGCAGGCAGGGAGACGTTCATTGTGACTTGCGAAGCACCCTGTGCGGCAGCTGGAGGGAATAGACCCATCCTCGCAAGCACATATCCGCAGATTATGGATATGAAGCTGGAGAAGACGATCAGCGACGGTGTACGCCACCCACAGAGCGATATGCACGATTCGACATACGTTTTGATAAGGGGCATGATGCCCGAATAGATCAAGAACGCCGCAGAGGCCATTTTGAAGATGGAACCGTGGAGACGGTCGAGTGCACTTGAACGGGGGACTGGTAGAGCTCAGCGTTCGGCTTCTGCTCTGAAAATTTATACTCTAGTGGTCAGAACGCTGGGCATGCGAGCTGGCGGTGGCAGTAAGGAAGACGTAGGTCGGAGAGAGAACATATCGCTTCTTTGAGTCATGACCCTCCTCATGTGAGCCTTCTTATCGCCTATTTTCGGTGGGACACTCGTCCACGGAGCTGCGGCCCGCCGCTCCTTCCTGTTCCGCCGGCTTTTCGGACGAGCGCTTCAACCGAGCGGCGTCGCGTGGATGCCACGCCGCTCAGGCTACTGGCCCTGCACACGACTCACTCGGACTCACGACTCGGAGGACACCCCGAGCGGTGAATATATATCCTCGTAAACGGGTTTCGTGAGCGAGGCTTTCCGAGTCTCGACTCGACCAAGGTGGTACGCCAGCTGACCCCAACAAAAAGTGGTGCTTTTGGTCCACTAACTAGTCTCTTTAGCTGAATGTGTGTCTTGATGGCGCGGTGCCAGTGGACTAATGCAAAGACAGATATTTCTGCCATGTGATATTCGGTGACTCCTCGAGTGAAGTCTTCCTATGAAGTGCCTACGTACCTCCACTTGAACATGCCTGTTAGAACTAATACATGGGCCGTGCCCCATACTGATTGAACCGTGCTCTTCGGAGTGACGCTGCCTTAGTACCTCAGATCGGACCCCAATATAGGATACGATATGTCAGCCCAGCCACAGAGCAACCCGACTATCGGCGGCACAATATGGCCGCCGGTCCCTAGATTGGTGTATCTAGCTGCTCAGGCGAAGAGATGAGCGGTTAGAAAAGGCCAGGCTGCGTATTAGCACCACCTACATTCAACGCTTGACTAATCCAGTTGTTTGCCTTGTCTCAGAATCGACTGCAAGTCAATCAATTTCGCCGGTCACGCTGGAATGAGTGAATGTGACGAAACCGAGAATGGTGGCATCTGGCCTGATCTGACCGCCCTGGGGTGATCGAGGGCCGAATGAGGAAGGGGCGATCCGCCACAAGGGAGTGTCGATCGGAATCTGGGTCGTCCACACGGTTGAAGAGAGCGGCTCCGTGAGTGCCGCAAATTGGTGACTTGGGCCGCGTCGTATATCTCGCATCCCTGCTCCTCCCACCATCTGCCAGCTGCCAGCAGTTCTCACCTGGCTTCCCAACATGGCGGCCAACTGGCACATACCGACGTGGATACAAGGCTCCCAGGTCGTCTTGGACAAACCAACTTTCGCATCGCACTCGATGTACATGGGCATTAATATGGTGAACGAGGATCACGAGTGCGTATTCCTGTTCGCCGTCAACTGCGGATAGGCGCAATGGAACGAAGTGCTAACTGGCTGCGATGAAGAACCTGGAACGAAAGCCTCGCATATCCGGCTGGCGCAGCCATACTGTCCGCGGCGCTGTTCTCCCTCCAGCTGATATCGCGTGCCCCACCTGTCCAACGGTTGTACGCAAAGCTGACTGGGGCAGAGGCGTCTGCGAAGCAGGGCGAGGACGTTGAAGCTGCTGGGAACTCTGGAGAGCGTCCATCACATATCACTCAACTGGGCGGACCGGTTATCTTTGCTTTCAAGGTTTCTCGCCTTCTTTCCTCTGTGGCACTTCTTGCGCTCTCTATCACCAGCCTCGCAATCAACGGTGATGAAGACGACGACGAGTATTTCCATGACTCCCGCTGGGTGGCTTTCGGACTCATTGGTGCATACGTAAGGCTATCCCGAGAAATCGTCTAACGCGTTGCGCTGAAGCATTGCTATCAGGTTTACGCGTCTCTATTGGCATTTGTATCCGTCATTTCCAGCTCCAGCTTGAGCAGGCTTGCGTCCAACCATGCCGCATTTGTGCTTCTTGTCACCTGGGGCGTTTACTTCTATCGGGATGCTTGGCCGCTAGCAACGGTCACCTTACAGCCCAGGGACGCTGCTGAGGGCCTCTTTCTCTGGCTCAAATTCGCTGTCCTTACTGTGGCTGCTATTGTTGTTCCGATATTCTCTCCTCGTGCATACACTCCCGTTGACCCTAAGGTTCGTTCTCTGTTTACAGCTCACGGTGTCCGTGGTTCTAATAGTATACAGGACCCCATGCCCGAGCCGAACCCCGAGCAGACGGCTTCGGTATTCTCCATGTCGATATACACGTTCTTGGACGGCATCATCTTCAAGGCTTACCGGATGCCTCATCTTCCTTGGGAGGAACTTCCCCCACTGGCCGACTACGACTATGCCAAGAACCTCGTAAACCGGAGCTTTCCGGTAAGTCATTTGCGTCTTTGGAAGATTCGCTTTCTTAACATCCGGTAGCATCTCGACCCGTTCAGGGTGTTCAAGAAGCATCACATCTTCTTCGGCATCATGAAAGTTTTCCGTAAGTACTGCACATAAGTAGCCATGTCTTATATATTGACGTCGTCTACAGGTGCGGAATACATGCTGTTGGCTGTCCTGATGTTGATTAGGGTAAGTTGCTCGGTGTCTCACTGTGAGCAAAACTCACAACCAATGTATCAGGTGGCTTCTACATTTGCAAGCCCCATTGGTATATATCGGCTGTTGCAGTGAGTCAACTTCGCTCGACACACTTGCGCTTCACTTACCCTTTTGGCAGATTCTTGGAGACTGGCAAGGACAGCGACGGCGTACGCCCGTGGGTTTGGATCAGTTGGCTTTTCCTCGGGCCCGTCTTGGGTGCAATGGCGATTCAGTACTACGTCTTCAACACGGTGAGCGCGATCCCGTCAGTCAAATCATCGCAAGCTCAATTCTTCGTGTAGACTCGCATGCTGGTTCAAACCGAGGCGATAATCACGCAGCTCGTGTTCGACCACTCTCTTCGCATCCGTATGAAGTCCGAGACGTCCTCGTCGCCCTCTACGAGTCGTGCGTCCACTGCGGTGCACACGCCGGACAACGCATCTATAGCCGAGGTTACGGATGCTGAGCAGGGGTCCCCTTCGAGGTCGAACGAGAACGGAAGCGAGGATGAGACGGTACATGCTAGCTCTGCAAGCACTACGTCCGCTACCGCCACCAAGAAGGGCTCCGATACCAAGAAAACGGAAGAGAAGCTCGCCACAGCCGGGAGCGGAGCTCCAGCTGGTAACCTGATCGGTCGGATTAATAACCTGGTCACGACCGATTTGAACAACCTTGTGGATGGTCGTGACTTCTTGTTCATCGGTGAGGCGTCCCCTCCACGTTGCATGTGCGATTTGTGCTGAGACTACTGGCGACAGTGTTGTATGCGCCAGTTCAGATCATAGTCTCAATCGTCTTCCTATATGTGATTTTGGGATGGAGGTAAGCCTCCCTAGCTCTCTCGACGTATATCGCGAAAGTTAATGGCGTGTCTCGGCTCTAGCGCGTTCGTCGGAATGGCGGCGATGTTGCTTCTTTTCCCGATTCCGGGCTACGTCGCGTCCATGATCCAGGGCGTTCAGACGGAGAAAATGAAAAAGGCAAGCCATCAAGCGAAATGAACAAGTCATGCAACTTACCCTTCCGTTAGACCGACGCACGTGTGCAGGATGTTACCGAAAGTACGCCGTCTTCACTCGTTAGGGCGAGAAATCGCACTGACCATTTTGCAGCTATGAACGTGATTCGCATGATCAAGCTCTTTGGATGGGAGCCGAAGGTCGCCGATCAGTTGGCCGGCAAGCGCGAAGACGAGCTCAAATATATCTGGAAATACAAAGTTCTCGAGCTGGTCAACGGCAACATCAAGTACGCTGGGTTGTACTTCTACGTTCACGAGTTTAATCTAACGATGTGTGTAGCTATGCCATCCCCATCGTCACCATGGTTGCCACCTTCGTTACATACGTAAGTCTTATTAGGATTGTGCAGCCAAGGCGTGCCGCTGATTGTGTTTCACAGACGGTCTTTATGGGCAGGGAGCTTACTGGTAATGTGGAGTACGGATGCCGCGCTAGATGTTGTCTAACCGTTATACAGCCTCTCGCGTCTTCTCCTCCATGTCGGGTGAGTTCGTACCTGGTTATCTTTCGTCACACCACTGAATGGCATGATCTCGTAGTCTTTGATGTCCTCCGAGACCAGCTGCACACTGTGTTCTCTTTGGTCCCAAGCATGATCCAAGGTTTGTCAAGATTGTTTCCGTATTGGCGGGTCTCGAATGACCTTTTTCATAGCCAAGGTGTCCCTGGACCGTATCACAGAGTTCCTCCACGAGGTATGTTCCGAGTACGTTCGATTCCATAGTTCAAAACTGAATATTTCGCTTCACAGACCGAGCTGCTTGACGAATTCGCTGACAAGGACGCGGAGTCGTCCGAGCTGGTCATTCCCCCGCGTACCGTTGAGAGCGACGTAATCGGAATCCGCCAGGCAGCGTTCACTTGGTCGAACACGAACGACGGCTCGGTCACTCCTGGACCGAGCCGCCGCAACTTCACGCTCAGGATTGAGGAAGAGGTGATCTTCAAGCGCGGCAAGATTAACATGATTGTTGGCCCAACCGGCTCTGGGAAGACGTCTCTTCTCATGGCGTTGCTTGGTATGTACTCCGCATGATCACTGTCGATTTCCACGCATATAGTTGACCCTGCGTGTTCATAGGCGAGTTGCATTACATCCCGGCCGGCCCAGATTCTTTCGTTAGCCTTCCGCGCGCTGGCGGTGTTGCGTACGCTGCGCAGGAATCTTGGGTGCAGAACGAGACTATCCGGGTGCGTTCTGGTTCCCCATGTATGTCTGCGTGGGCCTGAATGTTGTTACAGGACAACATCCTCTTCGGCGCGCCTTACGACGAGGACCGCTACAACAAGGGTGAGTAACGACACAACTCAGGTATCGAATGAACGCTGATGTCTGTCCTGTAGTCATCTCGCAGTGCGCTTTGAAGCGCGACCTGAGTCTGTTCGATGCCGGAGATGCGACTGAGGTCGGTGAGAAGGGCCTTACGCTCAGGTGAGCGCGATGTTTTGGCTTCAATGTCTTGTCACTAACAAGCACATCACCAATAGCGGCGGTCAGAAGGTATATAGTCACGCATCGGCGCGATGTTATTTACTAATCACAACGAGTAGGCACGTATCACTTTAGCTCGCGCGGTCTACTCGTCTGCGGAGATCCTGCTGCTCGACGATGTCCTCGCGGCACTCGATGTGCACACCGCGCGCTGGATTGTGGACAACTGCTTCAAGGGCGAGCTGCTTCGCGGACGCACTGTCTTGCTAGTGGTGCGTTCAATCTACTTACATATCATCCGTTGAAGATTCTTATATGCGTCGAAGACCCACAACGTCGCAATGGCAAGCCCGATCGCGGAGTACGTGGTGTCTCTTGGCACCGACGGTCGTATTACGAGTCAGGGCACGCTGTCGAAGGTTCTTGCCAAAGACAAGAAGCTCCTTGAAGAACTTGCAGAGGAACGCGAAGAGCTCAAGAAAGCTAGCAATGAGGTCGATCCTGTGGCAGTCGACGAAGAAGCTGCGCCTCCCAAAACCGATGGCAAACTGGTTGTCGCAGAGGAAATCGCTGAAGGGCACATCAGCTGGCCAGCATGTAAGTTGTCGTTCTCGGATCATTGTCGACTGACGTTGACCGTTATATAGTGAGGCTCTACTTGTTCAGCATGGGTGGCGCACATTCGTTCCTGTTCTGGCTCGCCGTCGTTGGGTTCCTGGTCATCTGCGAGTTCATGGGCGTCTTCCAGACGTACTGGCTGGGCTACTGGGCTCAGCAGTATGAGGACCACGATCAAGCTGAGGTCAAGGTATTCTTGTGAGTGACTTTGGCATTTCGTTAAGGTGAACGCATGCTAAGAGCTGTGACAGTTACCTGGCCGTCTACATCACTCTGCTGGTCGTCGCCATCACGGTCTACTGCTCGAGTTTCCTCGTGTATCTCTTCGGTTCCCTGCGCGCGTCTCGCTTCATTCACAACACCCTGGTGAAGTCGGTCCTTAGCTCCACTCTGCGGTAAGTACCACCTGCGATCATGATCTGAACACATCTCATCCAACATGACACAGCTGGCTCGACAAGACTCCTACGTCGCGCATCATCACTCGCTGCACCCAGGACATTCAGTGCAGTATGTGGTTACAATCTGTCATTCAACTAACTGCTGATTTCGTTACACAGTCGATGGCCCGCTCGCGAACCACCTCGGCTGGGTCATTGAGTTGAGCGTCTCGATGATCATGAAGTTCCTGGCCGTCATTTCATTCTCGCCCATCTTCACCATTCCCGGCGCGATTGTCGCCGCTCTTGGTGGTTGGTGTGGTCAGATCTACATGAAGGCACAGCTGTCGGTCAAGCGCGAGATGAGCAACGCTCGTGCGCCTGTGTTGGGCCACTTCGGCGCCGCCATTGCTGGGCTGAGTGAGTGTCCCGATATTATTGACGTCTATGGACACGTGACTAATTGGTACTGTAGCCTCCATCCGTGCTTATGGCGCACAGGACCAGTTCAGGAAGGAGTCGTACCGTAGGATCGACAGATACGTCCGTGCCGGGAGGACCTTCTATAACTTGAACAGGTAGGTACGACCTTTTCCTTACGTTGACCATCACGCTAAGCTCGAAGCAGATGGGTGTCGATCCGTATTGAATCGCTCGGTGCTCTGTTCGCCGCGTGTCTCGCTGCGTACCTAGTCTACGGCAGCCACGCCAGAGCAGCAAGCACCGGTTTCTCGCTGAACATGGCTGGTAAGTGACTCTTACTTGCGTTGACATCCGTAATTTGACAGCATATGCCACAGTCGGCTTTAGCGCGATGATCCTCTGGTGGATTCGTATCTTGAACGAGTTCGAAGTCAATGGTGCGTTACAACCGCCTCGTAACCAAAGATCTGTCTGACGGTGTTCCATTTCCTCAGGCAACAGGTACGGTCGCATATGTAAACGCAAACCCAGTGCGGGCGAGTTGCTTACACTATCATTAGCTTGGAGCGTATCCAGCAGTACGTCACGATTGAACAGGAACCGAAGTCGACTGTCGACGGTGTTCCCCCTGCCTACTGGCCTGCCAGCGGTTCAATGAGGGTGGAAAAGCTGTCCGCTCGGTACACTCCAGTAAGTCAGCCCTTTGTTCGCTCATAGTGATAGGTGTTTATTAGCGAACAGGATGGTCCGCGGGTCCTGCACGAAATCTCGTTCGAAGTCAAGGCAGGCGAGCGCGTTGGTATCGGTACGTTGATGCGCTCTTCCTTTTTGGACGGGCTCTCATCTTAATCTGCAGTCGGCCGCACCGGTAGTGGCAAGGTGCGCTAAATTGAAAGAGTGTTCATTGCGAGTGCTGACCGTCTTGTAGAGCTCCTTGACTCTGGCTCTCTTGCGTCTGATCTTCACCGAGGGCAAGGTCTACTACGATGGCATCGCGACGGACTCCATCAACCTTGATGCTCTTCGCTCCAACATTACTATCATCCCGCAAGTGGTCAGTTATTGCGCCCGTCTCAGCCGCTTCGTGTTGGCTCAATATCTCTTTCAGCCTGAGCTGCTCAGCGGTACCCTGAGGCAGAACCTGGACCCCTTCACTCAGTATGATGATGCGGTCTTGAACGATGCTCTGCGTGCCGCAGGATTGTTCTCGCTGCAGGATGAGAGCGACGAAGGCCGTATCACTCTTGATTCCCCCATTTCGAGTGGTGGTAGCAACCTGTCGGTTGGCCAACGCCAAATCCTTGCCCTGGCAAGAGCAATTGTCCGACAAAGCAAGCTGCTCATCCTGGATGAAGGTACGCCTGATGCACGTCGTCTCGGCGCTCTGCCACTTACATATCGTGATGCTATGCTCTGCAGCCACCTCCGCGATCGGTGCGTAGTCTCTCGTCGTGCATAAGAACACTTGACTAACAAATGATGTAGACTATGAAACAGATACCATCATCCAAAACTCACTCCGCAAAGAGCTAGGCTCGGATGTTACAATCTTGACGATCGCACATCGCCTGCAGACAATCATGGATGCGGACAAAATTGTGAGTATTCCAGTGTACACCGTCAACAATGTACTCATGCAACGTCCAGCTGGTGCTCGACGCCGGTCACATCGTAAGTATATCATTAGGCATTACCCCGTGGCTTAGCAAACGCTGACCTCGTTGATAGGCCGAGTTCGGATCCCCGAGCGAGCTCCTCAAGAACGAGAAGGGCATGCTCCGCGGACTGGTAGACGAAAGCGGCGACAAAGACGCGCTATATGCGATGGCGAGCGCCGCCGCTCCCTCGGTCTAGCCTCCAATCAGTACGCAGTAGCTAGAGTTTCTAGTACGATTTCCGTGTTCCCACCAGAAGCGCCAACAGCGGGACGAGACGTAGAGCACGGACAGTATCACCAGCAACGATTGTTCCTATCGGATGTATATCATACGCAATAGATTCGCTGTCTCACTACTTCTGGCGCTGTCTTGCGGGCATGCAAGAAGCGCTGTAGTTCCACTGGCTGACCTCGAGCTCGTAGGCAATAAACGTCAGCAGGTATCTTACTAGGGTTCCGGGGACACAGCGGCTACTGCTTCTCGCGCTTGCTCTTCTGCCACCGAAGACTCGTCCTGAGCCGGAGCTGGCGACCTGAGCACAGGTCAGTCATCCATCACCTGTTATACTTTCCAATACCTCTAACCTGGTGATCTTCTCTAGACAATCCTATTGGAAACGCCCATGGTGTATTTGCGCGATACTACCCCGTTCTCAGCTACACCAAGAACAAACCAAGCACGTTCAGCCCGAGAGAACATGTTACGGCGTTGCTCTCTCACGCTTATGCTCTACCATCCTGTTATCGCGGAGCGGTCGGCGACGAGAAGTACACACGGCATACAGAACCTACCCCTGAGGCGTCTGTCGAAGGAGACCAGAAGCTCGCTGAAACCCACTCCTTCGCGGCGGATGCGGTGATGTTTTGCAAATACCTTCGTCGGGGCATTTATTCTCGCATAGAACCCCGCCGCAATGCCGCACGAAGAAAAATCGCAGAGCATTCAACGAACTCTCCAGCGGCGTGGGCCATATGTATATCAAGCGAATTCCCAAAAACCTCGAACTCGTTATCTCTCGTTCGCCATGGCCCACATCGTCAGCACCGCCACTTGGGTCGAACCTCTCCTAGCCACCGCCACTTTCCTACTCTTCGGGTATCTCTATGCAGCTCGCAGACGATACCGGCTCCCACCTGGGCCAAAGCCCCTACCGGTTTTCGGAAATGCATTCGATATGCCGATGCGAAACCTCGCCGTTAGCTTTCGCGAGCTCAGTGACAAGTATGGTATGTGCGCTATACTCTCTCTTCTTATGACCTACTTATACTTCTGAAGGCGACATCGTGTACATGAACGTCATTGGACAGCCTATAATTATTTTAGGCACCTACCAGGCTGTTCACGAGCTGCTCGAAGTCAGGTCCTCAATCTCGTCCGATAGGACACAAGCCCCGATGGCTGACTTGTGAGCCTCTCCTTCTAGTACGTTGGTACCTCCAGGGAGAGTGATTCGATTTGGCATACCTTTAGGACGGGTTTCATGTGGGACTTCGCTCTGGAGGGTTATACCTCGCGGTGGCGGACGCAACGCCGCGCATTCCACCAGCTGTTCTACCCGAACGCCATCAAGAGCTATCGCCCAACGCAGCAGCGCGTAGTCAGACGTTTATTGCGAAACCTGATTGCGAAACCTGACGGCTTTGTCAAACATATAGCACAGTGAGTTCTGTTACTCGCTGTACTAGAGCACGAACACTGACGAACATGACGACCAGCTACTTCGGAGCCTCGATCATGAAAATCGTGTATGGGCTCGAGGTCGCCGACGACGACGATAAGTATGTCATGATTGCCAGGAGGGCGCTGGACGTCTTCAACTACTTTATGGTACCCGGCCGCTTCTTAGTCGACAGCCTGCCCGTCTTGCGTCACGTTCCCAGCTGGTTCCCCGGGGCCGGGTTCAAACGTAAGGCAAAAGTCTGGAGAAAGGATGTTCTGGCATTGCGCAACGTCCCTTTCGAGGCTGTGATGGACAATGTGGTAAATACCATGCCCTTGAAACGAGTTCTTGTAATCTGACCCCTTGTAGGCCAATGGAAACACGCAATCCTGCATCGCTACCTCTTTGCTAGGAAAGCGTGCTCAGCTCGACGGGGAAGCAGGCGTAGAGTTCGAAGAGATGTCGAAGGATATATGCGCCCTTGCGTACATCAGTAAGTCAACTATCGGTGAGCCGCCATGGAGAGTCTGACAATTGTGCGTTCAAGCCGGAGCAGACACCGTGAGCCTCTTCACAGCTTGAGGTTGCATCTTGCTGAGTAGCCATCATGTCTTCAGACATTCTCCAACGTCGTCGCCTTCTTTCTGGCTATGACCATCTTCCCCGACGTCCAGGCGAAAGCGCAAGCGGAATTGGACGCCGTGATTGGTCCGAGTAGGATGCCCGATTTCGAGGACCGTCCCGCTCTTCCGTACATCAACGCAGTGGTGAAGGAGTGCATGCGGTGGCATGTCGTTGTGCCCCTCGGTATCGCGCACCGCACCATCGCTGACCAGGTGTACAAAGAGTATCTCGTTCCGAAAGGCACCGTGGTCGTTTCGAATGCCTGGTATGTGTAGTTCGCAGCGTCATGTATTCGGGATTGCTTACGATGCTCCTGATTCTCTAGGGCCATTTCTCGCGACCCCGAGGAATATCCAGATCCTGAGGAGTTTAAGCCGGAACGCTTTCTGGGTCCGGAGCCTGCAAGGGACCCTATGTCCTTCGTGTTTGGCAATGGCCGACGGTGAGTAGCTTTCCCAGTAAGCCCAAATTACTCGCAACTGAGGCTAAAGGACATGCTAGAATCTGTGCCGGCCGACACTTTGCGGACGCATCGCTCTACATCATCGTGGCATCCGTCCTGCATACGCTGAGCATCAAGCCGCCACTGGATGCCTCCGGCAAGCCAGCTCACGTCGAGCCCAAGATGACCACGGACATGCTCCTCTCGTGAGTAGCCCATCGCCACATTCTCGTCGTTATTCAAGTTGTTCATGTACTTCCAACAATTTAGTTATGTGGAGCCGTTCAAGTGCCGCATCGAACCGCGTTCGGCGCAAGCTGAGGCCCGCTTGAATGACCAGGACCTCGCTGACGAGTGATACCGCCGTTCAGATGTTCAGCTGCCAATTGTTATTGTACTGCAGGGAAAAGTTGTCGTATAAAACCTGCACGTCGTTACCGAACGTGTCTGCATCATGTCCGAGAACAGGTTGTGCCTCAGAGTGTCATCCAGAGGGAATGAGCATGTAGTACCATCACATACACAATATTACTTGAACAGGTGGTATACATCCACGAAAACATAACCAGCAATAGCGAGAACAGCGAGAATCCAGATAGCATCTCCAACTTGAATAATGTCCGACAATGCGAATGAATGTGCAAACGAACAAACTTGACCTGCACCGCGCCCAACCCTCTCAGGGCTTGAAGCTCCAGATCTCGACGACCATCTTGCCCGCCTTCTTGCTGAGCACCGCGCACGTCTCGCGCGTGTACGCGACCTTCCACACGCTCTCGCTCGGCTCGCACATGTCGCGCACGAAGCGGCACTGCGCGTCGCCCTGCGCGCCGCGCTCGAACTCGTACAGCCGCACGCGCCCGTCGTTCCCGCTCGTGACAAGGAAGCGCTCGTCGAGCTGCAGGCCCGACACGGAGCTGTCGTGCGCCGCGAGCCGCTGCACGGCGAGGAACGCGCTCCCCGTGAGCGAGAACGTGATCACGCGCCCGTCCGAGCCGCCCGTCGCGAGCATCGTCGGCGTGAGCTGGAGCTGGCAGACGAGTGCGGTGTGCCCTTGGAGTAGCGCGAGACACGCGCTGTGTATATACCGCCGTGAGTGAGGCTCTGATAAAGTTATGCTCTCCCTGTACTTACCCGTTCGAAGCGTCCCACACCCGGACGGTGGTGTCCAGTCCCCCGCTCGCGATGCGCTCGCCGTCGAACGCGACCGTGTAGATCTGGTGAAAGTGCCCGCGCAGGACGTGCAGACATGCGCCGGTGTCCACGTCCCATATGCGGCAGGTGCAGTCATAACTCCCGCTAACGATCCGGTTGCCGCACACGTCGAGACAGCGCACGCTCTGCGTGTGGCCCTCTAGCACGCGTAGAAGGCGCCCACGCTGCACGTCCCACACGCGTACGGTCCGATCGCGCGAGCCTGATACGGCGAGTGGTCGTCCATGCACCACCTTCAGGCAGCGGATCGTAGACGTGTGGCCGCGAAGGGTGTAGATGCAGTACCTGTGCGACATGCGTTAGCCAGCGATGGGCGTTACCTTTGGAATACACGCACCCCGTCTTCACGTCCCAAACACGGAGCTCCTTGTCGCATCCACCGCTCACTACGAGCGCGCTGGGCTGACCCCAGCCATCCGAAGCACCTCCGGGGTAGCTCGGCTTTCCGAAGCGCGGACGCTCCGCCTTGCCGCCCTCCGCGAAGGGATCGGGGACGCTCCTGGGCCGCAAGCGCACCTTGCTAATATTAGTGGACTTGTCCAGCCCAACAGCCGTGCGCAGCGCCAGCGGGAGCGCCTCGTCCTGCGGGTGGCTCGCCACGAGCGGGTCGCCCTCGCACGGATGCATGCACGGATCGCGGCCCACCGGCTGCCCACCCTCCGAAATGAGCGCGACCGCCCACACGCCGGAGTCGTGCCCGATGAGCGTGCGGCTGAGCACGCCCGTGCGCGCACTGAAGATGTGGATACGGCTGTTCGCGAGCCCGACGACGACCCACTGCGCGTCGATCGCCATCGACGTCGGGATCGCGGGATTCGCGAGTGGGCCCTGGTCCTGCCCTTGCTGCTGCGCCGTCGCTGGGGGCGCGAGTTGCCCGGGCATGTTGGGGTCCGGGGGCGGCGGGTGCAGCAGGGCGCGGTGTATGCGCAGGAGCTTGCCCTTCCCGAGCCAGTTCGACGCTGGCACGCGAGGTTAGGCGTGGGAGAGGGGCTGAATGGGGAGACGTACTTCGGATATATTCGTGGATGAAGAACTTGCGGTATGGGAAGTCGACGCTCTGTGGGCGGGGCGGCTGGAGTCCCCTTGGTGAGAATAGCGGGCTCCTGCGTGCCTCCGCTCCCGAGCCGCTCGGCAGGGGGTCGCTTGCTACTGGAGGAGCGCCATCGAGCAACTGCTCCCGGCGGTACGATTCCACCGCCTCTGCGTCTCGCGAGAAACCGTGACGTATTGCCATCGTCTTCCACAGGAATTCGTCCTTCAAAAGCTCATTCCAGTACCTGCTGACAAGTGCAGCACGAGCAAGCGTGCGGGGGTCATCGATAAAGCTCAGAATGTGAAGGGATACCTCGGGCGGGAGAGCTCGGAGGAAGTCGCGCTTGAGGAGTGGCGCGATGGTCGTAGAAAGAAACAAGAGCTCTGATGGTGTGCATTCCTGGATGAGGGCGTAGAGGTGCTGCCGTCGTGCGGCGGGGGTTAGGCCGGCGAAGGCGGAGATGTGTGTAAACGTCGCGAGGCTCGGGCTCGGGAATGAAGATTGTTGCGGGGGTGGCGATGGGGCGGGGGTGGGCGGCGGTATGATGGGCATGTACAGCGTGGTCGGAGGTGGTGAGGAAGCCATGATTGCGTTCAGTCAGAGAGTGGAGGGACTTTGTGAAAGTACAGTGGGTGTCGCCCGTAGCAATACCGCCGAGCTGTTCAGGGTGTGATAGATGAGATTCGGGACACCGCGGGGATGAATGGCGGAGGAACGGGGTCGAGTCTTGCGGTTACAAACGCCGAACGAGAGCGATTAATCAATGCAGCGAAGGCAGTTTATATGACTCAACGCACTTCTGGACGGTCTGAGTAGAGGGAAAGAAGCGGGAGTGAGCAAAGAGACACCAGTCTGAGTGGCAGCACACGGCATCGCACCTTTCGTCCAGTCTCCGTACCGCCCACGGTCGTTGTCAGACAGAGTTGTGTCCGGAGCTTTCCCTCGCGTCTGCGTGCTGTTCCCAACGACGCTCGATAGCGCACGATGCGTGGACGAGAGGCGGGTGCGAGGAGAGAAGAGGACGGAGGAGGCTCTGTTCGGAGTAGCAGCAGCCAAGTAGCAGCAGGCCTCGGGCTTAGACAATAGCTATATGCGGGTGTTTGGTTCTGCCGGACCGGGACGGCGATGACTTCTTCTGATCCCAAGTACTAGGCTTGTCGATATTTCCGCTGGCAAAAGTGGGACCACTGTCGGACAACCACGGAAGATGAGAGCAGGAGGGACGAGGCTTGGACGAGGCTTGAGAGGGTCAAGGTGCAAGAGCTGGCTGTTTTACGCCTGCCCCGGTTCGAACGCGTGCTCTCATGCACTTCGGATAGCCGGCCCGGTCAGCTTCGGAAACAGCCGTCCTTCAGGCGTCTATTGAGGTGCCTCTACGCGCCCACCGCGGCAGAAGATCGTCTTGCTCACTCTTGCCGCCATGCAGCTGCAGACCCTCAAAATATAATGGCGCATATATAACACTCTTCTCTGGGAGATCCTATGACCTCTGCGCCGCGCTGGAATATCATCCACGCAGATGGTCCGCGGAGTAACGCGGCTGCTGCAGCCTGCCCCGCCGCCGACTGGCACGAAGACGTTCCTCGGATCCATCTAGGCCTTTCGTACCCACGACAACTCTCTTCCCTTACCGGTCAATCGCAAACGCTTGGGACTTGCAGTATTCGCGACCTGACTCTCGGCAAGGGAGGAGATCGACAAGGTCGCTCGGGTCTTGAACGCCTGGGCTTACGCAACTTAGGCGGTAAACCTCTGAATCTCCGCCCTGGATGAAGGGGTAAAGTGAACCTTTTGCCTCGCGGTACGAATTCTAATGCTGTTCTTTCTTTCGATGCAGGCAGGCCGGCGCCGCGGCCTTAGATACCACGAAGCCCTCAGAAGGGGCAATACACTAGCTCGCATACGAGTTTTGGTATACGAGGTGCTCTCCTCGCGGGTATCCCAGGACTGTCGACCGACCCCTCCGAAGGAAACGACGACTACGTCTGGATGTGCGACTCCCCTAGGTCCTTTCCATATGGCCGACGTCCGACGCGTCCGGCCGCGCTTCCTTCGGGTCTCGTCCGTGAAGCCGCAATCCATAGCCGAGATGTGGGGTGCATGGGAGTGTGTACCCTGCGCCCTCCAAAAATTGCCGGTGTTCCAGCCACAGAAAGACATTCCGCCCCACCTAACATTGTTCACTAACTCAAGACATGCCTCCTTTGCGCCACGAAGTGCACAGCAACCCCGGCGACCTACCGCCTCCTCCTTACCCTTACGAAGATTGTCCCACCCCTGCATGCACTTACTCGTTTCAGCCCGACACCCTTCATATTTTCTCAAGTCGCGCTTGATGCATTCATCTTGTCGAGATCGACGATTTTCGTGGCCGCGCTGACACGGCAGTCGGCTTCGGTCGAGTCCCCCGACTCGTCCACGCCTGAATCGCGCTCCTGTTCCCCGCATCGCACGGCGCGGCGCTCGCGCGGCTGCACGTTCGGTGGCACCAGGTGTGGCTCCGACGTCGGCGTGGGGCGTATCTGTTTCATGTGTTCTGCTGCCGTGCAGTAGCAACCGTCATGGCTTGCATGTTCACCCAGACAATGACAATATCAATGGTGAGTAGTCCCTAGCCTCGTGGCGCGCGCGCTAGCGACGGCGTCTTGCCGTTCAGGCCGGGCGTCCAGGCGGGCTCCTACCTCGGCGGCTTCGCGGTACTGTGCGTCTGCATTTTGCACCGAAGCCGCCCCGTCGTGCCCTTCTTTCTTCCCGTCAGACTGCTGCAAACAGTAAGTTCAATCGAGTACGCGTCTCTGTGCCTCATGCCCAGTTATTTATCAAGGTGAGCATTCTCGCTGTTCTCGACGCAAGGCTCGGTGGCGGGCTGAGGCTTTATGACGTCGGCAGAGCTGTAGGACGCGCTCACGGGTGCGAGCAATTTAACCAAAGGACGGCCCCGCCACCGAGCCTGACGTCGAAAGGTGTCACTGGGCTCTTCCCGGTGCGCCGTTTGCCTAATGCGCTCCCGGGATTAGGGACCTCGAGGCGGCGATGGAACAACTAGATGAGCTCTCTGGCGGTATGCTGATGAGCTCAATAGCAAGCGGCGCATCATCAGCTCGAGGCTCATCGTCTCGCCCTTCCTTTGACGATTTGTTCGCAGAAGGCAAGCCGCGAGGCGGGCCGGAACAGCGCACCCCGGACTGCACCCATCGTACCATCGCGTTCAGGGCAAACAAAAAATCCGACGTGCAGCCGCCAGATACGCATGCGATGTGCTCCTCTTTAGCAGCACACAATTGACACCCACGGTGAGCGCGATCGGCTACCCGGTTCGCTCGAGCGGTCGCTGACGTCGCAGGAGACGGGGGCAGGGGTATCTCCGTATTCGCGGAGCCGCCGAGTGCGGGGACGCAGGCACGAGGACAATATGTTCTGTCGAGGGGGACAGAGACACAGGTGGGATCCGCCGCTGTTCGCAGGGAGCGCAGCAGCTGGCGGCGCTGGAACGCGGGACGAAGAACGGTGGGTGTTCTCGCCACGAGCGACAAGTCCGACTAGTCGGAGGCGACGGCGGTGGCACGCCTCGCCTGCCCGGTCACTCAAAATGGTTGGTCTCTTATTGATGCCCGGCTGCGATTGGGTCGTTCGTCTGTCAACACTACGGCTTCTTCCAGCGGAATGCGTCCCGATATGGGACGAGCACTGCCATTCCGGGCGTGCGGTGGCGGGGGTGAAGGAAGAGCGCGAGGGGACGGCGGCGGTCGACTCACGCTCTGCGCGTCGGGCAACCTCGTCTCCTTCACGCGCCGGAGTGTGAATGTCGACGGCCCGACATATATAATCCCATTCCTTCTCCCGTCTCCCCAACGCGTCCCCTTCCTCCCCTCTCCCACCCGACTCCTTCTTCCCCTCGCCGCGATCAGCAGGGTGCCCGCGTTTTCTCTCCGCTAACCAGCAGCGAAAGCCCGTTCCCCGTTCCACTCAAGATCATCGCATCCGCCAATCCTTCCTCGGCTCTCCTCTGCCCGTCACAACCGAACATACGAAAATGTCCTCCGCCGCGACCTCCTCCCTTCTCTCCGCGAACGTCTCGTTCCTCTCCGACTTCCTTAGCACCTCCTCCGTCGCCCTCCTCGCGCTATCCGCCTCCATCCTCTACCTCTGCGCCACCCTAGTCTACAACCTTCACTTCTCTCCTCTCGCCGCTATCCCCGGCCCCTGGTATGCCGCCGTCTCGGACATCTGGTTGACCTCCCACGTTGCCCGCCTGCAACAGTGCCAGACCGTGCAGGCACTCTTCGAGCGCTACGGTCCCGTCGTCCGCGTCGGCCCCAACAAGGTCCTGTTCTGCGACCTTACGACGGCCAGGAGTGTCTACTGTATCAACAAGTTCGACAAGAGCTCGTTCTACAAGGCGCTGCTAACGTTGGTTCCAACTTTAATTGTTCCGTGGAAATCGGTACTGACGTTCTTTCCCCACGACACAGGAATGATAACGACCATGCGTGAGTTTATTTTCCCCTTAGATCCGTAGTTTGCGGCTCATTCAAGCTTATGAATCTAGTATGACGTCGCTCGGAAACGCCGAGCACTCGGCACGCCGCAAGGCCTACGCCCCCCACTACAACCTACCCCACCTTACCCAGTTCCAGCCGGAAGTGAACGACTCCGTCGTCAAGGTGGTACAGGTCAGTGGCGTGTAGCTCTGTCCGCTAAAATGGTCCGCTGACCTAGATATGATTTGTAGATCCTCGAGAACAACAAGGGCCAGAAGTCGGTCGACACGCTAGACCTCTTCCGTCACCTTATGGTCGACATCATCTCTGTCTCTGTCTTCGGCTCTCGTCCCGGTGCCTTGGACAACTGGGCGATCGGCATCCAGGACCCTCTGTCCCAAGCGGTGTACGACTTCCCTACCAGGGGCATTGTGGTATGTATCGTTATTTGCACGTTGATCTTCCCATGAGCTCACATTGCCCCGATTGCAGCGGAGTGCTATTCCCACTTGGGCATGGAGCGTTGTCTCCCGCATTCCCAACGAGACCTGGCGCCGTATCTGCAACTCGGACAAGACCATGGCCGAGGTATGTGGGGCACTTATTCACCTAACCGATAAATGTTGACGAACATTTGCAGTTCGTCCGTGGCCGTCTCGACGACAGCAGGGCGAAGATGCACGCTGCCCCCGTTATCGGCGAGAAGGAGCTCAAGACTCCTCTGATCCAGCGCATGATCCAGCACCGCGCTTCAGGTACTCCTGACGACACTCTGGTCCAGAACATCGTCTCCGAGTGCATGGGCCACCTGTAAGCGCTTCCGCATACAACCGCATCACCATGGACTCATGATGAATAATTTAGCGTCGCCGGTTGCGACACATCGTCTACAACTCTTTCGTACCTCTTCTGGGAACTCTCTCGCCGGAACGACATCATGCGCAAGCTACAGGCTGAGCTCGACGAGTACATGCCTGATCGCAAGGCAGTGCCCGACTTTGCTACTCTGTGCAAGCTGCCGTACCTGAATGCCTTCGTCAAGGAAGGTGCGAATGTCTTTCCCAGCCCTTAATGAAGCATACGTCTGATGTAATTGCGGTCATAGGGCTCAGGATTTACGGTGCTGCCCCCTCCGTTCTCGAGCGCGTCGTTCCCTCCACGTCCTCGGCAGTCGACGACTCGTTTGACATGATGGGCTACGCCCTGCCCGCCGGCACTGTTGTTGGAACCCAGGCATGGAGCATGCACCGCGACACAGAGATCTTCCCCAGCCCCGAGACCTTCCTTCCGGAAAGGTGGCTCTCTGTAGAGGGCGTTAGCGGCGAGGAGGAAAGATTGTCCAGGTGAGGAAGACCTTCACCTTTGGTTCTTTCAAATCCACTCACAGCTCGTCCACACAGAATGTCGCAATACCTTATGCCCTTCGGTATTGGAACTCGCGCTTGCGGTGGCCAAAACCTTGCGCACATGGTCTTGCGCGTCGCTATCGCCGCGATGGCGGTAAACTTCGACATCACCGCCAAGCTTACTGAGACGAACGAGCACACTATGGAGATCAAGGACGCATTCGTCAGTACTCCTTCAATTTCCATTTGCACGTTCGCTAAACTGTACCGACAGGTCCTGCACCCTATCACGAAGGAGTGCAAGCTTGTCTTCACTCCCAGACCCTATTAGGCTCCGACATCTTGACCCATCTCGTACCAAACTTCTTGGATTGTCGTGACGCCTTTACATTATAAGCTCCTAATCCGCCGCTCCTTGAAAGTTATCCTAACACTCACATAATCGCTCTCCTTACTCGCTCTGCAGTGTCTTGCTATCCTGTCCTAGCACTTGGTTACGCACGTCTCATTGTCGTCCGAACTGGCCTGTGACTCCCAGCCGGCTGGACCTTATTGTCGCACCCGCCGTATATATAGTAGTGGAGGTAGCGCCTTGTGATACATCATCCCGGAGGTTATAATCGAGAGAAGTAGCACATTATAGCCACGCAGCAGGAGGACTAGTATACAAATGCCATCGCGTAACTGGCAGTCGTTCCAGACTTTTGAGTTTGCCCCAACTTGAAAGCTTTCAGCGGGGGCGCCGCGGCGTTCTCGGCGCGTTAGTCTGCACGCTCCTGAAGATAAGATAAGATCGACTAAAGTGGCAAGTACTCCACTACGATCGCGATCTGCTCTACCGTCCGTCAGTGCAGAGAGTTGAAGACACCAGCCGGACTTCTAACCCTTTCACCCACGCCATCACCAGACGACCCTGCACCGCAGGCCACCTCTAACGACAAACTAAGATGGCCAGCACAGAGGGACCCGCAGGGCCAGAGCCCACAGCACCCCAAGAAGTGCTCTACTGCCAAGGTGACCCGCCCCCCGGTCCTCCACGATTCGCGCCGATCTCACACAGCCCACAGTATGCTCGTTCCCAGTCGAGTACTGCGAGTTCGGCTCCAGCCTGACGCGCTGCAAAGAATGGCTGCAGAAGGAGGACCAGGCGCTGTACGACCGGTTCTACTCGGAGGGTGCGTACCTCGCTTAGATCTTAACGGCAGGAAAGTGTTAATGGCAAGTGGGGTGGGCTCGCATAATAGAGGCGCTGCAGGCAAAGATTGGGACGTTGAGTCTGGAGGCGCAGACGAAGCTGGAAAAGGATACGGCGAAGAAGGAGGCGAAGGCGGAGGCGAAGGCGGAGACTGCGCTCAAGAAGAAGATGGTGCGTGTTCTGCCTACCCATCGTCATATGCGTTTATTGAACTGTGTGTGTTGTGCGCGTGATAGGCATCACAAGTACGTAACCCTCGGCAGGCCCGGTAGGTGCGGGACTGACCCTCGGACCCGTAGGTAACGATCAAGCGGATAGAGCGCAACAAGCGCAAGCACGTCACCGCCATCCACGGGCTCGAGAACTTCGGTGCGCCCTACCCCTATGCACCCCGCTCGCACCCGCTGACTAGTACGGCCTACGGCAGACGTCGACCTGAAGAAGGCGGCGAAGTTCTTCGCGCAGAAGTTCGCGACGGGCGCGTCGGTGACGAAGAACCCGCAGGGGCTGGACGAGATCGTCGTGCAGGGCGACGTGAGCGGGGAGATCGTGGAGATGATCGAGGACGGCGTCGGGCTGCTGAAGGGCGTGCCGAAGGACAACGTCGTCGAGGTTGAGGAGAAGAGCAAGAAGAAGGGCGAGTGAGCGGTCGGGGATGGTGCGAGGGGTGTACGAGTGGCTGGGACGACACATCAATGTAACATATGGTGAGTATCCCCTTACATGGTTGGAGTCCCTTCGATCTCATTCCGTCGGCAGTACCCTACGTACCGCATCTCAAAGAGTTCAAACCAAGGCATCACTTGACCTTGCGGGCATTTGGCGTTCCTGAGGGCTCAGGCTCAAGTTTAAAAGGTACGCCGTAGTGTCCTTCGTGCTCACCTCGCTGTCCTCTGGAAGCCGACATCTACTTCGATCGCTCCTCTACATCAACCGCGTTCACAGCTGAAAAGCTGTTCGTTCGCACAAATCCTGCAGCCTTCCGACGATGACACTGGGGATAACCACCTAGTCAGTGCGAAGCACCGTCGTCCCGTAAAATTCGTGGACATCTTTTGGCCAATATACCTCATCGGGTCTGAACGGTAAAAAGGTCAGGTTTTGAGTGTTCTACATCGAGGCCTGGTACGTATTGCGCGCAACGCGTGTATTGTGTCTCGGGGCATCTACAGTGGAGTGCAGGCTTAGGAATTGGCAAGCCACACCGCAGACACTGTTGTACTTCTGCGAACCGCAGCAATTACTTGGATGAGATGCGGAACAGCAACATCACGAATGTCTTGACAGGCGACAGACTGGGTGGTGAACAGAGCGGAATGCGATAGGATTAACGAAACGTAACTACAGAGGACAGGAGAAGATGCGAAGACAAAGCGACAGAACGACAACAACGCTGCCCGGGGAAGAAACGACAGGATGCGGTAGGGATACAGGAGTGTGGGGAGACAGGAGCGATGCGTATGACGATACAGTGGTGGGCGAGCGCAGATGGGAGATGAAGTAGACGAGACTAGGAGGGGGAAGGGGACAGTATACGGGACGGTAGAGTATGCATAAATAGAGAAATAACCTAGGGGCACAGCCCGCCTCGCGTCCGCGCGGCGTCGAGAGTGGTGGGAGCGGGGGAGGGGAGAGAGGGAGGTGCTGCACGCCGCGCCCGCTAACCCATGAGGATCTGGATGTCCGCCTGGAAGACTCCACGATCGTGCAGGTGCACGTTGCTTATGGAGCGAAGAACGAAGTGCATGTGGGAGTAGTTCCGGCCTATCTCCCACGTCGTGCCGTTCTCGTTGCGTGTGCCCGCGTAGGTCGCCTTTCGCGCAGCCTGTGTGGTGAGCCGGAATGAGCGCTGGAGAAGAAACGCGGTCACGTGATGCACGCACATCGAAAAACCGTTCGTAGGCCTTCGCGACCTGTTGCGCCAGGTAGGCGCGAGTGACCGGACGGTTGTTCACGCAGATTTCCAGCGGGAAAGTGTTCTGAACGTGTCCGTACCCTGGCCACTGCGATGCGTATTCAGCTTCCGCGGAGGTATCGATGCGGTACATAGCACGTACATAGATGACCAAGTTGACAGAATTCTGTCCGAGGTTGAGCAATTCCGGGATAAACTGGTCCCCCATCCAGTGCAATTTCCCGTTCTTAGCGTCTCCAAATGAGACGCCGGGAGTCCCCCTACCAGAGTCGAAGTGTATGGTGATACGTGGAGGTTCGACTGGCCGGGGGCTGTTGCCCGGCCGCGGGCTTGACTTGTCGTGCTTTATGGGCACATTTATATACCTGGGGGTACCCATGGCACCCTCTAGAGAGGACCATCGCGACGTGTTGATGTGCAATGGGTGCAGAGGGCGTTGGATGGGGTAGTTCATGTCGGAAAGCGTGGTTGGAGAGGGATATGAGGACGAGGATGCAGAAGTGAGCACTGAAGGATGAGATGGACGGACAGCGTTCACGTACGGGGGCATATATACTCGTCTTCCCCCCCTCCCAGTTTCCCAGTTCGTCCACACACGCGTGCAGGTCGCGTCGGCTAAGTCGCAAAAGCCACAAAGGCCGCAATAGGTTGCGAAGGCGCGACGAAGGTCAAAGCGGGTGATGGCGCGCAGGGCCAAGCGTCGACAATAGCACAGGCGGTGCAAAACGCGGGCCAGCAAAGGGGACGGCGCATGGACTGGCAGTCGGAGTTGGGGCACGCCATGAAAAGGAGACGGGGCGGACGCAAAAGGAGGAGGGAGGACAATCGGCGGACGCGCTTTGACTGCCTTTTGCGGGCTTGGACCGACGTCACCCGCCCCTCGTCACCCGAGGCCCAAGCGTAGCCTCATGGTCGACATGAGGCGGGGGTGGGTTCGCGGGAAGGAATGGAGGCGAGATAACGCACCGTTTGTTCGACAGTAACGCGCGAAAGTCTAGTTGCGGTGCCTGAGTTGGTCACTGCAGCTGAGGATCTACTAAGACCTGCAGAACGACGCGGAGATACGCGAGGATACCGTCCGCCTTTGGCATAAGACAAAGCAAGAAACCTGCTCGAGTCGGGGAATCAATGGGAGATGTGCTGCAGCCGGGGCAGTGCTTCCTATACGGCGAGTATTGAAGATACCGGGAGGTCAATGGTTGCCAGGCACAAGCTCCGAGGTCAAAGCCGCGCAGCCAAGGAATAAGCGTGGTGGAGGGAGAGGCTGTCCTGCCTCGAGTTCATCGCGGTGTTGAATAGAGCGTCGAACTTGTTAGGCGCCCATCACTCCCCGACTCTCCCGGCAGTCCGGCCCGGACTGTGGCCTGACCACGTGACTAATTCCGATATCGTTAGGCGCCCATTTGTGCCCTCCTCGAACTTCCCGCGTCCACTCTGGCAAGAACTCTGTGCTACAGTCCTAATTTCTTGGTCCTATCCACCGCTTTGACTGTTGCTGCACTATGGCTTCTGATACACGCATCTTGAAGATACCTAGGACCAGTTGGATTACGAGAACCTCTTATTAGCCACATGGCACGCATCAACTTGGTTCACAACTTTCGGGCCTGTGTAGTGCTACTGACCGCGCAGGCGCGATCCTTGGTCATGAATACTGCATGTAAGTAATATCCTCGCATCCTCACGACAGGTTATGCTTCCGGAGGAACATGAGGACTCGCCCCCTTCTCTCGCTCTCGGTGAAGCATGGAGCCCTACCAGCTGACCAGCCTGAGCACTCTTGTACACTGCAACGGTCGAGACTGATCTATCTGTGGACGCGAAGCACTTCTCTGCATCCGGTTAGTCATGAGCGCGGGAGGGTACCGCAGCACTATGCAGAGCTGCCGATGCTGCGGTACCCTCCAGGAGCGTATATATACCAGGATGTCTGCTTGCATGTCCCTCATAGTCTCCATACATGTCTGCACTGTCCCGGGTGTCCCATATACAACTGCTAAGCTGCATTAAGCAGCTTGGGCAGTTGTATCTGCGACATCCGCTTCCGTCCGCTCTCTCTCTTCTGTCGCTGGCGCCTTCACGTTGACCACGGTTTGTCGGATCCCTACGTGAGTCGGCTGTCGGCCAGGCGCTCCCCGGACGCTGATACCTGGATGCATTCAGACTATCACACGTTGTTTGAGCCTTCGGGGTGGCGGGCGGGGTAAATCAGAACCTGTCTCGTAGCTATCAGAGGAACCCATTGTACGAAGCCGGGCTTTCCAATACCGATCCATAAAATGATGCATCGCTGCCTTCAAGTGGAGGCATTGGCACAGGTAGCGATGAGCAAATAGTACCGTCTGGAGCCATGGTCCAGTGTTCTTCACGGCACGGCGATTGACTTGCTCACATTTCGATATCACGCATGTCTCAGGTTGCATTCATCCAACCCGAGGCTGAGTCCTCGATCACTTCGGGCCCTCAGGAAGCACTAGATCACGAACTACGTCGCTCCAAACCTTCTCATGCCATGAACATGACAAGCGTGCCAAACCATCTCACGCACTAGGTTTTCTTCTACGCCAACCCAGCTCCCGGCGCAGCGCGGCAGCATTTCGCGCACAAAAGTCACTCAAACTCTAGCCCGCCCGGAGACCATGGGGTCTACCGCAGCTCGTGCGTTCAACGACGACAGTTTCTTCTATGCGTACTGCGGCACCTCTTGGTGGGAGTGCACTGGCTCAATAGGGGATCGTTACTCTTCGACAAGGTCATTCGCTAGGTTCAGAACCCGAGATATGCTGCACCAGGGCACAACGTTTGCCTGTTTACTCGCTAACTCACTCCTACTGCAGCCACAAAGTTTGCCTCCATGGTCGCTGCGGTAGCTCCATGTGAACGCTTGCTAACCACCGTGCTTCCATCGAGCGTTCCCACAGCGCTGCAGTGGTCTACGGACCGATAACCAAGGGCACTGCGGTGCCTTCACCTCGAGCCTCGAGTGCTGCGGTACCCGCTGCACCTCTATAAAACTAGGTAGGCTCAGTATCGAGTACCTCAATACCAACTCTCAATTCTCCCCTTGCTCTTCAACACCATGCTCGGATCCTCTCTCTCCGGTGGCCCTGTCTAGGGCTGCGCTTGTTGCCGTGGGAGCCCGGTAAGACTTTCCTCGAGACGTGTGTGGCTATCTGTTCTCTAGCTTTCAGCTGACACAGCCTATGTCTTGCAGTGCGCCGCGCCTGAACGGACGCGGTTGACCTCGACAGCCTCCTCCGAGCGCAGCCCCCTGGAATCGGTGTGTTTTCCGGCGTACGATCTCTCGTCGGAACAATGCTGACTGACGAATGACATGACTTGATGTAATCGTTTCTTGCTCCCTATTTCTCCAGAACTATGCGCGAGTAGTACGGTGTTCAACGTATAGAAAAACCAGATATATGATCAGTTGCGTTCGAGTAGTAGTGACGTTTGAATGACTCAGGCTGCGCGCGGTTGGCTTTGGCTGATCTCTGCTTTGCGTGGTGGAACTTTGTACTCGTGGCCTGGTGCAGTTGAAAATAGCACATACAGCCATACCCCGCCAAAGCCCCCATAAATTATGTCCCACCATTTTCGGAGACGCGTCGCGTGTTTACGTCCCGTGACCGCGTATCACTGGCAGAAATGTCCGACATCCTGTTGGCTTTCACGTCCTTCCAAACAATCCGACGCGATTATTACCCTGGGTCCTTGCATGTACATCTTGCGAAGATCCTCGCGGGCTTCTCATGGACGCACAGGCAGGCGCACACAGAGGCCTAGCCCTTCCAGTACTACCGGTCGGCCACCAATGTAGCCTCCTTGTCCGGGCGAAGCTATCGGTGCACCACGAATGCGCGGTCCTACATGCTCTAGAACTCTCCATATAACGCAAATTCTGGTGTAGAAGGATCACTTGGCCTGCCGCAGCACGTCTATACCAGTCGCACCCGCTCACCTGCTCACAACGCGACCCCACGCCCTGCTTCTATACACGCTGCGGTAGCCCATCGTGACCGCCGCGCTCCGCTGCTGAACAGAGAAGTCCAGTTCTTCCCCACCACACCGTGGTACTCGTGCCCAGCAGCGCACCTTCGCGAAGGTGCTGCAGGTACTGCGGTACCGTCCGCGGACACATAAAAGCAGCGCGGTGCTTTCAACGAATCTCCAATTCCAACTCACACTTTCCACCCCCTCTCCGCTTTCTCCTCGCCCTCCTTCTCCCGGCCGCACCGACGCTCGCGCCGCGTCTCCGCGGTGCGCCGCCCATCGCCCAGCTCCGGTATGTTTTCTTTGCACCCTACGGATCGTGCATTTCGCGACAAGGAGCTTCTGTCGCTGATACTTCGTTTTCCCAGTGCGGTGTTCGCGTCCAACCGCAGCGCGGAGGCACTATGCTGAGCGAACGCCGCACCGCGGTAAGTTTGTACAGCCCATGCGATGTATCATGTTTACCTCGAACTGGCGATAAACTCTTCCGTGCGCTGTCCCTTGCGCTGCTCTGCTTTTATGTCGGTCGTGTCGGCTTGATAGAACGGCGCGGGTGTTCTCGATGTAGCCATATAACGCAGAAAACCCAGATATAAACTTGTCGTCGTCGTGTTGCATGACCAGGAGGAGCTTGTTTAAGGATGTCGCAATACACGCGCGAGCGGTAAGATGCGCTGTAGCCAACTGGCCTCGTAAGTGACGCGTAGGCGGCTGGAAGTTAGAGGAATCTACGTACGCGTAAGTTATGCGACGTCACTTCACGACAAGCATAGGTGGTGTGCTTATTGCCCGTCATAACATAGAGAGGTCAAATTCTCGCGCACACGGATAACGAATAAGATGCGAAATGATGCGTGAATTCGAAGCGCTGCATCGGCAATAGACTATACTACAGGAGGGTCAGGAGGGTCCAGAGGGATACAGTGGACAGGCGTTGCGGGAGTGCGCGTACGTAGAGGAAAGTAGGCAGAAACAGGCGAGAAGACCAATAGGTGAGGTGTGGCTGTAGTAATGGTAGCGGCACGACGCGGGAATAAGTTAGAACAACGAGCGTTCTGTTCTATGGTCTATGGGGATGGACGCGATGGATGAGACGGAAAGCGAGCAGAGCGCCAGGATGTGCGATGTGAGAGGAGGAGAGGAAATGTGGTATGGGGAGAGAGATATTTTGGATGCATCGTGGGGTGGGGGACCAGACCGAAGACCTCTACGATCATTGCAGGAAAACCGGAGCAAGAGATATGAGAGGGAAGGGGAGAGCCGATAAGAAGGATAGTGTGATTACGCGGCCGCACGCTTTGAACGCGAACGGATCGCACGCCCGTAACGATAGAACAAGAACGGAATGGGAATCTGCGAGGAGACGGAGTCAGCATCATCAAACATATAAGTTTGGCGCGCAGAGAACGTACCATAGCAGCAGAGATAAAGGCCCAAGTGGACGCCGCCCAACCGTTGCCCAGGTTGTGGTACATGGCGGTGATGAACAGGGGCATGGCAGCACCGGAGCCGGAACGGATGACGGTCTTCGCAGCAAGTGCAGACGCGACGTAGCCAGGGAACGCGTCGATCAGGTACGCGTTGGCTGAGAAGTAGATGATGACCACTGCGGACAAGTACAAATTAGTCACCGCACGACACACACACAGGTATGCAGAGATACTTACTTCCAAAGCCGAAGGGAACACCAGAGGCGACGGGGCCGACCCAGTTGCCGCCACCAGGCAGGACAGCCGGGGGACTCGTCCAGCCGAAGATGAACAGCGAGACGGGGACGAACCAGCACCCGATCATCATGCCGGGGAGACGGTCCTCGGGGTCGGCGCGCCCGCCCTTCTCAGCAGCGCGGCGGAGATAGTCGCGCTCGATGCGGGGAGTGACGCAGATCGCAAGAGCAACGCCGATGAGGACAGAGCAGAATGTGAGGCCAACCATGCCGTCGTTCCAGCCGTAGTACTCGCCGAAGACGACGGGGTACGAGAAGAAGAAGGCGTAGAGGAGGCCGTAGATGAGGGCGATGTACAGGCTCATGAGGAGCAGGATGGGCTCGGTCACGATCATTTCTGTGGGCTCGGGTCAGGACACGGCGGAGAAGAATGAGATGAGGAAGTACGCACGGAATGGCCGGAGGAGGGTCTCGACGATAATTTGGGAGAGCGACGCACGGAACAACTCCTGCTCTGTGGTGATAGTCATATCGCCCGTCGTCTCACGCAACATTTGCGCACGCTTCCGAAGGAGCGTGGGAGCGAAGGTCTCCGGGATCGTGAACGTGAATGCCGTCACGACACCCGCGAAGATCATGTTGACCCAGATGATCCACCTCCAGCCGACAGTCTCGCCGACGAAGCCACCGACGATGGGACCGAGGACGGGACCACCGTAGGGCGCGGCGGCGAACAGAGCGATCGCCATACCACGCTCGTTGTTGTCCCAGACGTCGGAGATGGTACCGCCAGCGAGGGTGAGGGGCGCAGACGCGAAGATACCGCAGAAGAACCGACAGATTAGGAGCGTCTGGATGTTGGGTGCGAGGGCGCAGGGGATGTTGAAGATGACGTAGATGAAACTGGGAATCATCCAGATTGGTCGCCGGCCGTAGAGCTCGCTCTGGAATATATTGTAAGCAAACAGGAGGATGCTGAGAGAAAAGATGCTCACGAGAGGTGACCAGGCGAGAGGACCAATACCGAACCCGACGACCATGAGCGAAACGCTCAACGCCGTCACGACTTCGCCAACATGGAACTCTGACTCGATGTCCTTGAAGTCGCCCGTGATGACCGCACTCGCAAACGCGACCTGGACGACGGCGATGGCACAAATAGCGGTAATGTCTACGGAGGAGATGTTAGCTGAGAAACGATAGAGACGAGCCGCAAAAATACGCACACCACCGGTACGCGTTCGACCAGTTACGAGGATCCTCGGGATCGGATTCTTTCCATGTTACCAACTTCATCTGCTTGAGCTCGCGTGCCTTCTCCGGGTCCGCGAGCGCTTGGGGCATACGGTAGACATGGGAGGGTACAGGCCGCAGCGCGAGGTCCGCGGCCATGAAACCGCTCTCTGATACGGCACGGTACTCATCGGTGAAGCCACCACGGCTGGTATCGGTGGTGGCGAAAGGGAAGGACAGGTCGGGGCGGTTGTCATTGTGCGACTCGTGTGTCCGCGTCCTCGTCAGAGTGAGGTCGCGGTTGCCCTGGGTGCTGTCGGTGAAGGTGATGTGGCCCGGACGCTCCTCCGCGTGCTTCTCATGTTTGTGATGGGAAACATGGTGAGCGTCGTCCGGGACGGCGATTGTGGATGTTTCGCTGTGCGGCATAGATGGGGAGGCCATTAGGGTCGTAAGCGGAAAGGAGGAAGGGGGAGGGGGCGGAGCGGAAAAGGGAATGGGTGTGATTCCGACGCGATGCCATGAGTGGGGTTATATACGTTGGAGGTCGGGGTCGGACGGATGGCGGAGAGAAACGTTTATTGGTGCATTCCGGACCACTAGTAGTTCTGGCCGTTTCGTGTCGGGTAGACGCCGGGATTGGGCGAGGCTGGCAAAGATCGCCCGCTGCGCCGCCGGATTGCCACGACCGCGCGGGTGTCACGGTTGAAACCTCCCTGAAATGGGCGGAGACCGAGGGTCGATGTCCGTACGAGCTCCGAAGGGCATGCCTGGGTAGGCCAGATTCCGCCTGGTTCCGCGTTTTCGTCTGGGCGAGTCAGGTCAGCGCAAGGGCCTTTCTAGCCAAACTTTGACCGCCATGGCGATATATCATGGAACAAAAGCCTAGGGTTCGTCCATTCAGCTCCATGCAGAACCTCTCAGAAGTATTCGAAGGGCTTGGGAGGAGGGGTCCGGCGGAGAGCTGTGCCAATTCTTTCCGTCGAGGGGACGCCCGTCAAGCGCCCGCAAGATCGACGCGGGCGATTTTGGGGAAGCCCACACAGCCCTCCGCATATGGTAAGTATCTTTGAGCCGTCGACTCCTGGACAATATTCCAACCCATCGAACCACCTTGCCGCTTCACCTCCCAGTGTGACAATTCCAAGCACTACAACTCCCTTCATGGGATCTCCCTACAAAATATGTCGCCAGCTTTTCAATCTCGTGTAGATCCGGAAGCACTCGATAATTCGTCCTTTGTCTTCACGCCACGGCCATTTCACGGAATGTCTCTATCATGATGGTGCCAGGCAGCTCAAGGAACGTTGGCATCCTCGGATGTCACACATCCATGTGTTACCTGCATACCGAGGTCCGAGTAAACCCTATCGTCTTCGGGATTGCTGCAAATGAGCTCCAGGCCTCCGGAGGAGCAGTCTTCCGCCACTGGATGCTGTGCAGCCCGAGAGCACGCTTGAGACGCGGAATGTGCTTCCGCCGCCCACGGTCCGACAGTTGTGGCTACCAAACATTCGCTTAGCAGCCACGTTTCCATGCGTCGCGGCTTCTATTTGTACTGTCCGAATATCTCGCGATCGGTGTACGTACATTCTACAGCGCGCTTGGCAGGGTGCGCAGCAAGAAGCCCTGGAGAAGAAACCGGATATATATATTCGATGCACCCACCAAATAGTCCTACACGCCGCACGCTCGGTGTCGCACCTATATCGCCGACACGCTCTATGTTCCTACGCATACAACCGTCCGAACAAGCCCGCAGCCTCCCATCCCGCACAGAGTTAACCAAGAATCGCGTTACGGCTTGAACGCGTTCCACGCCTCGTTCAGGGTCCCGAAGACGCCGTTCGCAATCATGCGCTGCTCGACCGTCGTGTTGCGCACGTTGAGCTGCATCAAACGCAATCTCATCAGCCATGCCATCTTCCCGCTCCCTCTCGCCGCACGGAGCGCGCGCAAACGGGTGGGTCGCGCTAAGCTCGCGACGACGCCCTAAACCCAAATCCCGACGCAAAACCGAAGCAGAGGCACCGGAACCACGCACCTTATCGGGATGCACTTTCGCGATCGCCTTCGTGTACCTGATCTTCACCTGCGACGGCGACACGAGCTCGTGAATGCCCACTTTCTGCCACCCAAGCTCGGGCCACAGCACAGTGTCGAGGCTCGCGATGAGCGCGCGCAGGTTCGTCTCCTTGCCTGCTTTCCATGCGCCGAGCCGCCCCTCTACTGCGTCCTTGAGGTCGTGGCGTGCCTGTTCTTCCGCCTCCTGCGCTTCGTTTGCCTCCTTCAGACGGTTCACGGCTTCTGAGGGGGGCGACGGCCCACGCGCCGCCGGCTTCGGCTTGGGTTTCGGTGCCACCCGTGGCTTCGCAGCACCGACACTAGGACGGGATACAGGCGCAGACGCAGTCGACACGCCCGTCTCGACGTCCGTCTTGAGCATGCGCCGGCAGCGCCCAATTCCCCGCACCGCCTCCGCGCGCACCTTGCCCGCGAAGTCCGCGCCGGCGATGGACTCCCAGTCCTGGCGCGCAGAATCCCACTTCTCCTTGCCCTCGTACGCCTCCGCACGGCGCCACCATGCCTTGACGAGCCCATCCGCGAGGTCGACGCCCGCGCCGTCTTCCACCCGCGTAATCTTCTCCTCGCGCGCGGGATGGTACGCCGCACCGATGAGCTCAATCACTGTGGTGCTATCCTCGATCGCGCCGCCGTGGTCCCCGGTCTTGATACGCGTGAGGGCGCGATTATTGTAGAGAGGGACGAGGAGCAGGTGTGATTGCGGCAGGGCGCTGATAGCTGCGGAGTACAGGCTCTCCGCTTCCGCGTACTGGCCGAGCTTGAACTTCTCCGTCCCTGCTGCCTTCTTCTGCGCTGATTGGGTGATAGCAGCCTGTGATGCGGACACGGTACGCCGCTGCACGAGTGCGACAGGGGACGGAGCGCGAGCGGGAGAGGGTGACGGCTTCTGGACAGGCGTGGCAGGAGCGGAGGAAGCGGCGGCATCGGCAGCCGGAGCACGAGCAGGGCCCTTGCGCCGAAATGGCGATACATAGACTGCAGGGGGATCGTCTGAGAACAGGTTGCCGACCTTGAGACGCGAGGCAGGGCTCTCCGCAGAAGGTTGTTCTCGTGTGCGAGGCGGAGCTTGCGCCTGCTTTGCTTGCGGTCGCTTGGGTAGTGGTGAGATCTCGTCATCATCGTCCTTGAAGCCACTGTCATGCACAACAGGAGATACATGACCCTCGTCCTCCGCATCCTGCATCCACTTCGGTTTCCCATTCCGCCGCGCACCATCCCCAGGGGACTGCCTTGACGGGCCGGCCGCAGCAGCACCAGCTACGCGTTCTTCATAGACTCGCTGCGCTCGCTCCTTGCCCTCTTTCCAGAACGCATTGGCGCGGTTTAAGAGGTTGATGCCCACTTCGCTCGCCTGCGCGAGTAGCTTGTCTGCCTGCTCCTGCAACTTCTGCTGGCTATCTGCCGAGGCGTCGCCCTCTCGCGGTGGACGCTCGCGTACGGACCGCTGTGCCTGGGGCGAGGGACGTGCCGCGGTACGCGGTGCCTGGCGCGCGGGCGGTGCCTCCTCATCCGATTCGTAGTACCGATCGTGCCCAGCTTCCCGCTGGGGCCGCCTCCGTGCCTCTTGTTGCTGCTCAGGAGCGGGAGAAGAGGAGCCGGCGCCGTTTGAGAGCAGGGTCTCTAACGCGGCTTGCACGTCCAGACCGGTGTCCGTTGCCGCGAGCGCAACGCGTGCCTGTTGTATCGAGAACCCCATCTCGACGATTTGACCCAGGACGTGGGGCGGTGGCGACACCGCGCGAGACCGCTGCCCAGATGGCGGCAGTCGGGGAGAAGGCGTGTTGCGGGCGGACTGTCTCTGCGGCAGACATCAATCCGGGAGCTGCGTCCGTCCGCACCGCACGCACTTACCGCTGCCAACTTCTCCACTGGTTTGCTCAGGTCTCCAAGGATATCATCTTCATCGCTAGACTGGCCACCTAGCAGACCATCCTCCCGGTTCCCGAAGTCGAAGTCCCCTAGTGTGTCGGATCTTGGAGGCGCGGGGGAAGATGATTGACGGGACGCAGCAGGCGCACTGAAGTCGTCGAAGCCGAGAAGATCATCAAACCCGGAAGCGGCGGGCCCCTTGCGCTTCCCCGCGGGGGCAGGCGCAGGCGCAGGCTGAGAAGAGAATTCTCCAAAGCCCCAGTCGTCGTCGGCCTGGGGAGCAGACTGGGTGACTTTGATAGGTGGGGAGGTAGAGGTAGAGGAGGATGTAAAGGCACCGAATCCTAGATCATCAAGCGGGTCATGGCTGGTCGTGGATGATTGAGTGTTTGCTGTAGCGGAGCTGCCTCCTAACGCGTCCAATCCGGCCCAAGCATGTGCAGCCTGCGGGGGGTTGGATGTTTGCTGCTGCGCGCGCTCCCGTCGCTCCTTCTCCGCGAGTGCTGCGCGCTGAGCGATCGTCAGGTTCGCACCGTTCGCGGACTGCGTAGATGAGAAGCCGGAGAGGAGGCCGCTGAACGCGTCGCTGCCCCCCAACGCGGTACCCGTGCTGGCGGCCTTTTGAATCGGCTTTGCGGGGCCATTCGACCCGAGCGCGGGAGTATGCGCGGGGGTTACAGACCGCGAACCGACGTTCGAGGACGAACCTGCGGCGGCGAGCATAGAGAACACATCGTTTTGAGGCCTTCGTGCAGCAGCTGGCGCAGGCGACGCGGATGCTAGAGAACCAAGTTTGCGAGGAGGCTCGGCTGGCTTGGCCACCCCAGTCGAGTTCCAGAGATCAGAGAAAGCGTCGGACATGGCCTCTGCTGCGATGGGGTAGGCCTGCTACCGATCCTGGTTGTGACGCACTATCGGTGCTAGCGTTGAGGTCGCGCGCAGGCAGAACGGAGCGTTCGGGAGGCGCAAGGGCTGAGCTGGTTGCCGTGACAGAGGGGGGGAGATAGAGACCGCGAGTCAGGAACCTCAATCGCGCGAGCGGCAGGGGAGAGCAGCGGACGTGGTGATTCCCGCCGTTAGCGGCCAGTTACCCGATTAGGGTCTGGACCGCTTCCCCGATGAGCGCCTATTCGTCCCGAGCCGTGGGAGACTGTCGGACCGCTGGTGCGGGACGCGTCGGACAGCGCGCTCATGGTGTTGGCACTGGACCGCCGTTGCCTATGTCGATGAGGACGCTTGCCTCCATCCGCTCCGTCTCAAAACACGCACATGCTCTGAAGGTAAAACACCGGAGGTACTCCGATAATGCAGGCGTGAAGCCGTACTACGTTACGACCCCCATATTCTACCCTAATGCTGGTGAGCATCACGTACTGCACAAACCTCCGGGATCGGGGTGCTCACCGAATTCGATAGCACCACATATTGGACACCTGCACTCCTTGGTCGTCGCAGACATCTTCGCGCGTCATGCCAAACTCGTAGATCCTGGGCGGCCGGTTCGCTTCGTAACCGGTACAGACGAGCATGGATTAAAATTACAGAACGCTGCAAAGGCGAAGGGAATGGAGCCACTAGCATTCTGTGATCAGCTGAGCGAACACTTTCGCGTACGTCCTGGAGCGTGTATATCCCACGAACCTTTAACTGACATGGTGTACCAAGGTAGAACCTCACCCAGAAAGCAAACGCAACGAATACCCGCTTCCTCCGAACAACTGAACGCCAACATGCTGAGGCCGTCTCGCATCTATGGGTGAGCACGACTAACATACGTAGTCGCGAGGGTGTGCTCATTTTGTCTACAGAACGAACTGGAAGCTCGTGGGCTGATCTACAAAGGCCAGCACGCGGGTTGGTACTCCGTCTCGGACGAAACCTTCTACCCGCCTGGTCAGGTTGAGGCACGAAATCAAGATGGCGAGGAGTACTATATCTCCACCACCTCGGGATCCCGGGTCGAATGGCAGGAAGAGGAGAACTACAAGTTCCGCCTCTCTGCCTTCCAGTCTGCGCTCATCGAGCACTATACTGCACATCCCGGGGCAGTCCAGCCGCCACAGTTTCATGCTGATGTGATAAAAGCGCTGCAGGAACCACTCGAGGACCTGTCAATTTCGCGCCTGCGATCACGACTGTCCTGGGGCATTCCTGTGCCCAACGATCCGAAACACACGATATACGTGTGGATCGACGCACTCACGTGCTACCTCTCCGCCGTGGAATACCCCTGGAGCGCGACTGGTGGGAAAGGATACAGCGTAGGCTGGCCACCAGATTTGCAAGTCATTGGCAAAGACATACTCCGGTATGCATTCACCTCAAAATCCTTCCGCCCCCGTTTTCTGACACTCGGCCCCTCCATCAACAGTTTCCACGCCATCTATTTCCCTGCGATGCTCAAAGCGCTCAACCTGCCGCTTTCACGCACGCTCCTCACACATTCTCACTGGACAGTCGAACGCACGAAGATGTCCAAATCTCTCGGCAATGTTGCAGACCCCATCAAGGCAATCGACGAGATCGGCCTCGACATCGTGCGGTTCTACCTCGCGCGCGTCGGGGGCCGCTTTAAGGACGACGTGGGTCAGTCTTCATCTCCCTTACTTCTTCGTGCACCCTGCAGTGGCCGGCAATGCTAACCCGTAGGAATTTTCTCGACAGACTGGTCCGAAGAGCAGCTTCACAAGCATAGCAGGGAGATTACCTCCCTTCTCGGCAACTTGTACATGCGAGCGGCCTCCGCCAAGATCACGAAGCGTGTCTCCGGCATCCCCAAGCCCACAGTGACCGCGATATCCGAGTCCACGGCGTTCACGCCTCTCATTGCAGCCCTCAAAGGGCTCGCGCCGACGTACGAGGCGAACATGCGCAGCTTCCAGCTCGCAGACGCGGTCGATACGGTCATTCTGGCTCTTCAGGAGGTGCGTGCTTCCTTCTCACCGCCTCCCATAATCCCTGACGCGTTTTTGTGGTCCCACAGGCGAATCTCCTCATGACGCAGGCCGCGCCGTGGTCGCCAGAGACGTCCCCGGCGGTCGCAGCAGACGTACAGGCGCTCATGTTCGAGGCCCTCCGTATATGCGGCATCCTCCTGCGGCCGATTATGCCTGGCAAGGCGGACTTCCTCCTCGATTCACTCGATGTGCCCCCTGCCGAGCGCACGCTTGCAGATGCGGATTTCGGAAAGCGTAGCGTCGGGTCAGTGCGCTCAGGGGTGCGTCTGTTCGACGTGGAGAGAAAGCCGTAGAAGGGTGCCGGGCGGTAAGTGTAATTACATCTGGCGACTTGCCGTGCGTCCTTGGGCATGTTAGCACAGTATCCCCATAGGGCTGCGTGCATGAATTCACACCATTCAGACTAGCAAAGGATACCGTTTCGCATCTAGTTCCACGGATGCATTGTGCCGGAAAGGTAGTGATGTAATTCATTGCAAGATACGAAGTAGCGACGTCTACCCCCTGGTATGTCTTTTCCTACTGCACGTCGAATGGAGAAATAAAGGACAACGGACAGCGTTCGATCGCTCGCAAAGTCTCGTTCGCCCGTCATTCACGAGACCAATTGACCCGGTCCCGCTTTACCGTTGGAACGCGCATTCTCACACTTTCTTGGGACCCCACTCGGGCGACAGCCTATGCAACGACAGCGACCATGTATATCTGGGTTTTCGATACATTATAGGCCGGCGATACGCGCGACGTTCCCACTATTCACCGCCCAATCCAAGCACCGACGCCAATCCACACCGCAGCGAGCGGAACGACGAACAACACAGCCAATATATAGTCAGCTAAAGTCACTTCGAAAAATGAGCGGTATATGAGCGCACCGGTGGGCGTTCGGTTTACTCAGCGAGCTGCCTGCGCGCGACTCGGGGTGAGTCTTGACGGTCGCGCGTGTGGGCATGATGCTCTGTGAATACGGAGTGTCAGCGGCGGCAGCTCAGCTCTGGCATGGCAGACGTGGACGTTGGCAGACGTACCAGCGCCGAGAGAAGAAGGCGCACCGCGGGGAGGCGGGGCGGGTGTCGGAGCGGCCGGGAAGGGGACTGTAGGCCATGATGAGATAGGGATTCGTTGGGAGCACCGCGCTGCTTTTATGTGAGCACAAACGCTACCGCGGCACCTGGGGCGGCTCTGTTGACGTGTGGAACAGGTCATGGACACCACGATGTGGTCAGGAAGAGATGAGCTTCCCCGCTCAGCGACGGAGCGCGGCGGTCACGATGGGCTGCCGCAGCGCAGGCGAAGCAGGGCGTGGGGTCGTGCCGCGAGCAGGTGAGTGGATGCGACAGGTATAGACGTGCTGCGGTAGATTAATGCAAACCTTCTGCCACTTGTGGCATGTCTATGCTCTTAGGAGAGACTTCGAGAGCACGCAGGACGGCGCATGGGTGGTGCATCGATAGCTTCGGCCGGAGAAGGCTATGTCACCATCCAATATTGCCAGGGCCAGGCCCGCGAGAGTGTCCAGAGCCGGTTTGCATGGATCTTCGCAAGGTCATGGGGGTCGTTGGGCGGTCGTGTGGAAGAGCGGGAACGGCCAGCTACTGCTAGTCACTAGCTGAACGTTAACTCCGCGTAACTGTAAACGGACTCGAGCGTGATCGTTCCTACATGCGGTCACGGGATGCAGAAAGGCGACGCGTCGAGGCGAGGTCGGTGTTGCTAGCTGGGAGGTAGAGGGGCTGGTCCGCCTACTTGCCTTGGCATGGCATGAAGGTACGAGCGAAGAAAATGGCCATATTGTGGGTGATAGTTTTATAGCCAGGCTGCTTCACGCCGGCTACGTTGCGCGCAACAGTCTACACGAGTACAACGCTAACACAACTTGAACTGATCGGTGCAATAGGGTAAATTTGCATGAGTAGGCGTGGCCGAAATCGTCAGGTTGTGCTTCAAAATGCTCACCGACCTGCGCCAAGAGATGTTGTTGAGCCACATCAACCGTGTCTTGCCAGACACTACGCACTGTGTGCTAGGAATAGGTGAAGCTAGCTCGTTTCTCCCCGACGAGCAGAGACATACGCCTAGATGTCGGTCCTGTCGGGCACCCTTAGGAACGAGCGCAGCCAAGGCGGGGCTGCGGGGAGCAGAGCATCGGGGAAAAGGCCGGGGAAGAAAGACCAGTTGAGCATGGTGTGGTTGAGGACAGTGAGAAAGGTGAGTTGGTAGTGCGGGACCCGATATCAAGGCTGGCTGCTTTTATGGATGTCCAGCCAGCGCCGCAGCACTCGAGGCTCGAGGAGAAGTCGCCGCATCCCTTAGAGTATCGGTCATGGTTCACTGCAGAATAACGTAAATGCCCTTCGTAAGTGTGCTGTTTAGCATAGGTTCCCATGAAACCATCGCAGCCAGCACGAAGGCACGCTTCGGATTCTCAAATGAGCTAGTGCACGCCTGTGAGGAGAACTTGTGAGTAATGCAGCAAGCCTGCAATAATTTGCGTGAGTGAACGTACGAGCTGCGGTAGACCCCAAGTTCTGTGACGGGTGAGCTAGCTTTCGCGTACGTTTGAACTGCTTAGGGAACTTGGTTGACGTTGTACAGACTTTGCGCACACGTGCACAGGTGTACGGAGAGTCAGCGCTGAGCGCTGAGATGCTAGAAATCTGGGGACCCGGCTAGGCCGAGGTTGAAACGTGTTGAACGCCGCGTATGTTACGCTGATATTACATTGATACAACTGCGATTGTCGAGCATGGCCTTCACTTTTAGGCCAACTTGCGGCCTCCCAACTCAGAGTAGAGCACGTCGCCGTATGACCTGTTGCTACCCGTGCGCTCCTTCTTGAAGTGGTCGGAGATCAAGAACGCCACGTCTATCACATTATGAGCATGCAACACTTATACGCGACCCGGTGGTGCACTCACCGAGAGATTGCTCGAAGTTCAGGCGCGGATCACAGAACGACTGCATGGCGCGTCAATAACTAAACAGCGCTGTACATGTTTCTTGGGACGAACCTGGTAGCGCAGAGGCAGCTGGTCCTCGCTGAGACGCATGCTGCCGCCCAGGCACTCGGTTACGCTGAACCCATCCTCGGCGAGCTCGCCAGTGAACTCGAGGCTGACGCCGTTGAGGTGCGAGCCGCACTCTGCGTGGATGCGCAGGCACGCGGTCAATTCGCTGATGATTGTGCCAAAGTTGCGTGTCTTGAGCCCGGATGCGGACGTCAGAGTGCTGGAAGGCGAGCGTGAGCGACCATCGGGTATGGGTCAAGGAGGGTTTCTGCTCACTTTCCGTGCATGGGGTCGGAGATCCAGATGACCGGGTGTCCCGACTCCTGTACTGCGCGAATATGTCCGGCGAGGTTGTCCTCCACCTGCCAGATTGGTTAAGGACCAACGTAAGGCGCGAAGGTGCAAGTGAGACCTACCTTGCCTGCACCGTAGCGAGTGATCAATGTGACCTTGCCGCTCTCCCTGTCGGGATTCACGACTACAGAAAGTTAGTCAGTGTTTGCGCTATGCAGATGTCACCGTTATCTACTCACTGTTCAACAGGCGCACGAGCTCGTCAGCCTTCATGCTAGGCCCGACCTTGACACCGATGGGGTTGCGGATGCCGCGGAAGTACTCGACGTGTGCTCCGTCAATTTGTCTGGTCCTGTCACCGATCCAGAGAAAATGGGCAGATGTGTTATAGTGAACCTTCGGGGAGGATCCCTGCGGAGATCCGAGCGATGAGGGGATGCGGAATTCGCGCGTCATGGCTTCCTCGAAGTCGAGCATGAGGCCCTCGTGGCTGGAACGGCGTCAGCATAACGAGGGAGAGTGAATGCTGATGCAACACCGACCTGGTGTAGAAGTCGACTTCACCGAGCGCGCCGCGGCCGCCGCCCTGCTCGTAGCTCACGGTCTCTTTGCCAAGGCCGATTGTGCGCGTGAAGCCCAGGGCGTCCGAAAGACCCTCCGTGATGCGCTCAAACTCTTCTCTATAGTGTGCGGTTCATACGAATGAGGTTTCTTGTAATTCTGTCCTGGGTGGACGTACCTCAAAGCGGGAGAGCGGACATGAGTGAGGGACCAGTCCTGGGGATGATGCAAAGACGCGAATCCAGATGTGAGTAGACTCCGGACATGGTTGAGCGTCGCGGTGGAGTGGAAGTATGCGCTATGCCGAACGGTGAGTTTTGAGGGAAACATTTGTCACGACTGTCCTATTTTACCTGAGCATACGATCCGGGTCTGGTGTGCGATCATTGGGGTCAAGACTTTCAGAGCAAGTCAGCACGTTCATCCGTTAATGGAAGCCAGTACACCTACCCGTTCACGTTGTCGCCTCTGTGGAGGGTTCATGAGCCGTAGTGACCAATGATTTCAGCTCATGACGGCCTACCGGAAACTTGGGACTTCACGATCACCAATCTTCTCGACCGGGCTACTCCTGGGTTTCGCATATTGCCCGGCAATACGCCCAATGCGCACCTATACCATAGATTCATCCCTCTGCACATGTCGTCAGGTGATTGAAACTTACTACGGGCTTGCGGGCACCCCATACGACGATGAGAGAGAAAGACAGAATGAGTCCTATTTTCGCGGAGATGTTTTCCTATGGGATTATTTGAGTAAAGTATATGCAGCACAGTGAATATCGAACTTCACCTGCGTGCAGGCGTCAAAGCTCTCCGCACAGTCACCTGCATGGAGCAGGAAGGCTTCGTTTTGCTGCACTTGACTGAGTTGATGCCGAAGCCTCTCGATCTGCATAGAGGTTCCTAACCGATATTCTCTGACATCCTTCGGGGTATCACCGCACCTCTGAGGGTGAGACTAGGGGAGGCAATGTCTGAATTTTGCCGAGGACCCTGGAGTGAGGTTGAGAGGTGTCCCCCATACGATCGCCCCGTTGCGTGACTCACTTGTCCAGTTTCTCGCGATCAGGGTAAACCACATCCTTGGTGACGCGCATGTAAGAACAGGTCCCTCATAGCTCTAGCGGCGTACAACTCACTTGCGCTGCATGCTTGCTCCTCCAAGAGCTCGGAGACCACGCTGCGGAGGTGTTGGCCATTGCCGGTAGGTGTTTTCAGATAGCAAGCCGCTAGGATGTATGCTGAGACAAATCGCACTGTTTGTAATGCAGAGGTGGATGCAGTGCAATGGCGAGAGAGCAAGTCACGAAAGCCCACGGACTCATCTCGATGGCGGCTCAATAGATGGAGGCCAGAGTCCATTTCGATCTAATCTTATCTTCTAACGTTACGCCTTGGTGGCGTAGATAGGCTCTCGTCCCTCACAGTCCTCGTGCTCTCGAACTCCCACCATGTTCAACGCAATCGATGCCTCCCCTATTTTGCTCTATCTCAATCTCTTTTCCTCCGGATGATGGGCAATATTCTTCACGCAAGAAGAGGAAACGCTCTATGTTACTCCACTTTTGCAACTTATGGTAACAAGTTCTCCGGAAACATGCACTGAGTACACATTCAACATGTCAGCGCTGGTGAAAGGACCAATTTTCAGTCGGGATTATCACGAGGTACGCTGTGTATGGTGCCTATGCTTGTAGTCTCTTATACTGAAGTGTTTTGTAGCATGAATGTTCGTTGCCTTCGCCGTGCCAACCTACCAGTGGCATGGCGGTGGCTTGTTCTGGCGTGCCTCATGAGCAAATGATTGATTCAAAGTACATCAACCTGCTGCTACGCAAATTTCCCCCCATTCCTACAAGACGTCTATACTCTCTCAGCTTAAGACGACCAACCTACTCCGTGCCTCTCATTCACGGCCAAGCTGCTATTCAATGTAATAGAATTGGACGCAACTGTCCGTCGGTCCGTCCGGTATCGTGCAGATGGTCTAAGGTCCGTGTTCCTATCCATCGCGAATACCGCTTCTCGAGGAAGTCGCATCACGCGCATAGCCTGCGTTGCATACATCCAATGTATTGCTACGCTCAGCTGAAGGTGAGTTACGTGACACTGCCGCGACCGCTCGCCGCCGTTCCTCGAATGACCTCCTAGACCTTCGAACTCCCCTCATACGACGTTGCACTTGCAGATCGAGGTTGAATGCTATTCTTCATATCACTCATGAGTCTGCAGATCACCCCAAGTACTTCGCCCTTCGGGACGAGGCAGCCGGGCCCTGCGTATGTCCTTTAAAGCACCCCACATGAGGGGATGTGATCGAAAGACTCGTCTCTGCGCCATGCTTCACCTCCTGCGGGCTTTGTTCTTCCTGGTGTTTCTTGGGTCTGCAAATGCGGCGGCGCCCACAAGGTGCGACGTGTCGCAGGCTCAACTGCCAAAGCCCTCCGACTTCCCTATCATCGACACTCTGCCAGACCCGTTCACGTTCCGGCTGTCTAACCGCCGCGTCAGCTCGCGCGCCGACTGGGAATGCCGCCGAGAGGAGCTCATGATGCTCGTGCAGCAATACCTCTACGGCTTCTATCCCGACCACTCTCGCGAGCGGGTCGTGGCTCGGAGGTCGAGAGACAACCTGACGATCAATGTCTTCGTCGACGGCAAGTCGGCCAGCTTCCCCGCGATCTTGACCTTCCCGCCGAGGAATGCGACGCATGCTGGACGGGTACCAGTCATGATCAACCCGGGCTCCATTGACAACGGGCCGTTCCTGGACTCGGGCGTCGCCCTCGCTACGTTCGACGTCAGCACCGTCGCAGTTGACTCGACAGCTCGAACGGGGGCATTCTGGACGCTATACGACGACCGTGATATCGGTACGTTATCTCTACCAATAATGTGGGCTGTGCATGGTGACGCAGGTCATGGACGCAGGCACTTTGACGGCATGGGCGTGGGCTCACCACCGGATCCTGGACGCGATAGAGCAAGTTGCTCCAGAGGTGGACACAGCTCGTGTGGGGGTTATCGGTTGCTCGCGCTTTGGCAAGTCTGCCCTTGCGGCAGGCATATTCGACAAAAGAGTAGGGTCATATATCGCACGAGTCTCTTCATACGCGGGTTAACACTATACTCTTAGATCAAGCTCTCGCTCCCCTTGTCGAGCGGCGCAGAGGGCATCGGGCCATGGCGCTACTACTATGAGAGTCGTGAGTATCGCACACCAAGCCAGCTCCCTTATACCATTCCTGATGCGTCCATTCCGCCTGTAGAAGGCGCAGCGGAGAGAATCAACAACATCTTTGGCGGGTTTCCGTACTGGAGCAACACCGTACTGGGCGAGTTTGTCAACATTCCCGGGAACTCTTCCCGACTCCCGTTCGACGCGCATGAATTGGTGTCGCTCATCGCACCGGTGGGTGCTCCGCCCCTCCTTCGAGACGCTAACAATTGACCAATGCCCCTGCTGTAGCGGGCAGTACTCTGGGATGAAGGGCAGGAGGACTGGTGGGTGAGTACTTGTTTCCCCGTAGTACTTCACACAACGCTGAGCACGTTGTCAGATCAACCCCGAAGGCTCGATCAGCGTGACACACGGCGGGGCGAAGGTTGTCTTCGATTGGCTCGGTGCGGGCGAGAATATCGGAGTCCATGTCCGTCATCCGCCGGATGATGGCCACTGCGGCGATACTGGATAGTGAGGGCTTTGCAGCATCGCAGTGGACATTCTGCTGACCTTGCCGTGTAGTTCTGTAGTACAGCCATTCGTGCGCAAGGTCTTCTTCGGCACGCCGACGCAGGTGAACTTTAGCGACATATCGCCCTTTCCCGCGCACCCGGAGGCGTACCCATGGGCGACGGCCACGCCGAAGGTACACCTCTAATGACCAAACGAATCAAAAGAGAGATCGAAAGTCGAGAGTTGCCAGGTCAAAGACGAGCCGGTGTATCTGTGATAGCTCACTCCATCCGATCAGGATACAAAAAGCATCCCCTTGTTTGCGTCGGTGAATGTTCTAGGAAACCCACGAAAATATATTGTTCTTGGAAATATGGAGTTGAACTTGAACTTGACGCGAACGCGCGCGGATGCAGCAGCCGGGCGTTTATACATTACATCATCGCTATGCACTATGTCCTCACCATGGCCTGACCGGGCGCAGCTTGTCTCTTGAACTCGAGCCACTGCATACCGCATCTATGACCGTCTCAGCTCAACCGTCTGGGAAGCCTCCGACACCACCGCCTGCATACTCGGAGCATCCAGCTCCTCAGCAGCACCTCTCGCCAAATCAATCAACTTCTGCTAGCCCAAACACCTCCGTCGGTCCACCGCTCCCCTTTCCCGCACATGCAGGCTATGGCCCGACACCTATACTAGCCCAGCAAACGCAACTACTGCCGTACTATGACCCTCGCTCGCCGTATGCAATGGCAGAGGCATCGTCGCGCGCACGATGGCGATTCATCGAGGCAGTCCTGTGGGCGGTCATCATACTGTCTGCCGTGAGCTTCGTGACGGGCTGGGAGATTCAGATGATGATGGCCAGGGGTGCTAGGGTGGAGCCGGGGGCATACGAGAGGTAGAGTCTGAGAAATACAGTGAGTTGAACTGTCGTTGCAATGACATACTTTGCCGTCTCAAGCTGACCTCGCTTGCCCAGCGGATCATACCACACCTTTCCCAACTACTCTTTACGCCTGCTGATGATTTCTCATGATGAGGACCTGGTTCGACCTGTTGATTCGTTGTTGATCACGCGCTCTCCTATATGCCTTTGTACACGCCGTCCTGCCCTTACATACATACCTCGCAACGCGAACCTTTCGTATAATTGTCTTTACTGCTACGATCACCATTACGGACCGCTAGCCATAGCTATCAGAAGGCGTGGTGGAAAGGCGGTCTGGGGGAGGATGGAGTCGCGTCTAATTAATACAACACGCTGTCGAATACAAGGCGTGCGATATGGAGACGAGCTAGACTGACAACGTTGCAAGGCGGACCGGGGCTCAAAGAAAGAACGGAGAACGGCCATTCCTTCGGCAGATCTGGAATATCACCGTGAAGGGCCGTTCGCGTGGGCCCACGAGAGCGTCCAAGCTTGGCTTCCGCCCGTTCCTTCGCTCTTTCTTCCACCATCCTCTCTCTTGCTCTCAGCCTTTTTCCACCCATGTTCACTCGCTGTCTGGTCTCGCTCGAGCTTTCTGCTACTCTGCACGGCTATGGCTGACGATCTTTCAACGTCAAAGTTTGTTTGCCAAACACGCAAAACCATTGTCGTCCGCACAATGGGCCGCTGGATGTACGCGTCCCCCCACTGAGGGGCACAATGACGACGCCCACCGGCTGGTGGTGCACAAGCGCTGGTGAGTGCAGGGTTTCGGATCACGTGGGGCTTTGTTTGGACGAAATAAGGTTAGGTTTGTACACGGAAGATGGCCCAATGAGGAAAAAGTGGTCTGTGCGTGGGAAGAAGCCGCTGGCTGAATGGGGAGGTTGTCCAGTCCGGGGGTCCGGCCGCCCGCCTTCTGACCCACACCCCCTCGATCAGAGCCTCTGCTCGTCGCCAGCCACAGCGAGCGCACCCCTCTCCTCGCTGCCCTCCTCGTCCCCCGACTCGCCCTATCTATTGCTCACTGCTGCCATCTCCCCTCGCTGCAACCTGCACTGCTCTAAACAACCCTGCGTCACTCGCTCGTTCAACCCCATTCGCACGCGTCGCGCATCCTCTCCAGCCCGCACGTCGCCCCCTCCTACTCTACCACCACCAGCCGCTATAGTCTTCGCCTGTCTGTATTTATAACGACGGCCACACGCGTTTCCCCTGCTCCGCTCTCCTCGTCGCCTTCCTGGCTGTTGATGTTCTGAACCTGTCTCTCGCTTTTCATCGTCCACTCTTCCTGGCCCCATCGCCCTTCCCTGCTCGTACTCTACTGTTGTTCCTTTGTTTATCATGACCTCCTCCATCGCAGCACGCCGACCGGCGCCCTACACTCCTGCCAACCAGTCATCCGACGAGGGCTATCTCAATCGGTCCCTCCTTGACAACATCGACGCTCAGGGGGACGCAGAGCCCGTGTCCTCATCAGACTCCGAAGCAGCCGGCGCGTCAGGCCCCGTATTCGGATCGCTGTCCACAGCATCTTCCCTAGGCTCTCCTTCTCTCCCGTACCACCTCACCATGCAAACTCTCGCCCCCCCTCGCGCGGATTCTCCCAACAATCACACACACTCCCACCAGTACAAGCCACCACAGCACTCCACAGACCCGTTCGCTCAAGGATCACAAAACAATACCACGCACGCAATGTACAACAGCATGAACAGCATCGGCCTCCCCAGCTCCGACTACTCCCTATCCCCTGCTGAGCCTGATGCTCTTAATTTCTCTACCAAGGTCAACGGGAGCTTTGCTTCTGCTCCGTTCCGGACGTCGACCGCCTTCACACAAGCATTTGCCAACCGCCAGCGACACACAGCCCCCTTCCGCGATACCTCCTCCAACTTTGCTTCCTCTGCCTACCCTCCGACCAACGAACTGTTCGGAGGTGTCCAAAATTCGATGTCCCACATGACGCCGTCCCAATCTCAACTCCTCCCTCACGGTCTCGAGACGTTGCACCATCCTCCAAGAGGTTTTGACCCCTCCGCCGGTTCGCAGGTCAACGGAGGAGTACCCATCAACGGCATCTCCCAGAGCAAGCAGCTTTCGTTCGGCTCAGAGATATTCCGACAGGGATACGACTCTACACCCACCTTACTGCAGCAGAAGCCATCGGGCGGCGTTACCGGCGGACAGGGTCTGTTACAGAACGGGCAGGCCATCCAGCTTCCTCACCAATCGAACGGACAAGCGGCCTTCCATGGCTCTTTCACCAACGGGCTGGGGAACCACTCCTTAGGTCATGGACCGCTCGCTCAGCCGCAGTACGGTGCAGGACCCCCGGGTGGCGTTCAAGGGAATGGGACGACGAGCGCCCCGAACCCGAATCCGACGAACGGTCCCGTCCCCAACTCTCAGGCACAGGAGGAGATCTCCACCATTTTCGTCGTGGGCTTCCCAGACGACATGTCGGTACGTGCTTCTATCATGCCGCTCATGTGGATTTTCGGACGCTGACACCTGCTGCCTCATCATCAGGAGCGCGAGTTCCAGAACATGTTCACGTTCTCCTCGGGATTCGAAGCGGCCACACTCAAGATTCCTAACAAGGAGTCTACGTCGTACGCGAACAGCGCCGGTCAGAATGGGCGCGCTCCCGGACTCTCCATGCCATTCGGCGGGAGCAACGACCCCTACAATCTCGTTACCATGAACCAGGGTGGTGTCCTGATCGACGGCGGCAGGGACGGGTCTATGACGTCGTGGCCGGTCCCTAGCTCCGCCGAAGACGGTCATTTCGTGCAGTCTAACATGCCAATGCAGCCCCCGCGCAAGCAGATCATCGGGTTCGCGAAATTCCGCACGCGGGCCGATGCTCTCCAGGCGCGTGATGTCCTCCAGGGTCGTCGGGTGGACGTGGAGAAGGGCGCTGTTCTCAAGGCCGAGATGGCGAAGAAGAACCTGCACACCAAGCGTGGCCCCGGCGTGGGACCCGCAGGCCTTCCTGCGTTCCAGGGTGGTATTCCGGGCGCAGGCGCTCCGGATAACCTGTCGGGCATGCAGGGCCTCACCTCCCCGGGCGAAGCGCTCGCTCCGCGGGACAAGCAGCCCGGTGCGCTCAACGGGATGGGCGTCGACATCAATGGCTTTGCACACCGCCGTGACCGGTTGTTCGATGGCCGCGATGACGAGGATCGCGAGCGTCGGCGGGACTTTGCCTCCTTGAGCCTCGGTGGGTTCAACACTCGTGGGCCACGAGAGCGCGCCGAAGAAGACGAACGGGAGCGCGAAAGGAAGCGCAGGGAGAAGGAGAAGGAAGCCACGCGCCTGCGCCAGAACTCCTTCGCTTTCGAGGCCTTCCACTCCGTGCCGCAACAAATGGTCCGGCAGGGGACGAACTCCGTCCTATCTGCTGAGAGCGGGATGGGCTTGCCGTCCGAAGGTCTCACAAGCCCGTGGGGCAACTTGCGGGACGTCAGTGCTTCTGCAGCTCTGCGGAAGATGGGTTTACCGCAACACCATCTCACCGGTCTTCCTGCTCGTCCACAGTCCCCACCGGGCTTGCAGACGTCTCCCCCGATGCAGGAAGCGCTGGCCAATCTCTCTGTCCCCTTCACAGCATCTTCCCAGAACGGTTCGGTGCCAGGCAGCCGCAGCGCGCAGTTCTCCCCGGAGAGCAACCCAGCGTCTCTTCCGATGCACCCCTCCCTCCCCACACGGCCTCGCCCTCAGTCACCCAGCAGCGAGCCGCAGCCCCACCAGAACCTTTCCGGTCCTTTTGGGCAGATCTCCACCTCTTTGCCGAACTCGGCAACGTCTAGCGTCAGCGGTTCGCAGAGTGGACACGAAGACGAGCTCGTCAAGTCAGTTGGAGCCCTTGCAGTGTCTACTCAGTCAGGGTCCACATCGCCCCAGCTCCCGTCACCTGCGTCTGGCGCGAGCTCCGGCACAGGTCGGAGTGGAAGCGATCACAACCCCCCAATCAACACGCTCTACGTTGGGAACTTGCCAACTTCCACGTCGCCAGGTGGTTATACCCTCAGTTTCCTTGAGGATCGCTTGCGGGATCTGTTCTCGAAGCAGCTGGGCTATCGCAAGCTCTGCTTCCGGCAGAAAAGCAATGGCCCGATGTGCTTCATCGAGGTACGTTCTATGCAATTCACTTGAGGTCGGCAGCATGCTAACATCATTATAGTTCGAGACCGTGGAGTACGCGACGAAGGCGCTGAACGAGTTGTACGGCGACAGCCTCAACGGCCTGGTCAGGAATGGCGGCATCCGTCTGTCGTACAGCAAGAACCCTTTGGGCGTGAGGACGCCGAACAGCGGTGGGAGCGGTCCATCTTTGCAGCAACAGCAGCAGCTTAGCCGTGAGCCACTGCAGGAGGCCAATCGTGACTTCGGGGAGATCTTCGCTCGCCACACCGACTCTGCCGACACGATTCGGGCTATTCGTCGCGACACGTCTGGCATGACCTCGCCAACCTCCTCCTACCACTACACGACGTCGCCCCCGCCTCCGCGCTTCTTCTCCCCTCCTCCCGGGGTGTTTAACGGCGTCTTCCCCACCTCTACCTCATTCCCTCGTGCCAACCCGCAGGGGTATGGCTTGGGCTCGAGCAGTAGCAGCACGTTCTCTCCTTTCGGCATCCCTCATTCTTCGATACCCGATCAGCCCAGCGCTGAGGCCTCCAGCAACGACCATATCGCACACCCACTTACCCCGGCGGCAGCCAATGTAGAGGCTAGCCTCGTCGGCTGATGACTCCACCACGTTCGCACTCGCAATTCTCCCTGCATGTACCAATTATGTGAACTCATCCGCGATATCGTCTCCCGCATATTTACCCGTCTCGTACATCCCTGGACGTTCACCAGTCTCCGGCCGCATCTCGTGCACTCTCTCATCCTCTGTTCATCCGTTACATTTGGCTTCCCCCACACCCCAGCTCTATAAATGAATTCTACAGATACATATAGTGTCCCTTCACCCACGCCGGTAGTATCCCTTAGTTCCCCCGCCCCCGAGTTGCGTTATTCGTCTGCATAAAGTACCGTTTCCTCTTGCTCCGTTGTCCTGCATTTTGCATACATGCTGTTCTGCTAGCTCACCTGGGTACATAGCACGCTTTTGTTCCACATCATATGTATACTACTATTTGCGCGCGTACGAGCCCATCTTCCAAGCCTCAAGCAGTGTGCAGAGAGAGCGTTGAACAACATGAATCAGTATGGCGAAGTTCTACAACATGCATGTGTATCAACATACGGAGACCAGTACTAGCTAATACGAAACGAAATCCAGCATAGACCAAGTGTCCCTTCCTAACCATTGTCGCCGTCCTTCGTGCCCGTACTTGAAGGACTCGTCGACGACGGCGAGGAGTTTGCCACCGCTGCTCCCACCACCCCGATCTTCAGCTTGAACTTCTTCGGGCCCTCCTCCGCACCCTTCACCGGGACGAGCTTCGCAGCTCCGGTCGAAGGGTCGTTGTCAGGATTTGGCGAAGATGGGCTGGGCGTGGGGCGTTTCGCCTTGTTCGCCAGCCGCTCGAGCAGCTCGTCATCGTCGTCGTCTCGCGGACGCTTGCTGCGCAGGCCGCCCTCGGGCATCCCAGCGGGCGGGCTCGACGCAAGGAGCGAGGATGGGGCGCCTTTCGAGAGCGCCTCCATGATATCGCCGTCCTCCTCAGGCGAGAGTGGCGACTTGAGCGCGGACACTTGTCGATACGACATGCGCGGGCTTGCTGGGGGCGCGTCTGACGATGATGGTGATGGTACCGGGGGCGCGACGGGGACGAAGCAGCCGCGCGTGGGCATCAAGGGGGCGGCGTTCTCGACGGCCACGTCGTCGCCCTCGTCGTAGTCCACGAGACTCCCGAGCGGCGGCATGCGCTGCGGGGCGCCGTTGAACTGCTTCGGCGACGAGCGAACGGGGATGTTCGTCCGCCCGGAGGAACGCCTGATGCGCCTGCCGAGGCCGCGTGGTGGCGGGGTGCTGACGATGGGTATTGACTCTTCCTCGTCGTCGTCCGCGTTGAAGTAGTCCTCCTCGGCCGAGTCCGGGAACTTGCCTTGGCCCCAACCGCGTTGGGGAGTACCTGTCGGCAGTCTGCGAGGACACGTCAGGAGGGGAAAGGAGACAGGCGTGAGGTCGTAGACGTACTTCTCGACCTTCTCCACCGGAGGAGGCTCGTTGTTCATCTCCCATCGCGCGATGAAGTCCTTGAACCTCTCTGCTACGAGCGGCGACCCCGCGAGGGTCCGCACTAGGTCCTCGTGCTTCGTCATACAATGGTGGATGAGGTCTTTCATGTTTTCCTAGGCGTTACACTGCGATTAGTACATGGTGCCGTAAAGCAAACACATATTAAACGCACTCGTCGCATATAGTCGAAGAACTCAAGACATGATGAGCTCAAGAGGTTATCGCGCTTCGACTCGCGCAGGGTCAGCTCCAGGATGGGCTTAAAGACATCGTGCTTGATTAGGTGCTTGAAGATATTGCCATTTTTCAGGCGGAGGCATACGCGGAAGAAGCGGAATGCAGCTGTCCAGATCGAGAGCGTCAGAGCTGTATTCCCTTCTATATGTTGTGATGCGTACCTAGACGTAGATGCTTGTCCTTGGAGCGGAGGAGGCTCGCAACGCGGGGGGCAACGTTGGAGGAGAGGATGAAGAAGTGACTGCGGAAGGAGTGTTGCAATGTGAAGTTCGAGAGCAGGTCGCACAGGTATAGCAGGAGGTTCGTCTTTTCTCGGGTAAGGACCAAACTGGGATCTGCGTCGCCATGAGTTTCTCAGGTTTGTAGAGTACGGAAGAGCATCTGAGCGCACCTGGGATATCCTTGTACTCGGGTACGTCGTGGACTGTTCGAAACAGCACGTCGATGCAGAACTTGTAGAAGTAGTCCAAGAACTTCTCAATTCCCGGGTCGTCCTTGACACGCTGTTGCAGCAGCTTGATGCCGAGATTCTGCGACAGACTTGCTTAACGACCTACGAGTCTGGGCATAAGAAAGAATGCTCACCGGCGTATCTGCAGGGTCATTTGTCGCCATCTCCAGCAGTTGCCTCAACGCTTCTCCGACCAAACTCTGCACTGCCAAGTCGCGGCTCCGCACAAGGACCTTGCACATGAGCATGAGGACGGTCTCCTTGTCTCGCACGTTCTTCCCGTTCGCCTTCTCACGCTCCATCGTCCCCAACTGCTTGAGCACATGCCCGCGTACGCCATTCAAGTCGTACTCGAGCAGCGCCATGAGGATCTCTCCGGAGGCAGCGATCATCTGCCGGCCCTGCTCCTCTGTTTCTGACTGCGAAAGACCCCATTGGACAGCGAAGACGAGCCCGCGGTCGACAAGCACTCGGAACAGTTGTAATCGTGCGGGGAGTTGCACGTTCTTACCCATTGCGCAGAGCTGCTGGATCAGGAAAACGACCTCTCGTCGTCGTGTGAGCTCCTCCGGGGACAAGCCCTTGTTGGCCGCCACTACCGTCTCGGCATGGCCGTTGGGCTGAACGACGCCGTTCGGTTTCGCGTCCGACGACGGGTCGATGTCCATCTTGTCCGAGGCCTCCTGCTCCTTTCGCGCTTCCGTGTTCTTTGGCGGGAAACCGAGAAGGACAAGCAGGTCGTCGTCCATGAACATGCCGGCAATCTCGCGGAGGAACAACTGGTCGTTCTGGACGTGGTTGATGATGTCGATTTGGTTGAAGATGATGGACGAGTTTAGCACGTTGAATGTCGAGTCGTCAATGGCACGCGCGAGCACGACGTCTTTGAGGAACTGCAACCGGTATGTGTGGTGGATTTTGCGCTGGATGGTCTCGTCCCGGATGGTGATGGGTTGGTGGAAGCGCGAGGTCTCGCGGAGGAAGTCCCGGTAGTTGGCCTTGTAGTTGGGGAATTCGGGGTCGTCTGTACAGTAGGATTAGGATGGCGTACGATACATGAATTATGCTGAAGCCACGGACATTCGAGTATACCAACGACGCCCATAAAGATATCGTCGTCCAGTATATGCTCATACAGACTATGTTCGTTCAGTAGGACTGTAGCCGTGACTTGAGCAACGAAGCCACGGGCAAAGAATGGGATAACATACGGATGGTCTGCATACAGCTGAACAGTGCGTGCAGATCTGAAAGACTCTCCAAGTCCTCGGACTGGCTGAAGACGTCGATCAAACCCTTGATGTAATCCTAGGAAATGCCCGAAGAACATGATTTGGGTGAACCCACTGCCAAATTTGAAAGAATATACACACCTCGTTCTGAATGTACTCGCATACACGCTCCTTTACCAGCGCTGTCCGTGCCAGGGTCTTGATTACAGTGTCGATCTCCCCTATGATACCCATCTGCGGCTGCGGCAAGCGACCTGACCGGATAATGTTGGCGGTAGTAAGAGACGTCTCGGGTCCTTCAGGGCCGATCAATGGCGAGGACGTCAGGGCCATGTCTTCTGAGGGGTAATGTGGAATTAATGAGGTCAATCAACGAGCCTCACGCCATAGTAGGATTTCCGTGCTGACCGCTCGTGTTCATATGCCTTTGAACCTCTTCAATGAAGTGCCACACCTCCGCGCAACCCTCCGGGTCCTGAAAGCTAAGAGCGTAGTCGACGCCGTCAGGCTCTGTCCAGACAATCAAGGTCTCTGCGGCGCGCGTACCCACGGTTAGCGACCGAGCTGCAACACGCGTCCCTGACGCGTAGATAGACTTATCACGCACCTTGTTGTCGTTGGTACACATCGTTCGCCCGTATGGTGGTGGTCAGAATGATGCGGTTGAAGTCCTCCTCGGCGCGCGCGATGAGCAGCGCTTCGTTGTCCTGGAAGTCGCCGAAGCAAAACGCGGTCCCCTGGTCGACCCAGCGGGAGCCGATGAGCTCGTACACCTTGACGCGTTTCAGCTCGTGGCTATCGTCCTCCGCCCACTGCTGCGAGTCATCGGAGGTGACCGAGGACTGCTCGGCGTCCACGACCTCGACGTGCTCCGCGCCCGAGGGCCCCGCGACGGGCTCGCCCGACGAGCCCGGTCCCGCGCCGTCGGCGGGCCCCGTCGCGCTCACATCCTGCGCCGTCTGCACAGATTCGACGCGTGACTCATTCTCAGCAGGCTCGGAGGGCGCATCGGGCTCGCGAGACGGCTCTTGAGGCCCGGATGGGCCTGGTTGGGAAGGTGGCTGTTCTGCAGGCAAAGCGGGCGGAGAGACGGTCTGAGTGGAGGAGCTGGCAGCGTGGACGCTGCTCATTGCCAGAGACGACGGCGCCCAGAGGTGGTAGGCGCAAGCGAGGGAGCGAGGCGGGCGGAGGAGGATACACGGTGCGGAGGGCGGGAGGATGGAGGGCGTTGATGTCTGAGGCGAGGCGTGTTGTCCGCTGTTTGCTGCACGCTCCGCCAGCTTCGTCACTCTCACTGCGAGTGCCCTCCGCGTCTACCCACAACGCCTCTTCGTCCTCCCGCGCAACCCTTCGCGTTTGTCGCCCACACCTCTGCCAAACATGCCCGCAAAACACTGGCTTATGAAAGCCGAGCCCGACGAACGCATCGTCAAAGGAAAGGACGTCAAGGTGCGCGTTTCGCCGGTGGCTATATGCGCGCGCGTCTCGAGCCAAACGCGCAGTTCAGCGTGGACGACTTCGAGTCCGTGAAGACGACGCCTTGGGAGGGGGTGCGCAATGCAGAGGCTAGAAACCTGATGAAAGAGATGAAGGTCGGCGACAAGGTGCGTGCGGGAGCTCTACTTTGTCAACGCCGTTGCCAAGTGTGGCTGAATCCGCGTAGGTGTTGTTTTACCACTCAAACTGCAAGAGCCCAGGTGCGCCCCGGCGACTTCTACCTTACGTAGGCGACTGCTTAATCTATTCCAGGCATCGCGGGCTTCGCAGAGGTGTGTTCGCATGCAGCTCATGTGCATACATGCTGATGATCTTGCAGGTCTCGAAAGAAGCCTATCCTGATTGTGAGTGTTCGCACTCTTCTTCCGTTCTCCGCGTGCAAACGTATAGGATACGAGAGATACGGCCTGGGACCCGTGAGTCGTCTTCCCGAACTTGTGTAAATCGTCGCTCAATCCCTCTACGGCCAATCACAGTGCACATCCCTACTACGATGCTGTAGGTTCGGCCCGACTGGTGACGCGCGCGCAGTTTGAGCTGAAACATCCTCTGTCCATCAGAAGACCGACAAGGAGAACCCAAAGTGGTACATGGTTGACGTGACCTTCGTCCGGCGCGCATCACATTTCGTGCCACTTTCCCTCTTGCGGGGTATCGCGGCTGCATCGGAACCACCAGAAGAGGTTGCCTACATCGGAGACGATGGCATGAAAGCGGTCCAAGGTACGTAGGGTAGCGATCACCCGAAGATCATCTATCGAGCTGCTGTATCACACCCATAGGCATGGCATTGGTCACAAGAGGCAGGCTGAGCGTGCAAAGGGTAGAGGAGGCAACCTGGAAAGTGGTTGAAAAGCTCGCTGAGCGTGGCGGATGGGTGGAAGGCGCCGCGAAAGCAGGAAAGGGCAAGACTGCAGCTAAGTCGGGGCCGAAGGCCAAGGGTCGACAAAAGGTACCAAGGAAGAAGGCGTCCGAGGACGCGAGCGAGGAACCCGAGGACGACCCTGCAGAAGGGGTTGTAAGCGAAGCGGATCAACCTGTGCCTGGACCTGCAGGCGGGACGACTCCGAAGAACCAGACAGGGCGGAAGCGCAAAGTTAGTGATGCTGAAGTTGATCCAATGCCTCGGCGTTCGACTCGGGCGCGCAAGTAGCCCTCTTCGCGCATGATATCCTGTACAGTATGTTGCTCGTGTATGTACATACCCAGTGCCGCTTGTGTAGGAGTATACCAGCCTCGGATCCATCACATATGGATAAAATACCTAGCTTACATCCGTCCGAACGTCATTCCCGACCCGTGCAGTCACTCCTGCGCGGGCAGCACCTTCTGCAGGAAGGTCTTCAGATCCTGCAGCTCCTGATCGTTGGCGGAGTGCGCCAGCATGTCGTATGCGTGCCATTCGATGCCGCCCTCGAGCACCTTGTCGGGCGAGACCAGCGTCTTCAGTCCGAGCTCGCCCTTGATGAACTCGATGGATGCCGTCGCGCGGTCGAAACGGACGATCTGATCAGACTTGCCGTGACCCCAAAAGACGGGTAGCTTCTTCGCGTGGTCGTTCAGCATCTACCGACATCGACGCAGTGAGTAACTATCACGCCCTTCCACTGGCTAGCCAAGGTGAACTTACGACTTTGACCTTGTTACGGAGGCCCAGCCATCCGCTGAGGACAGCGACACCCGCGAGCCGTCTCTCGGTCGTGAGGCCGGTGAAGAGCGACATCGCGGCGCCCTGCGAGAACCCGCCGAGGACGATACGGTCCGCGGGGATACCCGCGTCCACTTCGGCGGTGATAAGCTGGTTGAGCGCGTGCGCGGTCTTGAGTATGCCCGCCTCATCTTCGCGCGCATTGATCGAGCCGAACTCGAAGACATCAAACCTGCGCCACCGGATGAGTGGGTGAGTTTATGGCGGGCGGGCTGTGGCGACGGGACGAAACGCACCAGCCGGGCATCAACATGCCCCCGTTGGCAGTGATTTGGATCTTCGGTCTGTATGCGAAGGCTCGTCAGAAGGGTCACGGTGCACGCTGTTGGAGATGCAGACCGAGAGGTAGAGGAAATGGCTACTCACGCGTGAGGCATAATCCATTTGACGTGCGGCATTTCGCTCGCAAACATATCAGCGACGGGCTTCCATCCAAAGCCGGAGTCTCCGAGGCCCTACAGACGGTAAAATTTTCGTATGTCAGCATCCTACATCGACTAGGAGTCGGAGAGACATGACGAACATGAACGAAGATGATGGTGGCGGTGTGCTTAGCCCGGGGAGCGACGGTCAAGACCTTGAGAGCTGCAGCCATGTCTTCTACAGCTTGCGAAGTCCGATTCCTAGAGATTGTTCTGCTGAAGTACCAGGCGAGAAGGAGTGCGGCACAGAGGGAGAGGGTACGGAGAGAGAGCATGCACGTCTTGAGTTTAAGTACGCTGATTCGATCCGCGATCGAGCGCGTCGCGTCGCGGACATACAAATAGGCGCTTGGTGTACCACTGCTCGGTTTGCTGCCCCACCATCTCGTCCTTCTGTACTTGCGAGTTCATGGAGACGATGTCATAAATTGAACGAAGCCTGAGTATGACTGCTGGTGAGAATAAATAGTTGTACGTAACAAGACAGAGGAAAGGGGTCCTTCCAGGCGCAGGGCCTCCATGTGTACCTAACCCTCAGACGTCTTCCTGATGCTCCTGGCGTCCTCAGCTCTACCCACAAGGATCGGAAGAAACGGAGAGGCGGCGCCGACGTGGCGACGAAGAGGCGATGAGCTCCGACAAGGCTGGCGATAACTGGATCCTCCGCTCCCTCATCACCTTTTGCAAAAGTTGCGCCGAATTCGCCTCAAAGTGCACGTCGTTCATATGGAGGACGCCAATGTCGACAAGGACCGGCGCGCGCTTCTTCCAAACACGTATCGTCTGGTGCTTCGCCAGGGCGAGTTGGTACAGGCGGCGGAGCTGAGGCAGGATGACCCGACGGAGCGACTGCAGACGAGGGTAAAGCGGGATGCACGCGTTGGACGTGGGCTCTATGGTGGGCTCCCTCCCGATAATGACGAGCTCGAGAAGGCGGGGGAAGCCGGCAGTCTTCAGAGTGGGAAGGTGGAGGGTCTCCTCGAAGCCGGTATGGGGCTGCTCCGGGTCGATCAAGCAGAGGATCTCCAGGTCCGAGGCGAGCGTTTGGATGAGGAACATGACGTCCCGGAGGTACCGCTGCGCCTCCTTCTGCGCCTCCGTGCTCTGGTACTGTGTACCAGACTCCCCGCCGGACTCCGCGCTCGCTGGTGGCTGCTCTTTCCGTGCGGATGACAGGCAAAGATGGCGCACTCGGGGCTTCATCTCTGGTGTGCGCTCGCACTCAGCGGTATAGCAAGCGAAGAACTGGACGACCTGCGATGGATCGCCCGAGATCAACGCGACGGAGTGGAAGCGCATCGGCCTAGATACGGCGCGGAAATATTTGGAAGTACGCGAGAGGGCGCAGCCAGTACGACCGCCATCTGTACATGCGAGTAGGAAGATTGGCCCGAGAAGCTCTGGAGGGAAGTGGTTCATCTAGAGAACGTTATCAGTTGACGACTTATGAAGGTTTGAAGCCTTGCTGATTCAAGAACACACCTCGACGTTGACGGCACAGAAAAGTAGGTATTGCAGCAAGCAGGGCTATCCGATTTCAAGTCGATGGACGGGCGTGCACTGACTCCTCTGAAAGCACTATATGTGCGTTTAGCATGCACGATAGCTGTTCGCCGTCGCAGTGGGCGTCCTCACGGCGCTCGGGCCTATTACGCCTTGCTAGTTGACTCCACCCCCGATTGACGCGGAGCATCCCACGCAGCAACCACAACAAGCGCAGACGGCACCCTCGAAGGCCTCATTGCGCCTTCTTATCAAACAACCATTTGATGTGCATGTCCGAGTGTTCTATTCACAGAAGGATATTCATAGCAACACGCCAGAGCGAAGCAGAACTCAAACACATCACTGGCCGCGGGGTCATTCAAGGCTAGGAACAAACGTGAGACTCGCAGCATCCTACAGCTTCTTCTTCGGCGACTCTTCCGTGTCTATCTCCGACTTCGATGCGGCTGCCTGGCCATGGGACCGCTGCTTTGCCGCCCATATAATCGCGTCGCGCCGGCCTTGCTGCACGTCCACACCTGCGAAGCACGTCAGTCTCGGGCCATAGCTGAGCGTGAAAACGCTATACTCACCGAACCAGAGAACACCGCATGCGACAGTGCACAACGCGAACAGGAATGGAAAGCCCTTCCAGTTGTTGCCCGAGCTGTCGATGATAGCTTGCACGACATTCGGTCCGATCAAGCTGGAGGCGCGGTTCGACAGCCCAAACAGACCAAAGAACTACAGCAGCCGTCCACCCTCAGACGCCGCTGGGTGAAGTTGGACATAAGATGTCAGACGCACCATGTTGTCGAAGCCCGGTGGAGTCAGCTCGGCCATCATCGTCTGGGAGAATGCATAGTACGGAGCTTGGAAGAGTCCGGAGATGACGTTGTACGCCCAGAACTCCCAGACGTTGCGGAAGCTGCACATCCAGTAAGCATGATGGCTGCACAGGAGGCCAAACGGCGCGCACCCAAACTTCGTAGTCCATAGACCGATCATCCCCCACAAGGGAATGAGTATCGTGACGACGTTGGTTACTGCAAACTACAGATAAACCGCGGTGAGATAGAGCGACCGGTTTGACGTGCGGGAGTAAGCGTACCATCTTCTTGGTGGGGATCTTCCAGTATCGCTGAATGTACCAGAAACCCAAAGTGCTATTATGGCGGTCAGGTCGGTGCGCTCTCGCCTTACTCACTACGTACCTTGTGGTTGACGCGACGGCCTGGACCAGCCCAAGGTAAGTATTCTGAAGGAACGAGAATTTGAACCGGTCGTTCTGGCAAATGTATACGAGAGTGCCTGTGGTGTTGAAGCCCTGAACAAAAAGTCAGCAAATAGTGGCTCGTAGTCAATGTAAGTATACGCTACACTTACGTCGGCGAGCAGGAAGAACGCCGCCAGGTATATGAAGGTGTGGGGCAGCTGTTTATACTGCTTGAGTGCCATCCAGATCTGACTTACAAGTGAGCGTGCAATCCATTCTAGAGCTAAGTGCGCCATACCTGCTTCCATCCTATCGTCACGTAGTGTTCACCCTTGGGTAGTGGGGGACCTGGGCGCGGCTGCTGAAAGATGACTGCATAAAACGTGATCAGTATACTTGAGAACACTGGCGATGGAGTGAATACATACACCACCAAATGCCCAACAGCACCCAATATCCGTTCGTTCTGTCGTGAATGAATGTGAGCGCAATGTACGACGATTGAGGGAATATTATATATGTACAGGACTAGGACGTAGTTGTTGACTTTCGGGTCGCTCGCGCGGGGTAGCAGGATAGTAAGGTTCAAGGCGAGCGTGACAATGTACCCGATATTGCTGTGTGCCTGCGCAGGATGCTTCAGCCGCACGCCTACGAGTTCCCACCGGCGTGCCTACCGTGCTGATGTTGCTGATGCGGTTCTTCTCCAGACTCTCCTCCCGTTCATATTCTTCCACAGAGATCTCGCCTCGTTCGTATTGATCTCTAAGCTGGCGGGCGTGCGCAGTGTTGCGAGCCAAACGAGGAAAGAGGGCAGCGTAGAACACGAGGGTCGCGCCGTATGTGATGAACCCGATCATGTACAAGGCCAACGCGAGGCCCCATCGGTCAGGTGCTAGACAGAGGGTTAGGTAGGAATGGCGCATTTGCACGGTTTCACTTACTCGTCAGGGACATGCAGGCGAATTGTGCGATCCAACAGAAAACGGTGACAATCAGGAGCAGCCACCGTCCAAAGGTGCCATAATCTGCCACTGAGCTGACTGTAGTGAACAAGAGCGTCATGACCTATATCGGGGGGCACCTCTGCGTGAGTGATACGGCATTGACATCGTACGGGATAGTACACACCGCGAAACTTGCGCCGTTGGCTACCAAGACGACAGAGTTGACGGCTTTGGTGCCCCCACCCCAAGGGACCACACACTGTCCGGAGGCGTCCGAGGCAGAGCAGCTAGACCCCGGTCCTTTCACCGGGTCGAACCCGGCGGCGACGGCTAGCGACTGGAACAGAGTCATACTATATCCTAGATGTACGTGATGAGCGTATGTATCAAGGCTGTGTCATCTGGCCAGGCTGCCAGGTGACTGACCTAGGGGTCCAACTCCCTGAGCTCGAATGTCAGCGCCGCGCGGTGAGGGAGATCATTCGAAGGACGCACGTTGTCACCGTTGTAGTACACTACACGGGCAATCAGCATATGTGGGTAACTCGTCATAACCGTGCTAGCCTACGATAGTAGCTCCAAAGTTCCTGAAATGACTCTTGTCAACATGTATAGAAAGGAGGGCCGTGAAACATCGTACCCTGCGAGTGACGATAGGCTCATCGTTGCGAACAGGAGCTATCACGGCAGCTTCGGGCTCGGACCACACCTGGTCCTTGTCTGAGCTTTCGTAACTGGCATTATTGACAACCAGAACATGGGGGACTTGGGAAAGGTGCTCGGGCAAGGGTTGGTGCGCCATTGGGACGGATGAGCCGGGGAGCTTGGAGCCGATCTTCCGTGCATTTGAAGGAAAAGCGGGCTAGCGTCAAGACGCCGATGGTGCATGGGTTCACGAGGCACGATACAGAAGTTACGGCGGTCGTATGGGTGTGTGAGCTCAGAGGCGTAAAGTGGGTAACGATCGCGCCAAATAGACATATATCGAGTAGATGTGGAGTTTGCGGCATTGCACTTGCACCTGGCGACCTGCAACGAGACGACAGATAGAGGCCCTGTGATCATAAGGAGGAGGGGAAGAGCATGCGAGGCGTCCATAGTTCCATCCTGCCAACACTATCCTCGTCAGACGTTGGAAAAAGAGCGTCGAGAAGCCATTTGAACGTCGCAGAAAGTTCGCCGAGGCTGTCAGAAGTTTGAGCCAAAGCCCTCCATGATAACGGCGTATACCCCCATGACCGGCGGAGACCCGTAGGTAGTTGAACGCCTTCTCCATAGAGAAGCATTCCTGGAAACGTCACCCGTAAAGGGAAGACATGATGCATAACTCACGGGATGTGCTGCCGTAGCAGACGCGATAACGCAGGCGCCTCCAACAAGAACTCCATTCACATCAAGCGCACTGCTGAGATTGTACCATTGAACGCGGCCATACAAACGGTCTTCAAAAAGCAAGCTTCAAACAGTGAAGCGCCTGCTCTGATATCAGTATGTGCCGAAAGGCGGAGACATAAGAACGTCTCAAATGTAGGACACACACCTTGCTCATTACTGAGATAAGTTTAGACAATACAATGGACCACACCTCAAGAGCATCTCCGACCATGGCCGGGACGTATCGAAAGCGAGCATGGAGTCCCTGGAAGACTGCACACTAGGGACACACACGCGGTAACCCAAGGATACTGGATGGGGTAGAGTCTGAGTCGCACACTCTAGCCAGACAGAGGAGACTGAGCGGACTCGCGGATGGTGGTGGTAGAGAACTAGGTTCTACGTTACCTTATCCGGAACGACATATTGAACGGGCGCCTCTGTGCATCTCAAGATCTGCCGTACTCTGCGAGGCGAACGCGATCGACTCATCTGGGGCACTCACTTGCAGGCCTCTGCTTTTCTCATACGCCAATGTCTAGCATCACCACACCAGATCCTGCCACGTCGGCCGCGTCTACCGTGCCCGACACCTCCGCTGCACCCCCAAACCCATCCTCTGAACCTCAGGATGTCTCTCAATCCGCCGACCCATCCATTGCCGACCCTACCGCTGCGGTCGCATCCACGAGCACCGAGAGCGCACCTCCACTCTCCAAGAAAGCACAAAAGAAGCTTGCAAAAGCCGCATGGTTAGCAGAGCGCAAGAAAGAACGGCGCGCGGTTGAGAAGGAGCGGCGCAAGGAGAAAAAGCGTGCCTTCGCAGAGAAGCGCGCCGCGGGCGAGCTCGACCCGGAGGACGAGGAGCGCGAGCGGAAGCGACTGAAGGTGGACAAGGGCCCGCGCACGCCGTTCGCCGCGCGCGTCGTGGTCGACCTGGGGTTTGACGAGAAGATGACGGAGAACGTGAGTGCCATAGGGTGCTTCAAGCTTGGGTGTGGTCGCGCTCACGCTGGGCGATGCAGGAGGTCAAGTCGCTCGCGTCGCAACTCGCGTATACGTACAGCGCCAACAAGAAGGCGCAGCATCCGTTCTCCTCACTGCTGTTCACTTCGTTGAATGGACGAACGCTCATGCGCATGGACGCTACAAATCATTCGGCATACAAGAGATGGGTAGGCGCTGAGTGGTGGTCGGAGGGCTATGAACAGTTGTGGGAGGGTGGGGAGGTCGGGGCACCCTCGCCGGCCGAAGGCGCAGAAGGAGAGAGCGCAGAAAAGTCCGGCAGAGCGGCAAAACGGACCAAAAAGCAGCAGCCTAGCAGAGCTGCTAGAGACACGGTGATATACCTGACGGCTGACGCGGACGACGAACTCACGGAGCTGAAGGAGGGAGAAACCTACATCATAGGTGGGATCGTCGACCATAATCGTTACAAGGTCAGTGTGTATACTACGCGCGTAACAAAATGCAATCTATGCTCTCCCGCTTCGCATTGCAGCCTGCTAGACTTCCAAGTGTTCTCACAAGACTCCGTACTGATGACGCACTGTATCACAGAATCTGTGTCTCGAAAAGTCCAAGGAACACCAAGTCCGCTCCGCACGGCTTCCAATTGGGACATACCTCTCGGAGCTGCGCACCCGCAAAGTGCTGACTGTGAATCAAACGTTCGAGATTCTCCTGAACTGGGTCGAGACGCGAGATTGGGAACAAGCACTCTACTCTGTCATCCCTAAACGGAAGTTCAACGATAGCGGGCGACGAAGAGGCCGTGGAACTAGCTCGAAAGGCGGGGAGAGCGGGGATGAGGACGGAGAGGGCGAAGGCGACGGTGACGGTGAGGATGGTGTGGATGAGGGAGCAGAGGACAACGTGGGGCTGAAGGTTATTGATGTCGCCGTGCTAGAGGAAGATGTGCAACAGCAAGAGTCGCCAGTAGATCATTCGGGGAACAACCCCAAGGTCATGGAGGTAGAAGAAGCTGCGATGTAATGATACACGTTCATAGGACGTCCTTCAGGTTTGTTTGTGCAGAGCCCCGCTCAAGAGGTTTAGGCTGAGTCGGTGCGGGTTTCCATCCAATCTATTGAAAGGGATCAGAACGTGGCATGAAGAACCTACAAATCATGCCAGAGCGTACCACATAAATGACCTGGAAAGTAGCCGGTATGGTTCCGTCCTCATTGCCGTGTAGCTCTGTTTACGAGTCAGCTTCCGTCACAATGGTAACATAGTGCTGCACGGACCTTTGTAGATGGCGGATGCAGCGGCTAACGTGTCGCGATGGATGATGTGCCGCCTGCATGTATCAAGTGGTTCAGTGGTGTACGCGCGCATGCGACATCGCCTGTCGAATCCTCACCGTCCGACCACAGCGTTGCTCTCGCCCATGTCTTGCAAATCCTCCATGAGTTCCCACATGGACGGGTATGCGACCTTGATCTCGTCAACGTCAACTGTGAGAAGCGTAAAGCCGGCGCGACCGAGGAGATTGGACATGTCCCGCGAATCTAGAAGACTTGATGTTTTTGATGATCGTGAATTGTAGGCTTGTATATGGACGTACCTGTCATAGGCGAGACATGGGGCGAGATACCGCCTTCGCGTTCTACCTCAGCCAGTTGGAGAGATGTCCTGAGCTCGAAGAGTGTATCCCCTCCGAACAGAGCTCCGAGAAAAACACCGTCTGGCTGCAAGGCTTCCTTGATTTGCACGAGGACGCCCGGTAAGTCGTTGACCCAGTGCAAGCTCAGACAAGACACTATAGCTTCCTGCGAGTTGGGCCGAACAGTCTGCAGCAGATTCTCCTCGTCTGCAACTATTCGCTCAACCTTGACTGTCAAAGCGATCGTTAAGAATGATGAGAAGATAGAACAACGGTGCAAGTATACCCTCGAATTCTGAATCTGGATCTCTGTAGAGGAGCTTCTCTGGCAAGCACGAAAACGTCTAGGTCTTGTAATTGCAACAGCGGAGGTACGATACACATACCGCTCGAGTCGAGAAGAATGGCCTTTTCCGTTGTCTCAGAGTCCAGAAGCTTGGAGAAGTGACCGGGTCCCGATCCCAAGTCAAGCACAGTACTGAACTTGCGCTTTATGTCCTGTGTCCCAGTTGTTACAAAATGCGATGTCGCGTTCTGCTAGGGTATGACTATACCTGAAAACGTTCGACCATCCTGTCCGCAATCTCGTCGCGTACGTAGTCAACAGTCCTACTACGAGCGCCGCGGTCGCGGGCAGCGGCGCCGTCCTTTTGGGTGTGCTTCACATTGCGATCAAAGACTTGGAAAGGCCCGACCGAATTTGGGTTGATGGGAGACGACGAGGAGACAGAGGCATAAGATCGCCTATGCACAATAGACGTGAGCCGCCGCCGCGCGAACGTGAGCATGGTGGGGGTGGCAGCACTTGGGAAGAGGAAGCAAGACTGAGCTCAGCGGCCTCTGCCACTTGAGTGCGGTGACGTCTTGGACGATCTGGTAGGCGCCCATAATCGAACGCGACGCGACGCGAAAGGCTTATGTCAGCAACCTCTCCCTTCCCTCTCACTCTGCCGCCGCCGTCCCTTCCCCGAAATCTCGCCCCATAGCACCCCCATCTGTGTCCCGCCTGCTGTCTTGTTTACCTCTCTTGGCCATGGACAATGGCAACAGAAGTTACACGCATCAATATCCTACTGGCGAGCTTGTGCCTTTCGCGCCGAACACGATAGTCACTCCGGAGGACTACAGGAAGAATCTCGAGCGCCTTCAGAAGATGAAGGACGCGCTCAATTTCTACGAGGAGCAGAACAACCATGGCCTACAACGGTTTTATGCAGAGCGACAGGCACTGGAGGCCAGTGTCGAGCAGGGGAGGCTTGCGGCGTACGTGCGCATCCTCTAGTAAACGCGTGCACTGAATATCAACTCGATCCATATTCTAGTCAGCGACTCGCCGAGCTCAACGCTGCGCCAGCACTTGAGTACGCGTGCTTTTTGTATTGTATGCTTCGCTGCTGAGCAATTCGTTTACAGCGCGTATCCCGCCCCGCCTGTCCCTATAGCAGGCCCATCAAATGGAGTCCCTCCGCCGCTCCTTCCCTCGTATCAAGCGGGACCTCAAACTTTCAATGAGGTCGAGGTGCCTACAAGTGCGCGCATTGTGGAGATTACTAGTCCACAAGTACGTTTACTTAGTTACAAGGCGTGCCGAACCTAATACGTTACCACAGTTAGACAGTCACGCGGAGAGCGGCCCTTCGAGGGCTAACAGGTACTACCGAGCCGAAGCGAATTACAACGGGAGCGAACCGCATCAGAGACCTATGCAGCAACCGCAAAGGTTCCATCCGCACCAATACACGAATGCCGTACCTCGTGCGAGTACAAGTACAAGTGCAAGCACGAGCAACCCTCGGGTATTCACGGCGCCGATCTCAAATGCTCATCAAATGTCATACGAAGCTGCTGCCTTGCGCCAGAATACCTCAAATGCTATGTACGACAGCCGCGGTATCCCTCAGGTTCCACAACCCGCATACGTCCCTTATGCGCCACCGTTGTATACCGCACCTCCATCTGCGCCACAACTTGCTCTCTCGCAGGACACTTCAAGTGCGACGTTTTGCCGCTATACTTTAATTGGCGTGTGCTTACCGGTAATCTCAGGGCAGACGCAGGCAAGTCAGGCTCCCCAGGCGAGCTACCAGCCTAGGTATGGCACGAGTACTGCTTCTTCCCTGGACGGTGCTTTGGGCGCCGGTTCAGGTCCAGCTCCTCAGAGCGTACCTCATGCCAAAGTCACGTACTCTAGCAGAGCAAACCAGTCCGCTCCGGAAGCCCCTCGGCCATCAAATCCTCCTCAGCAAAGTGACAACACCTATCAAGAGCAGCAACTATTCGCCTTCTTTCGGGTAATTATTCTTACGTGACGGTCGTACAGGACCGTGTCCTGATCATCTCTGCAATAGAGCCTGAAGCCGGTAATTGTGCAACAGCTGATGGTCCAGGTTTTGACCATTGTAGCACGAATGCAGAGCGGGAGGCCAAAAACCGCTGCTGAGGAGGAAGTCGATAATTCATTGGACGTGAAGATGCGACAAGCCTCGGAAGTCATTGCTGGGAAACTGAAGGTTTGCCTGTCAATGATTTCTAGCTCACTTGACTCTGAACTGTTTACGCAGCAATACTCTGTGGTTGAGATCAAGAAGATCTTTGTAAAGTACTTGAATATCTCCAAAACTGGGCGTGAGCAGGCAGAGAGTAGGCGAATTGTTTGCGAAACATCCCAGGATCAAACTAACAACCGAGCGATAGTGTATTCTGCAAACATCCGAGACGCGGCACAAGCTGAACAAGCTGCCGCTGCTCAGCCTACGGCCAGTACGTCAGCCCAACCTGCGCAAAATGCAGCTGCACCACAAACAGCTACCGCTTCAAATACGGCTCAACCTCGCCCGGATCCCCCCTTCTCGTCCGCCTCGTCCGCGTCAACCTCGACGGCCATCCCTTCCACCTCCTCTACAACAGCCATTCCCTCCACTTCATCCGCGCCCGCGGGCACTGCCTCATCGTCCTCAGCCTCGCAGACCTCTGGGACACGGATAGTTGCTGCGTCCGACCACCCTCAACTGCAGTGGTACGTGCCAAAGGACCCAAGTGCACCGATAGCCTACCGCGACGGTACCGGCAAAATCTGCTACGTCTTTCGGCCTCAGCAGCCACCCGCCCCAATCAATGCAACCTCCATCTCTACCACCACGCCAGCCATGCCGTCGTTCGTCCACCCTCCTTCGGACCAGCAAGCTCAGGTGCCCCAGATGACGACGGTCGAGCTTCCCGGGACACCAGAGCCAGTTGAGATCCATCCGCCTAGCTCGTGGTCCCCTGAAAATGCGGATCGGAGCAGACTGGCGCAGGACATCATGCGGTCGTTGGGACGGCCGAGGGGCTCCTTTGGTGAACCCCTTGGCTCGGCATCTGCGTCGCCAGTGTTGCCCACCTCGAATGGTCAGCCCTTCGCGAACGGGAAGCGGAAGTCACCTCCTTCGCCGCGGCCGTCTACGCCCTTGAAGAAACATCGAGCAGAGGAGCCGGACGATGCCACCATCACGTTCGCCATACCGCCCGCCGATGTCATCGACCTTACTTCGTCGACTCCGGAGGAGGGAACGCCGGTTGAGCCAATGCGCACAACTCCAGAACCCGAGGCTGTTGACACTGTCGCCGAGCCTGCGAGGGACCCATCTGAGGACCTCGGTGACGGTGTCGTTGCGTTACCGCCCTTGGAACGGGAGACAAGTGTTGTCTCCTCTGAGAGCATAGACGTGGACAAGGTGCAGGCGATGTTCTCCGAACTTGCCGGTGCAAGTTCCGGGGCGTCAGACCCACCTTCGTCGGTGAAGTCGCCTTCGCCCCCTCAAGCCTCAGAAATGGTCGACCTTCCGTCACTTGACGAAGCGCTTTTCGCGGCGGACTCCACGGAAACGGTGAACACGCCCTTTGAAGCGTCGACATCGTTCCAGCCTGCTTCGGACTCGGAACGGACAACTTCTCCCGCCCGTTCAAACAAGGTGCCCCTCTTCCTCCCCTCTCCATCAAGCTCTCCGGTTGCGTCCGGTTCCTCACGTGGAGCATCGCAACCTGCATTGGACGACGACATGCTATCGGACAGCGAGGCCGCACCACGACCGTTGTATGGGCATAGGAATATGGGCAAGGGCAAGGCGAGGCAACACAGCGTCGACATCGACTTGACAACCTCGCCCGGCTCCGGGTCCCATAGGTCGCCACGGAAGAGCGAAGTGTTCATCGAGGTGCCCCCATTACCGCGGTATGCACGACAGCTGAGGGAGGCAGTCCAGGGTCTCACCACCGCGAGCGGGAGTACAAGCGACAGTGAGGGTTCGGTGGACGAGCTTGCAGAATGGCACGGTATGTTCACACCATGACACACGGACACGTCTCGTCTAACATTCAACATTCGACAGAAGAGGAAGATAGGAAAACGCACGGTGAGCTGTTGTGAGCACGCCGCATGGCGCCCGTGGAATTGACAGGGTTGTTGACAGAGGAGGAGATGCGGGCGGTGGTGCAGCTCTCGTATGACCGGATGCGCGAATCACCGTGCCTGTGGTCAGGGTGTGGCGCCGTACTGAATTCGATGTCGAGGCTGCAGGAGCACGCGGCGCAGCATGCGTGCGAGCACATGGAATGGGTGCGTGCTTCGTGTCGCTCACCTTCTATTACCCCCGTGTGATCGTCCCTTGATGACCGAAGGACTAACGGGGCCCGGTGTGCAGGGTACGTACGGCTGCCAATGGCAGAACTGTACCCTCAAATTCACGCAAGAGGCGAAGCTCGCACAACACCTCCGAAAACACGGCAGACTGCCGCTGCCCTGTACATATGACGGTGAGCCGCAACCCGTGCGACGCTATCTGTCCGCCCACAGCTGATTGAGCGGGGTTCGCAGGCTGCGAAAAGACGTACAACACTGCGGAGGCGCTATTAGCTCACCACAAGTCGAGCCGGCACCGCACCGGGACGCTTCGTGCGAGCACAGCGCCGTTCCCGCTCGCGGAGAACCAGCGTCCACTGTCACCGTTGCCTGATGCGCTGCCTGCGTACATGTCCATCCCGCGGCGGGTCTCACGACACCCTATCTCGAAGGAGCGGCATCAGTGGCTCGGCCCGAAGGTCAATGTCCTTCTCAATTGCGCCCCGCATTTCTCCTTGCTTCGTCGGCGGCTCGAGAGCTGACGATCCGCGCCTTCCGCAGGTGCTCGAGAACATCACCGCGTTCAAATACAGCGGCGGGCGGTCAAACGCGGCGCTGCCCCCGCGTGGTTCGCGCCGCCTCGCGGAGAAGGTCGCGGCCGCGGAGCTCGCAGACGTCTCGCCCGAGGCTGCCCTGGAGCAGATCAAGCGCTGGATGGACGACGAGTATCTCGCGTTCGCGGACGGGTACGACGCGGCGCGCCGGCCGGGGCTGCGGTGTGCGGACGTGCCCTCGCAAGAGGTCACGCAGCTCGTCGACGCGGGCCTCGTGCTCTGGCCGGGCGAAGACGATCAGAAGGCAGAGGCGCGTGCGCGTGCGCGCGCTCCCAGCGGCGGTCCAGAAGAGCGAGAAGGTCGGGATAAAACCGGGCGCGCCGACAAAGACGCGAGTCCGCCGACGGCGCAGAGCTCGGGCGCGTCTGGGGATGATGGTGGTGGCGCGGACGACAGCGAAGACTCGGGGGTGGATCAGCTCGCGGACGACGTCAGTGATGGACAGCTCGAGGAGGGCGGAACGGGAACAGGAACAGGCCGTCGGGCTGGAGGAGGACGGAAAGATGCCGGCGGGATGGTCAAACTGAAACTCAAGCTTCCCAGACGATCGAAGGTCGGCGTCGATGCGTCTGAGGGCCCTGCCCCTGGGGTCGCCGTGGCCACCGCACCGGGGGTCAAACGCGAAGATGAGGAAGAGAGCTCGAGGCCGTCGCCCGATGGTGGCGTCGACCTTGAGGGTGTCGACGTCGGGAACGTCGACGTCGGGGGCGGGATTGCACCGCAGAGCAGCCCGTCGCATGCGCAGCAGCACATTCCATGGCCTATCTGGCCCCCACCGCCGGTCTAGCGTTGTTGGATAGATGGAGGACGGTGGTAATTGGTGTACATGTTAGCTGTGTATAGTATATACATATAATATAGACCCACGGGGTTGGACCATCAGGCGTGCGCGTGTTGGCTGTGGCTGATACGATCTCGTTCTGACGGTTTAGGCGAACACATCAACCGTGCCGCGAGTCCGGTTGCGACCTGCGCCTTGCGAAGTTGTGCGAACCAAGGCGCGACCGCCACAGCCCACTCTCCGCCCACAGCGCATCTCTCTCCGCCGCCGCGAGCGCAGCCCCTCCTTCCATCACTCTCCCTCCCGCACCATGCACCTCTCCGTCTTGTAGATGCCCCCGCCGCACCCGAACATCTACGCGACCCACAGCATGCAGTCTCTCCCGAGCCCCGGCTACATCTCCGCCCGCTCCGCCGAGGTCATCCTCTCCGACGTCCGCCCGATTAAGCTCAAACTCGAGGCCCTCCAGTCCATTAATGTCTTGCTCGATGAGTTCCTCTACAGCATTCTCAGCCTCTCGCGCTCCCTCGCAACCGACAAGCTCAAGGGCGCGTTGCTCAAGGTCCTGCCGACCTCCCTTGGGAAGGAGGCGCTCTTGGAGGCAGAGGTAGAGCTCAAGGCGTACTGGGAGCGCACCACGTCCGCTCGCTCGCCGGCCTCTGCACGCAATGCAGACAGCTCTCAGTACGACCTGCAGTGGTCCTTTGAGGTGCGCCCGCTGTACTCCCGGAGAATTCTTCGACTGTATGCGCTTACACCGCCGCCGCGCCGCGTTAGCTGCTCCGTCTCAAGTGCGAAGCCTATTCGACAATGAACGACTCCGACGAAGATGCCGAAGCAGAGCGACGTCTCCAGCAGCGGATGGAGGCTGCTGGCTCCTCATCTCCGCCCAACCCGTCTCTACTGGCCCCGGCTGCGCTGTATCTCACGGCTATCTTGGAGTGCGTGCCCCCCGTTTCCGTTTCGCCCCCACTTCTCGAAGCTGATCTCGCCGCGCTCACACAGGGCGATTTGCGAGTACGTGCCTCTCTCGTCTGTTCCCCCTGCTGTGCAATCAGCCCTGACCCCCGTGGTATAGACATGTGCTTTCAAACGTAAGTCGCGTCGCAGCGCGAGACAGCGGGCGGACACTTGCCACGATCCAGGACCTATTCACTGCGCTTGGGGAGGACGACGCGCTGTACGGAACACTCAAGTCGATGAAAGGTGCGCACGCCCGCCCAGACTGTCGCACATGCTAGACTCGCACATGTGTGGCGGCATCAGAAACTGAGCTCATGTTCCAACAGCTTACGAACAGATCGAGTCCCTGTCCAAGGCCCAGCGTCCACGCAGAAGCAAGTCGTTTTCCAGGAGCACAGACAAGGCTATCTCCCGCACGTCCACGTCGTCCCCGACGCCGTCCAAGGCCCGCATGTCGACGGACTCGACGCGCTCGAACGCGCCGACGATGGTAGAATCACGCAGGACGTCTGTGGAGAAAGTCAAAGCCGCGAAGATTTTCCACAGCCGGAGTCTAAGCGATCGCGAACGGCCAGAGCCGGCACTCGCCGGCCCTTTAGCGCGATCACAGAGCGAAATTGGTATCAACCGCGAGTTCGCAGAGTTCGAGGCGAGTTTTACCCCTTGCGTCTCTCCCTTGTTCTCCGTTGACGACGTCCCCGCCAGGAGGACGAGGAGCTCCAGCAGGAGTTTGACGAGCTCATGCGTTCTGGTGCGACCATGAAGGTCTCGCTCACTCCCGACAGGCTCAAGAGCATGGAGGTGCGTGATCGGGCGTCTCTTGGCGTGACCCTGCTAATGCTGCGCCCCACCCGGCGCGGCTGATAGGTATACAAGCAGGAAAGGACCGAGCGCGTAAACCGGAGGGCGGGGCAGGATCCAGAAAAGGCTTCGAGTGGTGGCGCGACAGCGGGGGACCCTAAACCACGGGTCAACGGTGGTCGGCCACCTCTGCGCCACGTGGACTCAATCATCGAGGACGAGGAGGAGGCCGGCAGCTCGAACCACGCCTCTTCCGCCGCCGCCGCCCTCCAGAGCAACGCTGCCGCTGCCCGCATGCGCAACACCTCCTTCACGGCCCAGCCGAGCCCAATGATGGTGCGTGCCGCCGAGCAGCGCCTGCGCTCCATTTCTATCTCGAACGTGCCCCACCCGCGCCATGAAGATGGGATCACCCGGAAAACGAGCACGAAGTCCAAGAGCAAGCCGGGCGCGCAGAACGCGATGCCGCCGCCGCTGGGCCAGGGGGTCGCAAAGAAGACGCGGAGGATGGGGAGGAACAGGGAGTCGCTGGACCTGGACGATATCATGAACGGGTCGGACAACGACGAAGCCCTCGCCGAGGCGGAGGTTCCGCAGCCCGCCCCCGTACCCATCCCGACGCCCATGCGCAGCCCCAGCACTCCCCGTCGCGAGGCGGTCCCCTCTTCCCCTCGAACACCACACGTCTCGAGGGCGGCGCAGGACCTTATCGCGTTCTTGGAGGCAGGCCCGCCAGAGGAGCCGGCGTACAACCCAAGCATGAATGCAAGCGTGATCTCGTTCGAGTCGTCAAAGACGCGTTCGGGGCGGCTGCAGCGCATGATGTCGCGCCTCACGCTAGGAGGATCGAAGGAGAGTCTGAACGGGAGCATTCCGGAGGAGCCGCGGGGTCTGTCGCGCAAGGCATCGTCGAGAGGGATTGGCATGACTTCGCCCCCACCGTCGTACAAGCCGTCGTCGCTCGCGTCGAAGAGGTCAATGACCGACGTTGCAGTCCCGCACCACTACCCCAACGTCATCGTCGCGACCCCTCCGCCGAGGCCAGTGCTGCAGACCGCAGCCGCCATCCTTGCGGAGCCGCCGTCCACGTCCTCGTCGCACACCTCGCGGGAGGACGTCTCGTCCCAGACTCCGAGCCTCACGCGGCGGACGACGCGCAAGGCCGTGCCTACGTTCGAGGACTCGGCCATTTCCCCCTCCAGCTCTGTTGCGCATGATGACGGCAGGTCGCCCGTTAACGTTAACGGACATCGCAACAGTGCCAGGGACCCAGACCGCGCCTCGACGCCCTCGTCCACTACGGTCAGAAAGCCGGTTGCGCTCAACGGCCACCCCGTGAAGATTGATACCTCCGAGGGCTCGCTGCACCCCCACAGCATCACCTCCCCCGCCTCCGAACGCAAATCCCTGCGTAGCCACTCCAAGGCCGAGAGCGGTTATGCGTCGCGTTCGGCGTCGCGCAGCCCTGTTACACCTTCCGAGCCGCTCCCGTCCGCACCTGCTGCCCCCGCCATCCCGCCATCAGACGTTGACGATTTGCGCCGTCTGATGGGCTCGGCGACGAACGCCGACGAGTGCCGCTTACTGGTGGACATGTTCCTCGCCAAGAACGGCCTCGCGTCAAAGACGCTCGCCGCAAGCGAGCCCGCGGTGCCGCAGTCCCCCGTGGTGTCGCTCGAGGAGGCGCTCGCGCTAGCAACGGCGGGCAACGACGACATAGAGCGCGGGTTAGTGGCACTGTTCTTGGGCGGCGGCGCGGGGCGAGTTGACTCGAGCCAAACTTCTTTGCAGGTGGGCGATGGTGACGGGGAGCCCGCGTCCGAGTCTGAACCTGCCGGTATCGCTCCCGCTCCCGGTACGGATGTCGCTGTCGATGGACGGCCGTCCTTTCGATCCCGCGATGCTCCCTAGAATGAGCATCGACCCGCACATCGTAAGCTTATATCGTATATACCTCAGCGGCCTCGGGTTGGATACGAGTTCGTAGCGCGTCTGTCTGGATTCTGGGCCGGGCGTCCGCAGTTGTTGTGTGTTCCGTGTCTGGCTACCTCTCTCGTCCCCATCCCCATCCTCTCCTCTTCCGTGTAACCCTGGCGCTCCCGCGCTCTCTCTCGACCTAGTCCCGCTGTCCCACCAACGCTACCCCACTTTACCCTCTCTTTATTCGTGTCCTATACCTGTTCTCGGCGTCTGGTATGCACCCTACCCTTCCGACCCTCCTATGCGGCTTTTCCCTCTCGTTATCTACTCACCGTAGTTTTGTCGCCCCTTTCGCACGTCCCCTTCGTTTCAGTCCATACGGCAATATAATGTAATCGCCTCCTCACAACCCTACCCTTACGGCTGGAACGACCAGGTTGAGCATTGACGTTCTGGAGGGCTTTCGGCAGTATTAGGAGATGTATTGCGACTCGACATGTACTTTTTGCGCGCCTGGCGATGCGATGCGAGTATGATACAGCGGTTAATGCGGAGAGCGAAAGCAGCGAACAACACGAGCGACATCGAGATCTATACCCCCAGTGGACGAGAACTATTGCACCTCCAGCGAGATCTTGATGCCCATCGACGCCAGCTCGGCACAGAGGTAGCGGAAGACGTACGGCACCGCGATGATGTCCATGTCACCGCCCTTCGACGCGGACCCGAGCACGAACTGCGAGCCGATCGCGACGCGCACGTCTGCTGAACGTCCGTTCGCGGCGGTGCGTGCGGGCCCACCGTTGGCGAGCGCCTGCCGCGCCCGCGTATCCTCTTCCTCCGCGGCGGCGCGGCAGGCCCTGCAGTACTCGCCGCCAGGGCCGGTGGGCTTGAGCGAGCCGTTCGCGCCGATGACCATCTCGCCGAGCGAAACGTCGTCGTACCCGAGCGAGATGAGACTACCGCACGTCCTGCAGACCCACGCGGTCGAGTAGTCCGAACAGTTCATGAGGCGATCCTGGAGGAGGAACGCGGTGCCGTGCGCGATGAGCGCGTCGCGCTCCATCTCGCCGAAACGGATACCACCTGCGCGTTTGCGGCCCTGCACAAAGGTGGTGTGAGGGGTGTTCTTGTTTGGGGAGAAACGGGACGTGCTCACCTTTACGGGCTGGCGCGTCACAGGGTCGACGGGGCCCGTCGTCCGCACCTGGAACTTGTCAAGCACCATGTGCCGCAGACGTTGGTAGTAGACGACGCCGATGTAGATGTCCGCTGCGAACTCTTGCCCGGTGATCCCGGAGTACATGGGTTCGTTGCCGTAGTAGTTGTAGCCAGCGGCCTGGAGCTGTTCACCGAAGTACTCGATGGCGGTGTCCTCTTCCGTGAACCTTCGACGAACATTAGATCTGCCCAGTACGGAGGACTTTGCGCAAAGACTCACTGGAACGGTGTCGCATCTTGGGCGAGGCCGTGCATTGCACCGGCCTTACCAGCCATGCTCTCGACCAACATGCCGATCGTCATACGAGACGGGAAGGCGTGCGGGTTGATGATCACGTCGGGCTGCATGCCACTCTCCGAGAATGGCATGTCGATCGCGGGCCACTTCTGCGAGCAGACACCTTTCTGTCCGTGTCGGGACGAGAACTTGTCTCCAATCACCGGCGCGCGGGTGATGCGCAGTGTCATGTTGATCTTCTGCAGCTCCTGGTCGCCCGCGTCACTGCCTACAATGACAGCGTGAGGAACCGTATGCAATACAGCTCAGCATCCGGGACATACCGATTAGGCGCACAGTATCAACATACGCGACTTCGTCGCCCTTGTACTTCGCGAACTTCGTACGACCCGTCGTGTCGTCGACATACGCAGCGATGGGGTCGCCCGGGTTGAGCCTCGCACCCACACATGGCAAACCATCGGAATCTATGTGTAGAGTTGCCGGGTGCGCCTTCTCGCCATCCGTGCGGATTTCAGGCCCGAAGCCGAAGTGTAGGGTGGGCGTGGTCGCGATGCGGCGGGAGCCGGTGAGCTCTTGCAGGTCGACAGTATACGACTTGTACACGGTACCGTACCCGAACCCTCGTTCGTGCGCGGACTTGTTCAAGATCATGGCATCCTCCATGTCGTAACCGGTGTAAGAGATGACGGCGACAATCGCGTTCGTACCGTTAGGGAAGGAGTCCATGCCGTATGTGTTGTGCAGCATAGGCCGCACGATAGGCGTCTGACCGGTTTGTAGGCGGTACAACTTGTTGTCTGTTCGATGTTGCAAAGCGGTCGCCGGTGTTCCCATAGTTTGTTTACCCATCTGTATGCTGCCTGTGAGTATATTCGCTAAGTTACCACCTACGTATGGCATACCTGACACTGGTAAATATTACGAGGACTCTGCGCATTTCAATGTTAGCCCTGGGCTTCAGACAGAAGTAAGTCCAGACACGCGTACCTGGTTGAAGTCCGAGAAAGGGGTGAGGTTGGCCAAGATGGATAGGAAGTTCGTGGGCGAGTGCTCTACATGGCTTGAGACACCATCCTCAATCTCCGCGGGTGTACAGGCAATATCCATGTAGACCTGCTCAAAGGACCCAACCTGGTCGTCTTTCCCATTTGGCACGTACTTGACTGGCCGCATCATGCGCGAACGCGATGCAAAGAGATACAAACCAGGGTACTGCCCAGCCTTGGAGACCGGGACGTATCCGATCTCGAGGTCGAGCGGGACACTGTGCTTGCCCTCGGTCTTCCATATCCGTAGGCTCGTGGCGAGCTGTTGGCATACTGCAGCAGGAGCCCAACCGATCAGTCGGCCGTCGAGTTGTACGCAGAGGTTACGTCGGCCATCAACCGACGGCGCGAACGCTTGTGTCATGCCATGGGCGGCGAGGAGGGCGGGGATGTGAGATACGGCGAGAGGTGTGGTGACAATGCGGCAGGTTCGGGATAGATGGTTGAGCAGTCCACAGGGCGATCCATCAGGAGTGTGTGCGGGGCAGAGGAAACCTGTTTGTCGTTTGCATTAAAGATTGAACAGCGAATGATTGGCATTTCCACATACCCCAGGCTTCGGGAAGCAATTTACGAACGGTGGTGGTCTTCAGTTCAGCGAAGAATGCACCTCGATGAATTGACCGGAAATGACTGATGTATCGCATCCAGTTTAACTTCTCAGCGACGATGGTGAAACCGGACGCCTGCTGGAGATCGAGTCCAGTAGGTGTGACCAGGTTTCCAGTCGCGAGGAAGTTTGACATCTTGGCACCAATGTCATAGCTTGTCCGCTGTAGCACCTTCTTGATGTAACGCTCTGAACATGGTTAATGCCTTTCTCGACTATCACGAAAGTCAGATGAGACTTACTGTCGTAAAAATCTACCGCAGGATTGCTGTTCCGGACATCTAGGGCGATTCCTTCGCGGAAACCGTTCAATGCTTCTTCCAAACGCTCCTTGATGATCATGCCGTACAGGGCACCAGGGAGCAGAACTTCTTGATGCTGGGGCGAATCAGGGTTGTCAACGCTGCACGACTTCGATACCAGAGCGTAGAGTTTCCGCAACATGAATCTACACGGCTATAAGCATGAGAGCCGAGCAAATATGCATATTGACCCACAGGAGCATGCGGAACTTGTCCCGGGCGTTCTGTAGATGGACGAGGACGACCTTGTTGATCAGCCATACACCAATCGCCTGGTTAGTCCAGTCCTCCGGCATGTTGACCACTATCCGGAATTTGTCGCCAAGGTATTGCAGACATTGGTCGCCGGTGTAGAGATGATACATCTTGAAGCTTCGCAAGAGCAACTCGACGCGATCAGACAAGAATGTGTCTCCGTAGTCCTGCATCATGACACCCTCGAAGACCTCTTTGTCGGAAGCGGATACGAGAGCCTTCAGGATGAGCATGATGGGAATAACATATTCCTGTTTCCGCCAGCTGAAACGGAGCATCGCGCTACCGTTCGACAAGTAGTGGAGTGTGTTCGTCGCGCTTGTCTGGTCGGGGCGCACACAGCGTATTTGCACCGCATATGGTGTGTACGAGGGTCCGCGGTTGACGAAGGATGGCCGGACCAGAGAAATGACATGATGTCGTCGGGGGAGAATGAGATACCGGATGAGACGTTCGTTTCCGTTGATGACAAAGTAACCACCGAATTCTTCTGGCTCTTCGTGATGTCTAACGAGTTCGCCCGAGGACATGCCGCGAAGGTTACACCGCGTTGACTGCCGAACGTATGGATTTATCAGTAAATGCTGCACATTCGCAAGCACGCATACCCAAACTTACCCGAACCATGATAGGGAGCAGACCGCAATCCCTCATTTCAACCTCCACAGGTCCATCGTTGACTTGCCAACATATTTTCACCATCATACGTCCACGGTACGAGGTCAAGCGTTCGCGGGCCTAGACAGGTGGGACAAGTAGCAATCAATACGCTTCGCGGAGATGTATATGAGTTCTGGATGCACTAACCTCGGACGGATATACTCTCCTTTCCTTAGCCTGTGTGTCGCGCTCCGAGACCATAGGTTTGGAGACGGTGACCTGCTCGTACCACACTTGAAGCTAGTCAGTTGCGTGGTCTGCTAGGCTCCAGCTAGATACTTACTTGACAGTCGGTTTCCCCATCCCCGCTGACCACTCTCCGTACCAATGTCTCCTCGCCCGTCAAATACGACGCGCTTCCCAATGTCTTCTAGGCCCAGATGCAAGAGCCCGCGTCCGTCTCCATCTCCCGAGGGCAGACCAGAGTCGTCGAAGAGCGCATTGAAGGATTCTATGTGCGGGGTCACGAACTCATTGAGGATAGGTATTACGGACTCTTTCTCCGGCGGACTCTTGAATTTCTTCTCGCGCGCAAGCGTGTCAAATGTGCACTTGTCTCGCGGCCTCAAGCGCGGGGACCCGTCCGGCATGGTGTAGGCGAAGAGAGGGGAGGAGAGGCAAGCCTGAAGAGCGACTCCTGCACTCGAGCACCGAGGTTTGCGGCAAGTGGGCGCTTCTCACAAAAAATCAGGCGCCCGGGCCGGAGCCGTGGATCGAGGCGCGAGCGCGTTTGAAGCTCCGCCCGAACGAGGGGGCACGCACAATCACCGGTGCGTAGAACAACGCTCACCACTCGCGACGACCACGACCTCCTTTCCATCGACGACCCCCGCCCCTCAAAATGTTCGGCTCGTCGTGGGCGAACCCCCAGCAGAACCAACAGAACCAGCAAGGCCAACAGCAGCCAAGCGCGTTTGGGCAGCCATCTGGCTTTGGCGGTACCGGCGGTGAGTACGATTCATTATGACGACTCGTTTCACGCGGCCTTTTAAACTGTCAATCCTTGACCCGCAGCGTTCGGCTCTGGAGGCGCGTTCGGTCAACCGCAACCACCACAACAGCAGCAGCCACAGGCTAATCCGATGTTTGGAAATCTCGGTGGGGGAACGAACACAGGCTCGACGGGCACGGGTTTCGGTACGTGTTTTCCTCTTGTCTATCGTGTCCCAGTACTCATACGGCCTGGACTTGTCGTCGTAGGCGCTTTTGGGTCCACGAACACGTCGAACGCGGGCGGGGGTCTGTTTGGTCAACCGAAGCCGACCACAGGGTTCGGCGCGTTTGGAGGAGGGGGCACGACAGCGTTTGGAAGCACCACGGCGACTCCAACGCCAGCCTTCGGTGGCGGAGGGGCATTCGGGAGCAGTACTCCTGCAACAGGATCCAGCACGGGGGCAAACCTCTTTGGCTCTCAACCCTCTACGAGCACGAGCGCGTTTGGAGGTGGCGGGGGTTTGTTTGGGGCCAACAAGCCCGCGACTGGATTTGGTACCACCCAGAGTAAGTGGCTAATATGTTAATACCGGTCGCGTTCCAGATATTGAAGGCGTACTGCAGCATCCACCGATGGTGGAGCGCCTGTTACAACTGGAACCGCGAACCCGCCGTTCAGTCCCTACACTGAGAAGGACAACATCAATCCCTCCATCACGCTGCAGTACCAGAGTATCACAGCCATGCCGCAGTACCGTTCATCGACTTTCGAGGTTCGTTTCCTTTGCATCTCTGCCTCATCTTGCGACTGAGAATCTCCGTACAATGCAGGAGCTCCGACTGCAAGACTACCAGCAGGGCCGCAAAACAGCGGGTGCCTTTGGACAGACGACCTTCGGCGCTCCTGCGCAACCCGCTCAACCAACGGGTGGCTTGTTTGGACAGCCTGCTGCCCCTGCTGCTACCGGAACGACGTTTGGAGGCTTTGGTAACACTAGCACGACTGCTCAGCCTGCTACGACCGGCTTTGGCGCCTTCGGTCAACCTGCAAATACGACCAATACTACAGGAGGCAGCCTTTTCGGCGGCGGGGGAGCCTTTGGTCAACCGAGCCAACCACAACAGCCACAGCAGCAGCAACCGCAACAGCCTGCGGGTTTTGGCGCATTTGGACAGCCGCAGAACCAACAGAACAACACCGGAGGCGGATTGTTTGGCGGAGGAGGAGCATTTGGCGCCAATAACCAGGCGAAGCCAGCTTTCGGTATGCACAGGATCTTTGATAATGGTCATACATAACTCATCGTAAAGCAGGTGCTAGCACGACTGGATTCGGTGGTGGTGGTGCGTTCGGCCAACCGCAAACGAACCCACAGCAACCTGCAGCCGGTGGTCTCTTCGGTCAACCCCAACAGAACACGGCTACTACTGGTTTTGGTAATTTTGGTAATTACCGACTTCTCTCAGCATTTGTGATACATGACTAATAGTGTATCCCAGGTACAGCAAACAGCAATGCCCAAAAGCCTTCATTGTTTGGCGCTACGAACACAACACAACCTGCCACAACGGGCTTCGGTGGCTTCGGCACTCAGAACCAGGCGCAGCCGCAGCAAGGTTCACAACCAGCGGGCGGTCTCTTCGGTGGCGGTGGGGGCCTATTCGGCCAGCCGCAGCAACAGAACCAGCAGCAACCTGCAGCTGGAGGACGTAAGTAGCTACGTTCATTGTTCTAACGAGTGACTCCTGACACATTGCAATAGTATTCGGCACCACACAGCCCGCACAACAGCAACAGCAGCAACCAGGGGGAGGGCTATTTGGCGGAGGGGGTGGTCTGTTTGGCACTCAGCAGCAGCCCGCCCAGCAAGGTGCACAGGCACAGCCTCAGCAGAATTCTTTCGGTGGCCTCTTTGGTGCGCCGAAGCCCACCATCAACACGACGCAACCTACAGGCGGACTATTTGGTGGAGGCTTCGGTTCGACGCTCGGTCAGCAACCTCAGAACCAACAGCCAGCAACCGGTTTGTTTGGATCTACACTTGGCCAGCAACCTCAGAACCAACAGAACACGAACTCATTTGGTTCTGGTGGTCTCTTTGGAAAGCCGGCCGCGCCGAACCTCGGCGCGTCGATGTCTACAGGTCAGCAGCAGGGCGGCCTTGGCACGTCGCTCTTTGGGAACAGCACCCTTGGTGGCTCGACCGCTACCATGGGTGCCTCCACTCTAGGGCAGTCGCAGGCTCCTCTGATGGCCTCTATCGCGCAACCCATCGCTGCGCCCTTACCTATCTTCAGCATGCTGCCGCCAGGCCCACGTGCTGTGACCTTGGATCAACAGCCGAAGAAGAAGCCAGGTTACTTTGTCGACGTCCCCACGCGATCTCCGGTACCGCAGCTGCAACTCCGATACGCCCCGGCTGGCACCAAGCTGCGCGGGTTCGGCTCAACGTCCACTCCACCGGGTGCAAGCTCCAGTACCCTTGGCGGCAGTCTACTCTACTCTTCTGGAAAGCCCAATGCGTTGTCTCTGAGTAAGGCATCGACGACGAAGAGCTTGCTTGGTCCCGACGCATTCTTGACCAACGGCGCCCCCAGCCCTACTCTGGGCAGTGGTGGGCGGCAGAGCGTCAAGAAGCTCACGTTGGATAAGAAGGTCGAGGCAGCAGACTTGTTCAGCAAGTCTAACAACGGGCCGTCATTCAGCCCCGCGTTGGGCCTTGCTGCTCGGGAGAAGGAAGCGGCGGCTGCGAACGGTTCATACTTCCGTCAAGAGTCCCCTTCCCCCGCCGCGCGCAAGGAGTCACCAAAGAAGTCGAACCGCATCGTCGCGCAGAGCACCAGCGAGATTCTCGGCCAGCCTTCGCGACCGGGTGGACCAGGAACTGCTCCAGCGAAGGGTCCCCAAGACCCCGAAGAGCTGCAGGAGGGCGACTACTGGGTGAAGCCTGACCTGGAGACGCTGAAGAAGATGGGACACGACGAGTTGATGTCGTTCAGCGGGCTCACCGTGGGCCGCGTCGGATACGGGCAGATCACGTTCCTTGAGCCCGTCGACCTGACGGGGCTCCCGCGGCTGTCGAGCCTGCTGGGCGAAGTCATCCGGTTCGACGACAAGGAGTGCAGCGTGTACCCTGAGGCGGACGACGCAGAGAAGCCGCCGCCGGGGTCGGGCCTGAACGTAAAGGCGCGGCTCGACCTCGTGCGATGCTGGGCGTTGGACAAGGCGTCGCGGGAGCCTATCAAGGATCCAGAGCACCCCGCCGCGCAGAGGCATCTGAAGCGGCTGAAGACGATGAAGGAGACGCAGTTCGAGGGCTTCGATCTCGAAGAGGGCCGATGGACGTTCACCGTCGACCACCTCTGAGTTGCCTTTCCGTTTGGTCTCACAGGCTTGTTGGCTACGTCGCTCGGAATCAGTACGTACGATACCGGTGTTGTGAAGTTTCTCGTTATCCCACGTCCCCATCATGTTGTTTCCTTCTGCATGTATCATCGTAGTATATGTTGTCAATGCATTTCGTTAGGTTATGTTCAAATGCTTGTTAGCGTGATTAGCTTCGTGGGTTGCCTCCGATAGGCCCGGGTTTACGTCAAACAATGGGCGTTTATACGCGTCTATTGTGTGTTATGGGCGCTTCCGGTGGAGCGTTCAGTGTTTGGCCACCACGGTCATCTCCAAACCTCTCTTCGCGTATCCTCGCGTGTTTTCTGCGCATATCTTTGTCTACGCTCTCTGTTTGTATCATTGTTTACGGTGCGTACAAGGACTTGCCATACGCGGACGGTCCAGGATACTTCTCTTACGCAAAACTTGACCTCGCGATCTGCAGGACGTAACGAGCTCACGACTTGGTTGGTCACGGTGCGTGCTCATCTCCGTCCCTTCTGCGCGTGTGCTGAGCCAAACCGACAGCCTGTACAGTGCACCCAACCTCTATTCAGAAAAGCAAGTGCCGGTACCAAGGACACTCGTCGGTATATCATCAAATTTGGCATGGATGGAGACTCGGAATCGTCTGCCTCCCCCTCCCCCATCGAACCCCACTCCCGTCGCTCCAGCAGCGAAATCCCTCGCAAGCGCCGCTCAAAAGATGGACCCAGCATACTTGGCGGGTCCATGCGCGACGTCGCCCGCGTCCTAGTGTCGCGCGAGCGCGAGACCATGGACCTCAAGCGCACGCTCTACACCATCACCGAGCAGCTCAAGGCCGAGCGACAGCGCGCGGACGCCGCGGAGCACAAGACGCGCGAGGTGCTCGCGCTCTTCAAGAACGCCAACGAGGCGAAGATGGCGGCGGAGCAGGAGGCCGCGCGCGCGAACGAGGCGCTGCGGTTGTACAAGCTGCAGTACGAGAACGCGCAACAGGAGATCCGGCGGGCGCAGAAGCTCATAGACGCGCTGGACACGCAGAGAGTGGATGCGGAGGAGACGGCGGCAAAGGCGCGGAGCCTGGCAAGGAAGATGAAGGAGGAGGCGATCGTGGTGTCCGCGAGGGAGGCGGGACGCCGGCAGGGTCTGGAGGAGGGTCTGGCGCAG